TGCCGACTACACCGAGCATCTTCTTGTTTCCTCTGATCGTAAAAAAAAGGAGAGGGGGAGGGAGAGACGAGGAGAGGGGGAGGGAGAGACGAGGAGAGGGGGAGGGAGAGACGAGGAGGGGGAGGGAGAGACGAGGAGAGAGAGGGATAGACGAGGAGGGGGAGGGAGAGACGAGGAGGGGGGGAGGGGGAGACGAGAAGGGGGGAGGGAGAGGCTGCGTCAGGGCCTCTGCTGCTGCTGCTGCTGCACGGAGCGGCGTCTGTTTCCACAGTGGGCGGGGGAGGAGAGGGAAAGGGTTCAGATTGAAAAAGGGCCATTGCCTGAAACGTCGCCTATTATTTCTAGATTTAAAGCTTTCGTGACTGCTAGGATCCATACTCTTTGGTTCTATTGGGTAAAGTCACGTAGGTAAAAAATAAATAACAAAAATCACGACGTTTCGGCCACAACACAAGCGGCCTTCATCAGGTGAAGGGACGAGACTGCCTGGAGGACAGCGCTGGAGTGAAAAAAAAGCCACGATCAGATCACGACCTTTAAGCTGTGTGAGAAGAAACAAAGCGCTTTGACAAAGGAATTAGCATATAATTTAGCATTGAAATGGCTCATTGAAATAGCTAAGTTAAAGTATACACATCCGCAGAGGCACCCCTTGACAAAGGAATTAGCATAGAATTTAGCATTGAAATAGCTGAGTGATTAGCTTGTAACTGGTCACAGAAATAGCTATGTTAAAGTCAGAGCATATACATTCACCGGGGCACCTAGTACAAATCAAACAGGAGAATTTAGCGAAACACAACCACGCTCAGACCGCGGACCTTTAAACTATGTGCGAGCAAACAAGGTATCCTGACAAAGAAATTAGCATAAAAATTAGCATTTGATTGGCCGATTTTAGAAAAGAGGTGGTGTACGTGCCGGTGGACTTGCCGTTTGGTGCGGGGGGGGGGGGGGGAGTTTACCTATTGATGGTCTGAAAAGGGAATTTATAAGAGCTGCGAAAGTTTGGGGTACCACTACTTGAAAAATATACTGTACCATTGAAATTAGTTTAATGTTTAGTTCGATTTAGAACATCTTTCCAATGGTTGCTTAATTTGAAACCATCTTCTCGGTTGAAATTGTGTCTGTGTTTGTAGATCTGAATTGCCTCGTGAACAAATCTCTGATAAAAATCCGTACCATCCGTCAAGCTGTTTCTCCCTCCATACAGAAACAACCACTTGATACTCCGGTCAAAACCATCACACTACCATATATAGCAGGCGTTACTAAAAAGATTTCCAAAATTCTAAACAAACACAAGATCCAGGTCCGGTTCAATACAGTACACAAAATTCGTGATCTGATCCCATCCGTGAAGGATGTCATTCCTGACTTACAGTACCCCGGGGTTTACAAATTGAGTTGTACCTGCGGTGATTGCTATATCGGGGAGACAAAACGACATGTCTCTGACCGAATTCGCGAGCACAAATCAGATTTGAAACACGGCAAAATAATTCTTCTGCCGTGGCTGATCACTGTTACAACGCTGTGGGTGATCACGATGTAATTTTCTCCGATACCAAGGTTCTTTGCAAACCCACGGGTTTTTATCAGAGATTTGTTCACGAGGCAATTCAGATCTACAAACACAGACACAATTTCAACCGAGAAGATGGTTTCAAATTAAGCAACCATTGGAAAGATGTTCTAAATAGAACTAAACATTAAACTAATTTCAATGGTACAGTATATTTTTCAAGTAGTGGTACCCCAAACTTTCGCAGCTCTTATAAATTCCCTTTTCACACCATCAATAGGTAAACTCCCCCCCCCCCCCCGCGCCAAACGGCAAGTCCACCGGCACGTACACCACCTCTTTTCTAAAATCGGCCAATCAAATGCTAATTTTTATGCTAATTTCTTTGTCAGGATACCTTGTTTGCTCGCACACAGTTTAAAGGTCCACGGTCTGAGCGTGGTTGTGTTTCGCTAAATTCTCCTGTTTGATTTGTACTAGGTGCCTCGGTGAATGTATATGCTCTGACTTTAACATAGCTATTTCTGTGACCAGTTACAAGCTAATCACTTAGCTATTTCAATGCCAAATTCTATGCTAATTCCTTTGTCAAGGGGTGCCTCAGCGGATGTGTATATTTTAACTTAGCTATTTCAATGAGCCATTTCAATGCTAAATTATATGCTAATTCCTTTGTCAAGGCGCTTTGTTTCTTCTCACACAGCTTAAAGGTCGTGATCTGATCGTGGCTTTTTTTCACTCCAGCGCTGTCCTCCAGGCAGTCTCGTCCCTTCACCTGATGAAGGCCGCTTGTGTTGTGGCCGAAACGTCGTGATTTTTGTTATTTATTTTTTACCTACGTGACTTTACCCAATAGAACCAAAGAGTATGTCGCCTATTATGTTTTTCCTTTGAAGGCCACACACAGTGTTGTTACTGACAGGCAGCGTGTTGAGTTGTTGTTGTTGGTGGTGGTGCTTGTGTCTCACTGCCAACGCAATCACCACGGCAAGGGGACGTTTATTTGCCGGTTCCCGTCGGTTACCCGTCGCCCGCCGGGGAACGATGCGAGGAGTGGCCACGAGAGGGCGAGCGCGACCCGCGCAGCCCACCTGGGCCCTGCAGAGGAATCCGGTCAATTGAGAATAATAATTACGACCTAATACTTTTGTGATATATCAAGGAGCGTTACAGTAGTAGGGCTGCAATGGGTGTTTGTTTGTAAGATGTTTTCAGCCGATTACCGACGAGTCGTGTTTATTATTCACGTGGGGAAGAGGAAACCGGAGCACCCGGAGACAACCCACGCCTTGAGCGAGGGGTTTCAACGCTCTGTCCCCGTACAGATGGAAACAGATGGAGATTAGTCCACTTGCTGTACTGCCTTCTCCTGACACCCGCGGGGAGACTCATAAGAGATGTGCGGTGATCCACCAACCCACGCTGCCTCCACAGTGCTGGGTCACGGGCCACGTGCGAAGCTACCACCGAGGGCGAACTGTCCATGGACCCTCAGCTGTGCTCAAAAAGAGATCACACAATGATAACGACAACTCAGTAATGCGCTACCTTTCGTTATTCCACTGCTGGATGAAGGCCTCCCCACGTCGTGTCGGTTGTTTGATAACACTTCACCACACTCGGTCAGTGCGGGTTGCGAGAATGCGGGGAGCATAGACATAAAAGCACAGCAATACGGCAGTGAATCTTTGCTGCTCTGATCTCTGCTGCCCCATCCCAGAGCCGTGCAGCTGCAGCCTGCAACAGCAGCAGCCTGTAACAGCAGAAGCTTGCAATAGCAGCAGCTTGCAACAGCTGCATCCTGTAACAGCAGCAGCCTGCGGCCACATCAGCCTGTAGCAGCAGCAGCCTGCAAGAGCAGCAGCCTGTCGCAGTAGCAGCAGCAGGCTCCTTTTGCGAGGTCATCTGTTCAGGCACCACCCACTCAGCCAGGCTTATCGCCGCTGAGCTTGCACCTCGCACATCAGTACGGGTTGCTGAATGGTGGGAGGTGGGGAGGAGGCAGGTGATGTTAGCGAGCACCTATTAAGTCCGGAACGGTGCACGAGGTGGTGGTGTGGCCAACAATCACCCCCGGCCGTCTTTGTCTCGTCAGTGGTGACGTGTATAGTTTATATCTCGTAACTTATACTAATTTTCAGGCTGAGTCGACCTAGATAGGGACCAGGACCAGCTAATATATCACTCGCCGCAGATGTTAGCCGTGGGCTGGAATCGAACTCAGGATTGTGGCGGGAGGGGGTTCGTAGCGCTCATAGCGCTCTCACCATTGCTTAATCGCTTCCCACAAGTCAAATTAGCATTGACTCGGTGCAGTTAACGCAGCTGCTTTACAGCAACGATGTTGGCCGCGTGAGTGATGATGGAAGTGTTTTTGTGCACGGGCTGGAGAGCGGAGATCTGGCGCGGGTACAGTCGGGGCCTCCCTCTGCTCGCCTGTAACCGGAAAAACTCGAAACCCGACATATTTCCGATTTTGTTCCACAACCATCGGTACTGCCCGCAGGCCGGTAGCGGTCTGATTTGTTACGGTATAGAGAGCGGCTCGCAGTCGGGAGGGTGTGAGTTCAGATCCTGGCTGGGGGTTCACTCAGCCCATAATTCCTCTGGGTCGGTTAAATGAGTACCACTCGGTGGGCGAGAAAACAGTGATTGTTGTTTCATGGACAGATTTCCCTCCGCCATAGGAATGTGGAATTTACCGCGTCGGAACTGGAAACACTTGGGGTAAACGTATTACAACACCAGTAACCGCTTTCTGATGGAGTGCGACTAATCCATCAACCTAGGTTCGCCTCCTAGCCACGGCGAGCGTCATCCCAACCGGGTCATGGCCCCACACTTCATCAAACCCGGCACTGCCCATTGTGGTGAAGTATGGTCAAAACAACCCCCTTAACCAGGGGTCAGCAACCAAAATAACAAGGAGAGACTTTTTTCAAATTCGGTAAAAACCACCCAGCAATAATTAAAGAGCCGCAATGTCCTGTGGTGCCTACGAGACGGTGGCGTCCTTAATAAACAACGTCACGAAGCATTCTTTAAAGAGCCACCGCGCATGCTGCCGACCCCTGTCCTTGAGACGGCTTTGCTCATCCAGCAGTGAATGTACAAACTAGAGGCGAATGCTTATGGTTACCACAGCGTGCCGCGACTGTGGCTGCGAACATCGTGGCGACTCGATGCGCCTTGCTGAGTGATCAGCGATCAGCAGCAGCAGCGCCACACGCCGCGAGCGGACACCGCCTCGGGACAGCGGCACCACGGCTCCACACTACCCCGCTGTACAGGCTTTGTAATTCTGCATCGCTTCTTACCCCCTCCCCCACCTCTCCCTACGTCCCTCCTTCCTCTCCGTCTCCCTCCTATTGATTCGGCACGTGATGCCGAGTGCCTGAGCGGTGTTTGGATCTGTACGTTGCGTGATGAATAGGAGTGGGTGGGGGGGGTGAATAGGGAGTAGTGAGGAAGAGGAGTGGGGAGGAGGCGCGGGAGGGAAGAGGGAACGGACTGGGGAAACGTCGGTCTGGGTGCACGCGTGTGTGTACAGAGGAGGGTGACGGCTACTCAGGGTGGCAGGGTGGGCTGGTGAGTGGCTGTGTGGTTGGATGGGTGGGTGGCTGTCTGGATGGGGAAGGTGTGTGGTTGTGTCGGTGAGTAGGTTAGTGGCTGTGTGGTTGGATGGGTGGGTGGCTGTCTGGATGGGGAAGGTGTGTGGTTGTGTTGGTGAGTAGGTTAGTGGCTGTGTGGTTGGATGGGTGGGTGGCTGTCTGGATGGGGAAGGTGTGTGGTTGTGTCGGTGAGTAGGTTAGCGGCTGTGTGGTTGGATGGATGGGTGGCTGTCTGGATGGGGAAGGTGTGTGGTTGTGTCGGTGAGTAGGTTAGTGGCTGTGTGGTTGGATGGGTAGGTGTGTGGCTGGTTGTGGAGTTGGGTGGCTGGTTGTGGGGTTGGGTGGGTGGGTGTGTGGTTGGGTAGGTGGGTGTGTGGTTTTGTAGGTGGGTGTGTGGTTTTGTAGGTGGGTGTGTGGGTGGGTGTGTGGCTGGGTGTGTGGTTGGGTGGGTGGGTGTGTGGTTGGGTAGGTGGGTGTGTGGTTTTGTGGGTGGGTGTGTGGGTGTGTGGCTGGGTGTGTGGGTGTGTGGCTGGGTGTGTGGTTGGGTGGGTGGGTGTGTGGTTGGGTAGGTGGGTGGGTGGGTGTGTGGTTGGGTGGTTGTGTGATTGTGTGGCCGGCTGGCTGTCTGGGTGGGTGGCCTTGGTGTGGTTGGGTGGCCTTGGTGTGGTTGGGTGGATGAGTGGCTGTGTAATTGCATGGGTGAGTGTCCGTGTGATTGGGTGGGTGTGTGGCCGGATGGTTGTCTGTGTAGGTGATTGTGGTGTGGTTGGGTGCGTGGCTGTGTGGTTGGGTGTGTGGGTGTGTTGTTGGGTGTGTGGGTGTGTTGTTGCGTGTGTGGTTGTGTGACCGACTGACTGGCTGGCTATTTGGGTGGGTGGCTGTGTGGTTGGGTGAGTGGGTGAGTGGCTGTGTGTCTAGGTGGGTGGATGCGTGGCTGGCTGTCTGGGTGGGTGGGAGGTTGTGTGAGTGGGAGGGAGGCTGAGCGAGTCGGCTGCTGCTCTGTGTCCCGCCCAGTCCGTGCTGTTGGAGGCGCACGCTGCAGAGGCTGCTGCTGTTTCGCCCGCGCGTCTGTCTACCCCGTGCAGGTACAGGGTCAGGTGTCTCTGCGGCCTCTCTTTGTCTCTCCGTGGCAGTCTCTGTGTGGGGAGCGGTGACGCAGTGGTTGGCGCGTTTCGCTACGGACCCAGCCTGCCACGCCATTTCGTTTCGCGGGCACGGCTAACATGAGTGGCGAGCCGTATCAGTACTTGTACCGGTACTGGTCCTCATCATCTTAAGTCGACGCCGCCTTAAACGAGTGCCTTTGTGGTGAGGTGTGTGTGCGTACATCGGCAATGGGGAGACAAAGACCGAGGGCGGATCCCAACACCGCCGTCCACTCGTGCGTTGTGCCGGGCGTTTAGGTGCTCGCTAACACAGCACGTGCTTGACTGTTCATGGTATGCACGTAGGTATTGGTGCAGTGAGGCTGCATCACGAGGCTGAGTGAGTGATGAGTTTGTGAGCGAGAGAGTGGTGAGGTTTACGACACGGTGTGGAATTGTGGTGAGTGTGGAATTGTGGTGAGTGTGGAATTGTGGTGAGTGTGGGTGAAAGGGTGTGTGGTGAGTTTGTGAGTGAGAGATTAGTGAGGCGTACGCTGGGGTGTGGGATTTCTCTGCGTGTGGATGAGTGTGAGCGAGTGGGTGAGCAACAAGCGGACCACACGCGTTGCGTTAACTTGGGCGCAACTGCCACCGTCGCCACAGTCCGAGGCCCCCACTCAATCCGTCGCTTCGGGGAACAAATCCGTTGAGCTCCGAGCTCTCATACACAGCTCCATTTCTATTCATCACCACGCTTCACCTGGATAACCACTGGAGATGGAATATGTCCGATGCGAGGGTGTCCCAGGATGTCAACTAACGCTCAGCGAACACGCAGTGGGCACGTGTTCCACAATAACTCCGCCGCTCGTCATCATCCGCCGTGGTCTATCTACTGCTGGATGAAGGCCTATCTTCACACCGTCGCCATCCCTCACGGTCCAGTGATGGCCACGATCCATCTGGCTTCTTGCAACGTTTCATAACTTACGTGGTCGCTCCATCTCCGCGGTGGTCATGCCTCTGGAGAGTGTTCCATCACCCACCATTATTGTTCACCATCCCTAACCCGAGCTCCCCTTGAGCTCCTCACCCGCAGGACGCGGCAGTGAAATCTGCCCCCATGCTCTGCTCTGTCTGCCGTGCCGTGAGTCGTGTCCATGAGACTCGTCTCGATGGTTACTCGCCTGATTCTCAACAAATTCGCGTGTCTGTGTGCGGGGAGCGGTGGCGCACTGGTTAGCGCACTCTGCTATGAACCAGGCCCACTTGGATTCGATTTGCGTCAGCGACTACTGTCAGTGGCGAGTGATATTTTAGCCGGTCTTGGACCCTATGTCGACTCAGCCTGAAAATGAATACATGGGGCGATATATATATCAACTGTAAAACGTCAGCACTCCGATTAGCACGGTTGACTACGTACGGCGCCAAATAAATTAAACACACATAGCACTGGCGAAGCAAAGACAGCCAGGTATGATTATTGGTGAGTGCGCCGTGCCTCTATTACCAGGTGCTCGCTCACAGCACTTTACTCACAGAAATGGCAAGTTATCTTCGGGAGCTTGTCGCAGTGAGCGAGGGGATTGGTCAACGTGTGGTATCATCCGATCGCTACGTTAACGCACGAGGCCTTGTGAGACAAAGACGGCCGGGGGTGGTGATGGTCACGCCACGCTCGGTCTCTCCAGTTTGAACGAAATTATTTGTTCACGATTCACATCGCCGACGATTGTAACCCCAGCCGTTGGCAGGTGCTATACTGTACGTGGTCCCGTCATGTGAATGGGGAATTTCTCTTACTGGCTTGGGCCCGCACACCGCGCCGTGAGAGGGGAGTCAGGCGAGCTGGGATGAGCGCTGTGAAGTGCCGCAACGCAAGTGCCATTGCAGCGCAAATATCGGCTCGACATCAGCTACCTTTCCAATGAAATCAGCATTTCATTGGATGAAATCCTCCCCAAGCCGTCGCCACCCTCTCACAAGCCTGCCACGTAATAGTCCATCCATCAATTTGCGCTAGAGCCCGATTTCATTGCTGCATCTCCTCGGCGAGCATCCTTAAGTATCAAATCGTGTGACCGGGATGCAGGGTCCGACAGGAGCTGCCGTGCCACGCGGTGTCCGTGTCGGCGCGGCGTGCGCGCGAGCGCCCATTGGCTGCTCGCGTCGACGCTCCGCGTGCGCGAGCGAGGCGAGGAGGAGGTGGCGCTGGGGGCTAGCGGGGAACCCGGCCACGTGGCGCAGCGGTAGAGTCAGCGGCTCGCAGCAATCGGAAGCGTGCGAGTTCAAATCCTGGATGGCGTGGGTTGACTCAGCTCCACCATGTCTCCCCTCCGGAGTCGATACAATAACTACCAGCTTGTGTTGAGATGCCAACAGCGGTTGTTATATGGATAGATTCGCCCCCCGACATAGGACTGTGGAATGGCTATCATTGCATCTGCAGGATTGTGAACGGGAGATGAGTACCAATGCCTCAATGCTCATTTGAGCCGGAACTCGCGTTTTTAACTTTACACAGTGCCTTTGGAGGTTTTTTGTTATTCATTCGTAGAAAAAGCCCGCACGGCTCCGTGGACGATCCGAGCGGCGTTCCCACGGCTCTGGGCTTTACGAGCAGCCACTGCGCGTCTCCGTGTTCACCAATCAGTGTGGAGCAGGCAGGACCCCTGCTTCACTTCTGTCTCTCCACTACACACATGCGGTATATATATTTTACCCATTCCATCAGCCAAACGGCCTTCTGGGGAGTCAATCCTCTCAGCAAGATTGGTTTAGCACAAGCTAACTCTGGACCGGTTTTGATACTCGGCGAAGAAGAACTTGTGGCTGATGGGATGTGAGAAAACTCTTAATTGTATTATGTAGCGAGAGGCAGATGTGTGAAGGAGGCGAATTGATCGCATATTTATTTTGTAACATTCTTCACGACTACGCTGATGATTGTGTGTGGACCAGAGGGTCACGCGAAGGAATCTAAGCATTAGCCCTGTGATATCCGCTTCTGTGGGTCTCATTGCTCTGCCCTGGCACCGAATAGATTCGGAGCACGAGCAGGGCAGCGTTGACGGAGACAATTTAAACAGAACTACTCGCTGGCGTTTTAGCCGTGGGGGAGGCGGTTGGGGGGAGGGCGGGTGGGGCTCGCCCCGATCCCCGCTCACCCCCCATGTGAGCCACGGCTTTTGTCAAATGAACACCGTGCCGCGCATATTTAGGCACGTCCAGACCGGGTCCTCGGGCCGCACCTTGGCCTGCCGAGGTGCCACGCGGAGGGGGGGGGGGGGGGCTGGGGGGGATGCGGACGGCCGAGGAGCTATGAGGGGGGAGGTGGAAACCAGCTTCTGTGAGGATGATAGAGGCAATGATTTGTTGGCAGCAGCAGCTCCGTTTGGTTTGGAATCCCCCGGCTCGTTCGGGAGGCAGTTGGGGGTCAATAATGGGGGTGTGGCGAGCACGGCACGTTCCACGCGCGGGGAGGTGGAGGACGCGAAGGGTCGTGGCCTGGAGCTCGAGGGCGAGTATTGTGGCTTTCCGGGTTTCAGGGTGGCAATGACTTTGGCTTCCATGCTTTCAGGATGTTGCCTGTCTTATGGATGGCGCACCAAACCCATAAACATCAGAAAGACCAATAATCCAAACCAAAACCCTAGCCCTAACCAATAACCAAGACCATTAACTCTCACCAAAACTATACCCGAAGACCAATAATCCTAACCAAACCCTTCGACCTAACAAAGACCCTTAACATAACCCTAAACAAGAAATCTAATCATGAGACCTCCTTTGCCAGTATCAAAGTATAATGATAGGGTTTTTTTCACTTTTTTCTGGCGACAAAACTGAAACCTTTTTACAAGGAATCATGTCACTGCATTAACCACAATACTTGTGGTCAAAATGCAAACAAAAAACACACTGATAATATATGCATTGTCCTTGAAACTGATTGGTTCACACCAGAGACTGCTTTCTTTTGAGCCTCGTCTCAATTGGTGCAAGACCAGAGGACGCCAAAAGGCGTACAGCTCAAAGACAATGCACTATTAAAGTATTAAAGCTTTCGTGACTGCATAAAATTACTCATTGGTTTTTTCGGTAAAGTCACATATGTGACTGTATCACACTTCTACGGGGAAGTTGCCGTTGTAATTATGTGTAAGATGTGCCCTTTCTTGAGCTGCCGTTTTGTATTTACAAGAGGTGGTTACTTTTTGAGCTGCCGTTTTGTATTTACAAGAGGTGGGCCTTTTTTGAGCTGCCATTTTGTATGTGTAAGATGTGCGTGTTTGAGCTGCCGCTCTCGCTCTGGCCCCTCCCCCCCTCCAACCGTATTTCCTATTTAAGCTTCTGTTCATCCCTCCAGCCCCCCCCCCCTCTCTCTCTGCCTCCCTGTCCGTCTTTCCTCCCTCCTTACCTCTTGGTGGACTTGTATATGTATTTCTACTGACCGTGTACCTCGTATTTTTCATTCTATCTATGCTGGTATGTGCAATTCGTGGTCCGCCAGGAAGTGTCTAACTGTGTTGTTGGCCTGACTGGATGTGCTTCACATAATGTTTTTTCAGGTTTGTTGAATTCTCGTCTCTCATCTTTTTGTTGTATTTACCTCCGTGATTTGTTCTTGACACCTGATGAAGATCGCTTGCGTTGTGATCAAAACGTCGTGATTGTTTATTGTTTTAAAATAATTTTATTGTATTTCTACATACGTGACTTTACCGAAACAAACAATGAGTAATGCACTATTACTTTGATAGTGCATTGTCTTTGAGCTGCATATATTATCAGTGTGTTTTTTGTTTGCATTTTGACCACACATATTGTGGTTAATGCACACATGATTCCTCGTGGAAAGGTTTCAGTTTTGTTGCCAGAAAAAAAGAGGAAAAACACTATGATTATACTTTGATACTGCCAAAGGAGGTCAAATGATGTAGATGCTTACCCCGAGCCCTCATTACTTTGATAGTGCATTGTCTTTGAGCTGTACGCCTTTTGGCGTCCTCTGGTCTAGCACCAATTGAGATGAGGCTCAAAAGAAAGCCGCCTCTGGTGTGGACTAATCAGTTTCAAGAACAATGCATGTATTATCAGAGTGTGTTTTTTCTTTGTATTTTCATCACAAGTATTGGTTAATGCACACATGATTCCTTGTAAAAAGGTTTCAGTTTTGTTGCCAGAAAAAAGTGGAAAAACACTTAAGATATCTAATGTAACCCTAACCCTTACCACTGATGTCAGCCGTAGCCAGACATCGAAATTGGATTATTTCAGTGTAACTGCCATTTTGCAGTCACCCCCAAACACACCCCAGTGGATGCTATAATTGCCCAGGTTGATGTATCCCTCAAAGGCTTGGGACACATCGCAGCAGACGTGGCAAGATCTGCAATCGCCACCATCCTCAAAAACGCTAGGAAACCCATTAGCAACATCCGCAAAGATGAGCGCTCTGAACTTGCTCAATTAAAAAATAAAGATGACGTTGTCATCCTCACAGCCAACAAGGGCAATGCGACTGTCATCATGGATAAAACCACATACAACAACAAAATCCAGGACCTTCTTAATGATGGCAGTTATACTAAGATCAACAAAGATCCTACCAACGGCCTGGCTACAAAAAACAACAATATCACCACTAATTCGACTTCTCTAATCGAATCGAAAAAGCAGCTCTCTCTAAAACCTTCGGCTGCTAGACCACCCAGATTTTATGGCCTTCCAAAAATCCATAAAGAAGGTACCCCACTCCGTCCCATCGTTTCCATCATCAACTCCCCTACCAACAAACTGGCCCGATTCTCGTCTGAGACCTTGCTTCCATTCATTGGCAAGACCACCTCGGCAGTAGTTAACTCAGCTCACTTAGTTTCTCTGATCAAAGACTCTTTTCTGTCTCCAGATGATTTGCTTGTCAGTTTTGATGTAGTCTCTCTGTTCACCAACGTTCCTGTACCTGACACTATAGCAATCATTGAAGACCTGGTCCAACAGGGACTGAATCCTAATGTACCAACTTTAGTGAGGCATTGCCTTACCAACACTTACTTTACCTGGAATGGTACTTTCAACAAACAAAATGAAGGTACCCCCATGGGTTCCCATCTATCACCAGTGGTAGCTAATGTGTTCATGGAAACATTTGAAACAGATGCCATCCAGACATCCACCCTACGTCCTTCCTTGTGGAAGAGATACGTAGATGACACTTTCGTAATTTGGCCACATGGCCAACCAGCATTGAACCAATTTCTCAACCACATAAATTCCATGCACCCATCCATCAAATTCACCATGGAAGTGGGGCAGAATGGTAAGCTACCATCACTGGATGTTTTGATTGAAAAGAGGACTGATGGCTCGTTGGGACATTCTGTCTACAGGAAAGCTACCCACACTGATTCCTATCTGAAGTCCGATTCCCACCACCACCCGGCCATAAGAATTCCCTCATCAAAACACTACACTACACCATAGGGCCCGCTGCATCTCCGACCAGCTCTGAAACACGGCAGAACCAATACCACTGCCGTAAGAGACCATTGTTATAATCCTGTGGACTCGCACAATATTGTTTTTTCCGAGACCAAGGTACTCTGCAAACCTTCGGGTTACCATCAAAGATTTGTAGATGAAGCTATCCAGATATACAAACATAGAGACAACTTCAACCAAGAAGATGGGTTTAAGCTGAGCAACCATTGGAAGGATGTTATTAACCAGCACAGCAGCGAGCTCCGCAGCAGCGAGGTCCGTAGCAGCGAGCTCCGCAGCAGCAGCGAGCTCCATAGCAGTGAGCTCCGCAGCAGCAGTGAGCTGCGTAGCAGCAGCGAGCTCCATAGCAGCAGCGAGCTCCATAGCAGCGAGCTCCGTAGCAGCAGTGAGCTCCGCAGCAGCAGCGAGCTCCGTAGCAGCAGCGAGCTCCGTATCAGCAGCGAGCTCCGTATCAGCAGCGAGCTCTGTAGCAGCAGCGAGCTCCATAGCAGCGAGCTCCGTAGCAGCAGTGAGCTCCGCAGCAGCAGCGAGCTCCGCAGCAGCAGCGAGCTCCATAGCAGCGAGCTCCGTAGCAGCAGCGAGTTCCGTAGCAGCAGCGAGCTCCATAGCAGCGAGCTCCGTAGCAGCAGTGAGCTCCGCAGCAGCAGCGAGCTCTGCACCCCAACGCGTTAGCACGGCCATCTTTTGGATCGCTAACACGGCTGCTTTTGTCACACATGGACATGCAACCACTGGCATGACTGCATACTTGCTCATCTCTCATTGACTTTAACATGATATTCTCATTAACTTCGCTCATTGACTTTGACATGCTTTTCTCATTAACCTTAACATGCTATTCTTTGTTACACATAGACTGATATTAACTTGCAAATTTTTTCATTAACTTTTACATGCTTCTCTCATTAAAATACATGTTCTCTCTCTCCCCTGAGCCGTTCTTAAGTTAAGTTAATTAACTTTAACATGCCACGCCATTTATTACATATAGAGTGACATCGACTTGCTCATCTCTCATTGACTTTAACATGATATTCTCATTAACTTCGCTCATTGACTTTGACATGTTTATTCTCATTAACTTTAACATGCTATTCTTTGTTACACAAAGACTGACATTAACTTGCTAAAACAATAATTAACTTTTACATGCTTCTCTCATTAAAATACATATTCTAATCCTACATGCTAATCTGAGTTCATATGCGCTACGGAAGCTCATTAACATTGTACTATAATCCAACATGCTATCTAAGTTCATTTCCTTTAACATTCCACGCTATTTATTTCCTTTACACTATAATACCCCATTAATACTACTTCGGCTGCCTTTGTTCTCAAAACTTATATAAACCCTTGCTGGTAACCGCTTTTCTTCACAAGGCAGCAGACATCGTAGCTGTCGAGATTTTTACCTGAAGACGAACGCTTGTGTTGCGTTCGAAACGTCGTGATTTATTTAAATTGATTTCTACCTACGTGACTTTACCGAAAGAACCAAAGAGTATGGATTCCTGCAGTCACGAAAGCTTCAAATCAAGATTGGATAACCAGGTTCAGAGTGCAGAGGGGTAGTCGTACGACAGTGGGGTCACGGTTCTACGGGGGTCAAAATGCGATCCCACACCAGCATTGAACTTGGCTTTGTGCTCTGGCCATGCCAGGTCGGCCTGCGTGGACCTCCCAGCAGCGACCATGAGACTCCACGTGGCGAGTTTCGTGGCCTGGGCCTGTCTCCTCTCCCTCCACCTCACACCGCCCACCACTGCTCAAGGTAACATGCAAACACGTGACATATATACTCTTGGTTTTTTTCGGTAAAGTCACGTGACTTTGCAAAAAAAACAAGAGTATGAATCCTTGCAGTCACGAAAGCTTCAAATCTACGTGACATATAATGCATGCACACATGCCCAGGTACGTGGACAGTGCATGGACAACACTGGCATACGAACACGCGGACACATGAATGCACAAACACATGCACACACTCATGCGCGGACAAACACGTGAACACGTGACTCAACATGCGAACCCGTGGAAACATTCACAAATGGACACACGCGCACACACTTCAACACGCGAACAGACGCGCGCGGGCACATGCACACGCGCGTTCATCACCCATTGGCCATCATGCTGCCACGAGCCGCAGGCGTCGGGCGCCGGTCACCCCGGGGTGACCCCGCGGGGCAACTCGACTCCTTCAGCAGTCGCGTGGGTGGGGCCCGGAGGTTTCAATAGTTGGTGGAAGTTCACGCGGCTGCTCACCACTGCTCTCGTTGAGGGTGGTGTTCTTTGTGCTTTATTAAAACGTTTACGCTCCACTTGGGCTCTCAACGCCACGAGACGGAGAGAGGCTACAGCTGCCAGCAGCGAGCAGTGAACTGCCCTGCGTGAGAGAATTCCTCCAGAAGATAGCGGGGTTCATGGGCTCCTGGGGCAGACGCCTCACTCGGCCTCTTCCCTCACACGAGAGGCGACAACAAGCACGCGTCGGTCGTGTGTCGCAAAATGAACACAATCGCAGTTGCTGAGCACAGGTCCAGTGGCTCCAAAACGCCTCGTGGCAAGCAACAATTCGCACCATTGAGGTTGAAATATATATATAAATGAAGACCTTAATCTGTATGTCTCAAAAACCTCGAGGGTACTTCCCGACAAGGTAGAAAGCTGAAATTTGTTACATAGGTAGCTTTTACGACAGAAACAACATGAGCATGTTTGTGCCTGGTGTCATTCAGACACCGTTCAAAATATAAGATTGAGTGTTTTTTTTGACAAACCATTAAACATCAAATCACATTTAAGTGAGAACCATTGTTCTATCTTTTATTGTTTGAGATGTTTCGGATTCAAGCGATTTTGAACGAAAAAAGGCATTTTATGATATTCAAATCTGAATAATTATAAAATGGTAAAAGTTAGAAGCTTTCCCTCAGAGTATTAAGTTCATAATTTTTTTTATATTTCTTATGAAACAGAGCAGAATCTTGAAATCGAGCAGTTTCGATGGGTATGTCTTTAAATATAAGAAGTTTAATCAAGTCGTCAACAATCTTTGTCAGTTTTTTCGGAATTTTTGTTGAGTGGTTGTTCGTGTCTGATCGTAGATACAAATAAAAAAAAATCATATCAGGTAAATTTTTATATATATTTAAAACATTTGCCTAGCGACGACAGCCTTTATGAACTAGTTGAATAATAAGTGTGATCACACTTATTGAATTGAGCAAGGTTTTACAAAGCTTGTAAGGAGAGACAGCGGTGAAGACATTCCACAGTCGCTTAGCATCAATAAATGTGGTCGCTTGCAGGCCTCCCATCATCACGTTTATTTTCCTGTCGCAGTCAAATAAAAACCAAGGCCGTAAAGCGTTCCCCTCACCCCAAGAGGATTCCCCCTCTAACTTTTATTTTCTACGCTTTTGAGTTTAATATTTAACAGAGCATTGATACGTTTTCAATCGCCCGCCGTGGAATATAAAACAACAACCACCCACACAGCACGGAGTCCGAGCCAGGCACCGACTCTGCCAGGGGATCGTTGGCTGACGGAGATCCGGCCACGTGTCTAGCTCCGCTCGCCGTGATTCACGCCGCGCGAAAACGGCCCGAGCCGTCGCGTAATCCGCGGGGCTGCATCCACTGAGCCGAACCAACCGCACTGGCGTCGCCGAGATGGCAGCTGGCAAGCTCGACCTGCAGATGGGCCAGACGGGTACAGATCGACGACTGGTGGATAGGTAAATGGATTGACAGGATTAGATAGACGGATGGACAGACAGGAAAGATGGACACGATATTTCCCAGGCATAGCAATAATGGCTACACCTTGTGAGCCGAGTAAAACTGATTCCATTCCTCACCCAGAGAGTCAAACCGAACCGGAGATTGGAACCAGATATCAGTTCTAATTTTATAAGTTTTAACTCAAATAAAATTTGTTGCCCCAGAACGAAAACATTATTTGGTTACTGGGTTTATACTAATATCTGGAAACTGGTTAAATGGAACTAACCTAAACCCCAACTGTACCATTCAATGGATTTTAAGTTCACTGGAACCGGAGCCAAATCCTAATAGGTTTGACTCCCAGAATTGAACCAACACAGTGCCTCGTGCTGGGTGGGTAGAGAGGCCTTGTGCTGGGTGGGTAGAGAGGTCTCGTGCTGGGTGGGTAGAGAGGCCTCGTGCTGGGTGCGTCATGGCCCAGCCGGAGAGAACGTACCGTGTCCACAAGCGGAACTCTCAGCCCGGCGAGACGCCGCCAGGTGAAGATGCCAATAGACGGAACACTCGCAGGACACAGCCACGGTGAAGCGACATTCCCCACGGCCGAGAACGCAGGCTGCCCGGAGCGAACTGAGAGACGGAGCCACACGCCACATTCGCGGAGTCGGCGAGATGGGACGTTGGGTGCGAGTGACCGCGACTCCAGTGGCCGCTCGGTGCTGCCTTGTACCGCGTGCTGCTCATGAGGGGACATGGGGCGTCGCGTGCGCTTCACGGGGTGGGGGTCGCGCTGCGTATAAATCCACGGATCCACGATGGTCTGGACCCGGACGCCACGTGAGGGAGGCGATGCCGGAAGAGAAGAGGCGGCGACGAGTGATGCCTTGAGCCACGCCGCAGAAGAGGACACCTCGGGGTGACAAAGCTGCTGCTGCTCAAGTTGGTGAGACAACAGTGGGTGGTGGTGGTGGTGGCACTGGCTTTGACCATGGTGGCGGCGGTGCTGGCTATGGTGGTGGTGGTTCCGGCTCTAGTGGTGGTGGTGATATAGTGGTGATGGTGATGCTATCATGGTGGTGTTATATTGGTGGTGGTGCTCTAGTGGTGGTGGGACCTGCTGATGGCTCTACACCACGCGTGTCGCTCGCTCCTAGATGTAGCTCGCGACACTCGAGTCGATGGCATGATATTCGTTGCAATGTTTGATTCTTTAAATATGGTTAATTATCAAACATATATTTAATAAGCTTATTTAGTATATCCTCAATTATCGACAACATTAAATACATAACTTAATTTTGCCAATAATTTAAGATATATTTAACACACATTCAATATATTACTTTAAGTCAAACATGTATAACTAATCCAACATAGCAGAAGTTATGCAATGTATGTTGCCATTAATTTAGGCTCTACAAAATAAATGTATGAAGAATATTTGTGAAAATCAATGATATACTGTACTAAAAATCAAACGAAGCAACATACATATCTCCATACACGGTCATCCACTCTCACGCGTGGGAATCATCCATGATTCAATATTTTCGGCGTAATGCGTCCATTTGAAAACCTTTCAACAGCCACTAGAGGCCGCTACAATTCCCCACAGTGTAAAGAAAATAATACATTCCGATTTAAAGCTTTTGTGACTGCAGGGATTCATCTTCTTGGATCTTTCAGTAAAGTCACGTAGAAGGGCAATAATAAAAATAAAACATAATAAAATAAAATTATCACGACGTTTCGGCCTCCATTGGAGCGCTGTCTTTCCGACAGTTCTGTTTCTTCACCTGACGATGGCTGCTTGTGTTGTGGCCGAAACGTGAGAATTTAATTGTATTGTTTTATTTTTATTATTTTATTATTTCCCTTCTACGTGATTTTACCGAAAGAACCAAGAAGAATAATACATTCTTCAATCTATTCACGATCACGGATCGAGATAATTATTCGACAGCCTCCCACCCTAACCCTTAATTAACTGTAATTCAGGGTCACAATTTAATCAGATTTTTGTTTTACCCCGTCTAATTTCTAGAGTTGCGTCCATCCCCTCCCCTCCCTCTGGCATGGGCCTCGTCGCTGGGGCGCTGTGCCAAGCTGGCAGAGCCTCGCTACGCTCCGTGGGCAGCAGGGGGAGGGATTCGCCCCCAGTCTGTTTGAGTCAGCAGGTGTCAACAGTTAGCAGGCGGCGGGACCGGTGTGCGGTGAAGGGAAACGCGTTCGGAATCGCAGCGGCGCTCTCCCGGCCACGCGACGGGCAGATCCGACGATGACGCGAGGCGCATCGCCACGTAGAGGAGGCGGGCGAGAGTGATGACGTGGCTGGTTACAAAATAATTCCGCGAGTTTGCTGAGCAAAGCTTTTCCGACTCTCAAGACTGTCTTTCAGGAGGGCCCTGCCAAGTTATTGCAGTAGGGGAGGTTGGGGGTGAACAGCGACGTTGCTGCTGCGTGTGGAATCCCAAGTGTGTGATTAGCGGGTGATTTTTCAACATTGGGATGATTTGGCCAATACCAGTTCCACTGTGTGTGCACGTTTAGCTATGGGGAGGAAACCCGAGAGCCCGGTAGAAACTTATGCGGAACAGTAAAAAAACAGACAAAGATCCCCTTATAGCCTTGAACAGACTGTTGGGGTAAGTGCTGTTAGCGGGCACCTATACAGGCCAACACCACTCCCGACAGTCTGTATCACCCATTGCTGATGATTGCACATCACACCAGATGCTTTTTTAGACTGAGTCGACCTAGGGGAGGCAGGAGAGATCCAGGACCGGATCAAATATTACGACTGTTATTGGTGGTGAGTGGGAACCGAACTCGGAACCCCAGCCGTGCGGTAACCCACTGTGCTGCCCCTCTTCGTGTACGCACACAGGGGGAGTTGTGTGAACGACCTCGTATGTTTACTCCGGGTTCTCTAGTTTACTTCCATACAAAGCCAAACTGGAATTGGCCAAACATCCCAATGTGGCAGCACCCTCATGACAAAGAGTCTTGAGACTCAGCGAGGCTATCCCAGGTAAATTAAGCTCCCCCTTGATTTGTTTTCAAAACTTCGCTGAGAAGGGATATCGATGGGGAGGCATCGCCGCGCTTCTTGGCTCATCACTCGCAATTCCAGCGAGGGTGCTGATGCACGCGGTTTGTGTCGCCCTGACCTTCTCACCCCCGACATTGCGGCTCTCTCTTCCCGGCTGTCACTCCACACAGCGGTGCCGGCCCCGACCAACATGCAAGTGAGCGTGTTGTCCGAGAGCAGTGTCAAGGTGTCGTGGAAACCAGCGCGTGGGCGGTTCAAGGGGTACCGCCTCATTGTGCTGCCCAGCTCCGGTCAGTACCCTGTCAATCTCTCTCTGCCTCTCTTTCTCATTTTCTCTCTTCCCCTCTTCTTGTCATTTTCCTCTCTCCCTGCCCTCTGAACTAACCCAACCATGGCCTATCTGACCACTGTGCTATATGCGGAGGGTTGTATCAATTCATCGACTACAACTGATTCTTCCGCTCAGAGGTTTGTTTAATCACGTGCGTCCAAATCGATTATTTATGATTTACGTTTATATGATTCACGATTATTTGCTAATTTCTTCTTAAGGACAAAGCAGTGAGAAAAACTGCACAGATGAGAGAGAAAAATCTTTAAATGTTATTGCTTGTGCTGATATTAGGAGTAGATCTGGCGGATAATAGGATCTATCCTGAGTGGATCTCACATCGGGACGGTAGAGAGAACCCTCGCTGCCCGAGCACGTGCAGAGCGGAGAGAGGGGGGAAGTTCTTCAGAGGGAAGAGAATTCTTTGTTACACACGAGACTTGAGCAGGAAATCATAGAGCAGCGCGTAAGTCCTGCTCCATGGGTTTTGGCTCGGGGAAGCAAAGAGAAAATAAACTTGAAAAAAATAATAATAATTACACTCGGGCGGCATTACAGAACGCCAGCACGGATTTGTTCTGGGCCTGGGGGGTGGGGTGGTTTCTGGCTCGGCTGGAAGCGTCTGGCTCTGTGCCCCCCTCCCCCGCCCACCCCCCCCCCCCCATTTCCCCTCACCCCCACCCCGCGCTGTAATCACGGTGTCTCGCAGCGCCACCCTCGTGCGGTCGATGCGGGCGACTCGAGCGTCTCCCGCTCACGGGGCGTCCCTCTGAGCAGCCTGGAGTTGGTGTGGGGGGGCGAGCCCCCCCCCCCCCCTCTCCTTCCCCTCGTCCTCCCGTCAGTCGCTGTGCAGCGGCAGAGCGGCGTCCTCCGCTCCTCCCCTTCTCTGGTCATGGCGCTCGCTTCCCATCGCTTCCCACATTTCTCTCTGCAAAGTCCTCAATCCAGCAGTGGATTGACCATGGCTGCTGCTGCTGTTGCTGCTGCTAATGATGGTGAAATCCTCTTCGCGCTTCCAATCCCCCTCCTGCGTGGTTGCCCCCTACACCTCGGTCTCGCCACGTGGCAGTGCAGGGTCACCGATGGTGGCATTCTAATGGCCTTCCCTTCTGTTCGCACGTCCAAGACACGGGAGTCCGTGTCGGTCTCTGTGTCTCGTGCTGACCCAATCCGTTCCGCATTTGTAGTCTCCACGCTTCCAGGATCAACCTCAGCTGGATCATTGCGAACAGCGTTGGTTCAATTAAGCCTGACTGCTGATGAGACACTGTATGTTGAATCCAGTCCCGAACTTGCATGTCTTGAACCAATGCTGCTGAAATTATGCACTCTCCAAACGAAGGCCGTGGGGCTGATGGGATGTAGAAAAATAATTTGAAATGTTTCGTGAAGGAGGCGTGGCGTCCCATTATTAAAATTTTCGCTTATGTTCTGCACGAACGACGCTAATAATTGAATTTCGACCGCGAGTGATGGCCAGTGCCTTCTAGAGCCTGGTCTGGCTGCTGGTGCTGATGCTGAGGTCTAAGCGAGCATTGTGGATCTCACCAAGAGAGGAACCGTAAAGACTATCACTATTTCAGCAAAGTGCACATCCATCGCTCGTGTCGCCAATCAGTGCCCCCCACACACATGAGGGTTCTAGAACACCAGCCTTAACTGTTGCCTCCCCCCCCCCCCCCCCCCCCCCCCCCCGTTTTGGCCATGCAACGGAAAACCCGGGTTGTCACCATTCTGGGAATTTGTATTGTGTGTGAGAGTGTACCGATGTGTTCTACATTCTATGAAGGGTGCCCAGTAAACATGCATCGTTGGCCCAACTTTGGTCAGACGTTGGCTCAATGTTGGCTCAATATCGGTCAACATTGCACGTTCACTGGGCGTGCCAGTGTGCTCGATAACTCTTGACAGAGAGCGTGCGTCTGCCGCTCGCCGAGCAGGCGAGGGTTCCCCACAGGAGATGACGCTGGCACGCGACGCCACGGGGGCGGTGGTGCGCGAACTGGAGGCTGGCGTTGAGTACATGGTCAGCGTGGCCGCGTATGGGCCTCACGGGGAGAGCACGCCGCTCGTCAAGCAGATCGTCAGTGAGTCCGCAACCTCCTCCCCAATGCAACCACTCACGCACGCACGCATGCACGCGTGTACATATGTCTTCGGCTCGCACCCTGTGTCTGTGCATTTGTTTGGTGACGCAACGGTTAGCACACTGCGCAACGGACCCGACAATCCGAGATTGATTCTCGCCCACGTCCATCGTTGGTGACAAATATCCGAACTCGACCTGGGCCTCCCCTAGGTCGACTTAGCCTTTAATAAGCACCTGGTGGGGTGTGTAAACATCAGCACTCTGGAGGCCGGACGTGGTGGTGGCCACACACTCCTTGTATGTGTCCTGCCGGCCTTCATAGGTGCTCACTAACAGCACTTGCCCCAACAGCCTGGTAAAGGTTATACAGGGGATCTTTGTATTTTGTGGGTGTGTGAGACCCGCTCCCCCCCACAAATGACGAAAGCCCCCCACGCCTTGTGGAGGAGTGTTTTTCTGGCTCTGAGGTCAAGGCTAAAGGCCCATTGCATGCGTGGGGAGGCACGTGCACGAGTGGGTTGCTGTTGTCCATGAACAATTCCGCTGTGCCGTCTGTGTTTGTCTTTGGGTATAACTGTTTTTGTCTATTTGTGTCATTTGTCTGTGTGTATGGTTACATGTGTCTCTTCGTGTCTGTGCCACTTATGACCCTTTACCTGCACGCCTCCACGGATGTTCATCTTTAGTAGGGACGCAGGCCACCACCTTCACCACCAACATCGCCATCACCATTACCATCATCATCGTCACCACCATTCCTTGCCTGCTATTGATGGGGAGGCGAGCCCACAATAGACTCAGACTCACGGCTTCCTTCGTGGAGCCAGAACTTAGCCCTCCAGAGCTCCTGTATTCCACAGAGATCCAAGCAGTGCTGCTGCAGCTCCTGAAAGACGTATGGCAGACTCCTTTGCTCCCCATGCGAGCGTTTGGCTATTCCACGTGGCCAGCCACAGTGGTTTATTGCTGTTTCTGGAGAAACCCCGAGGGGCGAGGGGGGTATGGGGGGTTAAAGGGGGGGGGGGAGTTGGGGGGGGAGTTGGGGGGCCGAGTTGGGGGGGGGGAGTTGGGGGGGGAGTTGGGGGGGGAGTTGGGGGGGGAGTTGGGGGGGAGTTGGGGGGGAGTTGGGGGGGAGTTGGGGGGGAGTTGGGGGGGGAGGTGGGGGGGGGAGTTGTCTCCTGGCTTCAGAATCTGGGGTTTGACCAAGAGACGTCATCGACCCACATTCCCGCGGGGTCTCCGGCACAAGCTAAGTTTGTTTTCTCCGTGGTTCTATGGTCAATAATTGCGGCCCCTGGTGGCCGCGCGCCCCCCGTGAGCGGTGTGGTGGGACGAGCAGGATGAGGCTGACATCTCGCTCACTCCCCCCTACCCCCCATCCCTCCCCCTCTTCCTCCCCCCCCACCCCGCACTCCCTCCCCCCCCACCCCGCACTCCCTCCCCTCTCCAGTTGAAACAACATCAGCCTCTCTGGCAGAGGCGCCGAAAATTCAGAAGGAAAAAGAAGAGAGCAGCCCCACGCACATCAGAGGTACACAGCGTGGGTACACGTGGCAGCGTGGGTACACGCGGCAGCGTGGGTACACGCGGCAGCGTGGGTACACGCGGCAGCGTGGGTACACGCGGCAGCGTGGGTACACGCGGCAGCGTGGGTACACGCGGCAGCGTGGGTACACGCGGCAGCGTGGGTACACGCGGCAGCGTGGGTACACGCGGCAGCGTGGGTACACGCGGCAGCGTGGGTACACGTGGCAGTGTGTGTCAGCTTTGTCTTGTGAATGTGGGTATTTGCGTGTGTAAAGGGCATGGTGCAGGCCACCCACTCCCTCGTGTGTCCCGTTCAGGCCTTCATAGGTGGAACTCGCTCACAGCACTTGCCCCAACAGTCTGTTAAGGCTATAAGGGGCGTTTTGCCTTTGCGTGTGTGCAAACGAAATCGTTATTACCAAAGCAGGGAATGTGTGGGGCAGAGGAGAGGCGCACGGTCGAGGTGGGAGCCTGGGCAGGCAGTGGGAAGAGGAACACGTGGATGTGGAAGAACATGAATAACAACCCTTCCCATCATCGACCAAGACCTCGACTGTGAACCTCGCAACCACTGGCAAATGAAATCCCGATGCCATCCCTTCTGGGATCGCGATGCTGTCGCCATGCTCCTGCAATGTCACCACCCAGATCCAGAGGAACGCTGCTGCTGCTGCGCGAGGTGAAACAACGCGATCGTCCAGAATAAACTCCTCATTCAAGACGCACACATCAACTCATCTCCTCCTGGCTTTGACATTCCTCCTCCTTGAAGACACTGGTGGAACCATCAACTGCATATGCACATGAGCAGACTTATGTGCACATCTTCTTCATAAATTGAACATTCCAGACAGGAGCCACAGCGCTGCGATGATGGCCATGCAACCCAAACTATGGACTATGTAGTAAACCCACTTTGGTCTGCGCTCCTTCAAAAGAGGAGGAACAGGAAAGTGACACAAACCCTCTGCTGAGCCATCTCGTCGTGGCCAGCACCGGACCTCGAAATTGGCATCGAACTCCTGAACCATCTTGCGGCTGCCATGCGCAAGAATGGATTAGGAGAGCACGTGGGTTATTCTGCATTGCCAGTGGTGCACAGGGACATAATCACACATTAAACAAGTGCCACCGCTACGTGTATTGTCCTGCTCTACGTGTTGTATACACGTGTACAGTTGCACACACACACATATATAATACTAAGCCTTGACATACGGGGCACTGACATGACCGCTCATGCATGAGGGGAGGAGGAGGGAGGGAGCGAGGAGGAAAGGGGGAGGGAGGAGGAGGGGAGAAAAAAACCCAAAACGCGGAGCTCCCCCAGGAGATTCCTCTCGTCTGGGCTGCTGCGAGGTGGCTTAAGGTTGAGCAAGACGCAAGGAGGAGGAGGAGGCGAGAGGGGAGAGCGAGGGTGGGAGATGTGAGCTTGTGGAGTTTGGGGTGGAGGGGGGAGACTCGGCACGGATTGCCGCGATATCCTCGCGGTCGCGGCGCCATGCGCCGCCGCTGCTCTTGAGTGGCGTGGGATTTGTCGATTTGCGAACCCTGGTCCATTACATCCACTTGGCCCGGTCTGGGTCTTGGTTTTTGCCGATGGCCATCCCACAGGGATGGGGAGCAGAATCGATGCAGGACATTGTGAGATTACTCTTCTTTAATTTGGTCTCCGTGGTTAATACAATAATGTGGAGTCCCTATCCACTGATGAAGGACTCGCCATGCCACTTAAGGGGGTTGTTCGTCCATAGATCACCACTCTCGTCAGCGCAGGTTGGAGAATTGAGGGCCCAGGACCGGTACAGATATTACTACTCTCCACTCACCTGCCTCACCTCAACCACCGCAGCCTCCTTACCTCGCCATCCTCACCTTACCCTTATAATCCTTCACAATCCCCTAGGGAGACAAAGGCGGCTGGGTGTGGTACTGGCCACCGCCCCCCCCCCCTCCCGCCTTGTGTGTTGTGCCGGCCTTCATAGGTCCTTGCTAACAGCACTTGCACCAAGAGTCTGTTCCAGGCTATACGGGGAACATTTCTATTTTATGAGTTAAGTGGGTGGAAGAGGGATCTCAGGAACAGGTGGATGAGGTCACAGTCAGCACTGCGGGGCAGGGAGAAGAGACGGTGGCTTTGCGAAGGAGCAGACGAGGACAGCACCTGGCAAAGAGAAGCCGGCCACAGAGAAGGAGGTGGAAGACGAGGAGTTGTGGGCAGTGGAGGGAAATGGGGTCACGTGGACGCACGCATGCACACGCGCCTGTGGGGGGGGGGGGGGGGGGTGTGAGAGACACGAGGCGAGTTCGCAGCTGAAACGTGGCGGAGTATCACGCACGCGTGTCGACTCGGGGCGTCCGTGAGAACACGTGCTCAGCGCCACGGGAATGATTCGCTGGGCTTGACGCACGCACGTGAAGCCAACGCCTCCATCTCCCCGCCCATCTCACCACCTCCCCATCCCTCTCACCACTACCCCCTGTTTCTCCCACCAAGGCTGCCCGCCGGACGTTCCCGTGGAGCTGGTGTTTGTAGTGGACGGCTCGCAGGGTGTGAGCCGCGCCAGCTTCCAGCGCGTCAAGGCGTTCGTGTCGGCACTCGTGTCCGCCTTCACCTTGGGGCCGGACCGCGCGCGCGTCGCCCTTGTGCAGTTCTCGGGTGACGCGCGCCTCGAGTTTGCGCTGCACCGCTATCGCAGCAAGGCGGAGATCTACAAGGCCCTGCGCGCCGTCACACTCAAGGGTGGCAGCGCCACCAACACGGGTGAGCGGCGCCACGGTCGCCCCGGGCCCCCCCCACCCTTCGTTTACTACGGGAGACGTCCAAGGCCCCAGGCTACCATTCGCCCCTTAAACACGCAACGTTGGACAAACGTTCGCTTGTGGTTGGAATTGTTGGTTCAATGTATAACACGTAAGCTTTCGCGACCAATATTATGGTTCAACGTTGGCCCACGTTTTACGCTTATTGGGGAAGTTCACCATGTTTATCTTAACTTAATTTTGTAGTTATTCACGTAAGTGCGCGTGTTTACGCAGGAGCATTTCACCGAGTCTCCACACTCCCTTCTCAAGAGGGTGCTGCCAAGTATTTGCAATAAGCAGGGGCCACGATGTTGCTCTTGCTGTGTAAATCCCAATTGTGTCATTTAGAGGTAATTATCCAGCAGTGGGATGTTTATTTAGCCCTTGACGTCAAGATGCGTGAGTATCTAGGCTCGACCCGTAGCAAATCTTTGCTTGTTCCACCTGTCGAGTTGGGTCCATACCGACCCTGACCCCAGGTGGCCCCCGGTGCCCTGAGGCGCTGTTCAGACCCCCCCCCGTCAGCCTCGCCTGGGAGGAGGAGGAGGAGGGGAAGGGGCGCAGCCCCGTCGGCTCCCGGGGCCCTGAGGGCACTTGCGCTGTGCCTGCTGTCCTCCTAGGGTGGCGGCCTTGCTGCTGCTGTTGTTAATGTTGTTACTGTTGTTGGTAATGTTTTGTTGCTGCTGTTGGTAATGTTGTTACTGCTGTTGGTAATGTTTTTACTGTTGTTGGTAATGTTGTTGCTGCTGTTGGTAATGTTGTTGCTGTTGTTGGTAATGTTTTGTTGCTGCTGTTGGTAATGTTGTTACTGCTGTTGGTAATGTTTTTACTGTTGTTGGTAATGTTGTTGCTGCTGTTGGTAATGTTGTTGCTGCTGTTGGTAATGTTGTTGCTGCTGTTGGTAATGTTGCTGTTGCTGCTGTTGGTAATGTTGCTGTTGTTGTTGCCATTGTTGCGATGGTATGCAGGCGAGGCGCTGCGCTTCACCCTGGCCTCGGTGCTCACGGCGGCGTCGGCGGAGGGCGGCGGTGCGCGGCGCCGCGTGCCGCAGCTCGCCGTGCTCATCACCGACGGCCCGGCCGACGACGGCGCCGACGTCGCCGAGCACGCACAGGAGCTGCGCGACGCCGGCGTTGAGCTCTTCGCCATCGGTGCGAGCACTCGCCTGCTCGCTGAACCGCTTGCTCGCTCAACCACTCGCTCGTTCAATCACTCGCTCGCTCAATCACTCGCTCACTCAACGACTCGCTTGCTTATGAATTCATACACTCGCTCACTCACCCATTTACCTGCTACCGGCATTATTCTGCTGGTAGTGGGTAATGACTGCTGCTGCTGTGTGCGAGCTCATTTGATCTCGATCTTCATGTCATTAAAATGACTTTGTTCCGCTGTCCGCCCTCCCGTCGTCTCACCACGTCAGGAGTGGCCCAAGCGAACAAGAACGAGCTGCGTCTGGTGGCGTCGCCGCCGCTCTCCACGCACGTCTTCTCCGTGCGGGGGTTCGAGCAGCTCGAGTCGTCCCAGGGCGTCGTCATCGGCCAGATGTGTGCCGGCGTGGAGGCGCAGCAAGCACGCATCGAGGAAGAGACCAGCCGTGAGTGACCTCGGTCACCAAACATCGCTTGCGGGCAACCGCCGTCGGCCAAGGTCACCTGCCGTCGACCGATTGCAATCGCCAGTGATCCCGTGGAATCGCCAACAGCTTATCACGATTGCTGAAATGTAACCGATTGCGACCCCTTACGATCACCGTCATTGTCTCGTTTCTACCTCTCTTCCCTCACTGTCCCCCCACCCTTTGCCCCCCACCCCACCCACCTCACCGCCCCCCACAGAAATCCTACCTCCCCAGAACCTGCGCACGCTGGAGCGGACGGGCGACTCGATCCGCCTGGGCTGGGACGCGCCGGGCCCCGAGGTGTCGAGCTACCGTGTGTTCTACCAGCCTGTGGGCGACGACGAGGGCACCGCGCGGCGCGAGGCGACGGCGCCCGGCGGCGCCACGCATGTGCAGCTGTCGCGCCTGCTTCCTGACACCGAGTACCAGGTCAGCATCTACGCCGTGTCGGGCCAGCGCTCCAGCGAGCCGCTCGTCGTCACCGAGAGCACCACCGAGGACCACGGACGAGGTGAGTGGTGCCGCACGAACGCCGGTTCCACACGCGCTAACTGTGGACCGATCCTTACACAGAGAGACACAGAGACTCGCATAAAGACACACATACTCGCATAGAGACACACAGACTCACATAGAGACACAGACTCACATAGATAACTATAGACCAACATAAAGACCAAGAGATCCATAGACTTACACTCGGGTTGCCTTGTCCACCTTAGACCAATCCTGGATGTATATACCCATCCACACCAGGTCTATGATCACAAACTGTGCAGTGCAGTATCGTATGATGGAGTTCAACACCGCTACCAGACCTCAGGACAAATCAATTCCTTGCCACCCACGCACCATCCCCACCCCACCCTTTTTGGGTCCAACCCAGAGAGCTGGTGACCCTGGTGTGGGGGGGTGATGAGGGTCGCGGACTTGCAGGTGATGAGGATAACAGACAGGTGATGATGGCAGCGGGCTAGCGGGTGATCAGCGCAGCAGACTGGCAGGTGATGAGGGTAGCAATCTTGTGATGAGGGCAGTGGACTGGCTGGTGATGAGAGTATCAGACTGGTGATGAGGGCAGAGGACTGACTGGTGATGAGTTAGCAGACTGGTGGGTAATGAGGGTAGTGGACTGGCAGATAATGAGGAAAGCAGACTGATGAGGGTAGCAGACTTGCAGGTGATGAGGGCAGTGAAATGGCAGGCGATGAGGGCAGCTGAATGGCGGGTGATGAGGGTAACAGATTGGTGGGTGATGAGGGTAGCCAACTGGTGGGTGAATATTCTGCCTGTGCCGTGGGGCTCTCCGCCGCTGCCTCAGGGGAGCTGACCCCGCCGGGTGACGTGGTGCTGACGGACGCATCATCGCGCAGCCTGCGAGTGTCCTGGTCGCCCGCGCGCTCCTCCGTGCGGCACTACCGCATCGAGTACCGGAGTCTTGTACCCGGAGATGACGGCGACGAAGACGAGAAGGATGATGAGGGTGAGGACGTGCATGCTCACGGTTATCATCGCCCCATCATCCTCATCCTTTTCCCTCCTGCCATCAACATTTTCCTCCCTCTCCCTGATTACCTCCCTCCTTCCTCCACCTCCTCATCCATTTGCTCATTGTCTCTTCCTGTCTCCTCCCCCCTGCTCTGGCTGATTGTGGTGATGGTGGTGATGGTGGTGGTAGTGATGATGATGGTGACCATAGCGGTGGTGATCGTGGTGATAATGATAATTGAGATGATAATGACGATTGTGATGATGATCGTGATGCCGACCTCTGCCTTCATCACGCAGACCGGGAGCGGCCGAGCCTGCAGGAGGCCGAGGTGGATGCGGCAGTGACGATGCTGGCGCTGAGCGACCTGCGGCCTGAGACGCGGTACCGCGTGCACGTCGTCGCCGTGTACGACGGGGGCGAGGCCGTGTCAGGGGCCGTTGAGGAGACCACGCTCGATGGTATGGCCACTGCCTCCACTGTGGCGCCACCACTCCTTATGCCACCCACACGAGGCTCCCGCCGTTTGGTCGGGCGGTCGTTACGGAGGTGGCCGGGGGCTCGTGCACCGAGGACACATATACTTGTGGGGAGTGGTCAGCACGCTGTGCTAAGAACCCGCTCGTGACCAACAACAGTGGCAAATATTTGAGCCTGTCCTGGGCCTCCCATAGGTTGACTCAGCCTTAAATGAGTGCCTGGTGCGGTGTGTAAAACATCGCCACTAGGGAGACAAGGGCTTTCGCGACCAATATTATCCAGCCAATTAGTAAGATTTGTCACGTAAACAAAACATGCCAATTCGTTACTAGTACAGCACACTGGTGTGTTGGAAAGTATTCGAATTGTAAATGTTGTGGCTTTACTCTCCAACATACTGGTGTGCTATACTAGTAACGATTTGGTATGTTTTGTTTACATGACAAACCTTACTAACCTTACTAATTGGCTGTGTCGGGTGGTGGCGGGTTTAACGACACATTTATATTTATGTGATCTAACCCACCCCCTCGTGTGCTGTGCCGGCCTTCAAAGGTGCTCGCTGCTAAAGGGTTAGATTTTAGGTTTTATTGTGGCACAGGTAAAACCCTTTGGGCAAAAAGCACTCATTTATAACCTGGTTACAGCAAAAACACGAAAACCAGGTTAAGTTCCTGGTGGCAGGGTCGTCCATTAACACGGTCCAACCAGCACAAAGAACATACTGCAAATCGAATGCATTGCATACAAAAGAAAGATTTATAATGTCAAGATTGCAAAGCAGAGCGATCAACGGCTACATGGGGCATCTCTGTGTGCAGAGCGCGGCTCCCCGAGCGACCTGGAGGTGGAGGAGCGCTTGTCGGACAGCGTGCTCGTGCGCTGGCTCCCCTCGCCGGGCCGCGTGCTCTCCTACCGCGTGCGCTATGCGCCGCTGGAGGGAGGCGCGGGGGCGGCGGAGGGCACGGGTGGGGAGCGTGCGGTGAGCGGCGAGCTCGCTGGTGCGCGGCTCGAGGGGCTGGCGCCCGGGACGCGCTACCGCGTCACGGTCATCGCCGAGTACGCGACCGGGCTCAGCGACCCACTCGTCGCCGACGTGGAGACGCTGGGCGGTGAGGGCGGCCGCGGCGTCATCGCCGTCGCCATCACTAATTGTCGTCGTTATCACCAATCATTGTCATTACCAATCATAATGGTCATCACCAATTAGTGTTGTCATCATCATGACCAATCATCGTCGTCATCATCATCACCAATCGTCGTCGTCATCATTAGCAATTATTGTCACCAATCATCGTTGTCACCTTAATTATCATAAATCATCATCGTGAGATGAGAGGGGAGAGACAACATACAGCAAATCCCTGCTCTCTCTGCCCCTCATCGCATACAGAGACGGGTGGCGTGACGGAGCTGCGCGTGCTGGAGGCCACGTGGGGGAGCCTGCGCCTCGCCTGGAGCCCTGCGCCGGGCCCAGTAGCCCGCTATAACCTGCGGTACTCAGCACAGACGGCGGAGACGGAGACCGCTGGGGGGGAGGAGGCCGGCAGTGGGCTCTGGGACATGGGCGTGGGGCCTGGGGCGGGCGAGCAGCAGGCCATCCTGCGGCCCGATGCCACGGGGGCTTGGATACGAGGCTTGAGGCCCGAAACGACATACGCCATATCCGTGATGGCGGAGTACGCATCGGGAGAGGGCAAGGGGGCCTCCGTGGAGGGCACCACGTTGCCAGGTGTGGGCCCCGGACATCTGTGAATAAGAGCTTCGTATCTCATCGGATTCCTCCAGTCTGAATAAAAAATCTGATTCTGATCAAGTCTGGTTCCGTTGACGTGGTGACAATCGTCCCGCATTCGTCAGCTATCATCTACTCAGTTTAAAATGTTCTGACCTCATGCTCGATTTCCTACCCTTGCGGTCTAGCGCCCCCCCCCCCCCATCCTTGGATCCGTCACTGCCATCTATCCTGGCCACATATCCATTGTATAGGAGTCCGCTGTCCTTGACCTGGTGGCCTTGATTTCTCGTCTCTATCCAGGACTCCGGGATTTTTTTGTCACTCTTTGTTGATAACAACAACAAAACCATAAGTCGCCGTTGTGGTTGTTGTTGTGGTTGTTGCTTCTCTTGGTATAAATGCCCTCCTTTACACGAGGGCATCTTATCGGAGAGCTTTACACGCGATAAGTAACTCACATCATCACATCTCATCTTCAACACATTAGGAACGGGTACACCCCGTGGCAGCACTCCCTGTGTGACACAATTTTATTCGTGGGCTTCAACCGAAATTATGGTTCAGAATTGGCGTGTCTCAAGGCCACACAGGGTTGGTAAGATCGCTTGCGAGTCGCAGCCAGGACGTCTCGGATTTAACCCCATGGCTGCGGCGTTCCACTTGCAGAGATGGGACCGGTGTCACGCCTGGAGGCCTCGGACGTGGCGGAGGACTCTGCCACGGTGTCGTGGGCGCTGGCGCCGGGCCACGTCGAGGCGTACAGCATCGAGTTCCGCTCAGTCGCCGGGGATGAGCACGGAGCTCGTGACGCGGCGGCGAGGGCGGCATCCAGCACGCTCGACGGTCTCACGCCAGGCACGGCATACCAGGCCATCGTCACGCCCGTGTACACTGATGGTGAGCGGGGCCCTCCCGCCTCCGTCAACTTCACGACCGAAGGTGGGTGCCGGCACCTCGCCATGATTCGTCAGCTAAAAGTAGAGCTCTTAAAATAATTTCGTTTTTCGCATTACTAGTGTAGAGTAGTGAAATACGCGGTGCGCACAGTTAACCGAGGGCAACTGAGGGCAAACAGGTGCGCGTGAGGTTTGCACAGACAAACCGCCAGTTGTAAGGGGCGAAGCAGGTGCAAATGGGGTTGACTGGTTGTGCACGCTGAGACCGGAGGTGTTGCCAGGGAGACGCGAGATGAGGGTTGATTGATGGGCCGACAGGCACCAGCCTGGCTAGAGCTTAATGAGACGCATGAGAGGTCTCGGATAATTAGCAGAGGAATATAAGGGCGCATGCGTGAGCGGAGCGGGGAGTTGTTGCCGGGGACCAAGTGTGAGGACATCTCGCTGCTGCTGCTCCAGCCGTCAACAGGACCTCAACCCTCACGCCGTCCCCGGGCGGGTGGTGGCTGACCCCCCGCCCGGGACAGATGGATAAGCGGGTCTGAGGGAGCGTAGGTGAGGGTAGCGGTGGAGGTGTAGAGTTGCTGTGTGCGGAGACGCTGCATGCGGAGACGCTGAGTGTAGAGACGCTGAGTGCGGAGACGCTGAGTGCGGAGACGCTGAGTGCGGAGACGCTGAGTGCGGAGACGCTGAGTGCGGAGACGCTGCGTGCGGAGACGCTGCGTGCGGAGACGCTGCGTGCGGAGACGCTGCGTGCGGAGACGCTGCGTGCGGAGACGCTGCATGCGGGATAAGCTAGGTGAAAGGTAGATAAGAGTGGGGAGAAGTTAAACATAAGTGACCGTATAGATAGTTATAAGAGTGCCTGCAACTGGTGCAAGATTAGGTGAATAAAGTGTAAGCAGGTGACTTGTTACAACCTGTCGGTGTGAGTAATTTTTGAAGACACTACACTAGTAATCGCGTGAGAGAGAAATATAAAATGATAAAACCGGTTAATACTGGTTAAGTTTTCTAACCGAGAAGCGTAGGGAGCTCCCGTGGTGCGCTGATGAGCACCACGATGTTCAGCACCAATGAAACACCAATGTTTGTGGTCTCAATTTGGACTTTGGCACAGCTGGTGCCTGACTTTTAGCACCAGTTATCGATTCTGCAAACGGTTACCGGTTCACCATTTGGCGACTGTACTGGAGAGGTAAGTTCACAGATGGGGAGGCGGTGACATGGCGAGGGCAGCGGGGATGAGGGGTCCCGCATGCTGTTGCAGCCACGCTCCAAACGGCACCAACAAAAAAATATCCCAGAGCGTGGACATTCTTTGGGCAGCGAGTAAACCACGTTTTGTTTCACACGCGTTCCCTGCCTCTGCAAAGAGTGAAATCCAAGCCGTACTTGAGTTACGAGAAATGCACCATTTAGCGCTTGTTGACTTTGAGATGGCTGCGAAGATTTGCTGACCAGCGGCGTAAATCATAGAACCACTGTGACATCCAGACCTACCCAGGCTCTCTCTCCCTCCTGCTCTCTCCCACTGTCTCCCACTCTCTCCCATTCTCTCCACTCTCTCTAACCCTCTCCTACCCTCCCTCTTGTATGTTTTCTATATTTTGTAAAATAAATGCACACGTATAGTATTCGCGATTGCAGTAAAGTTATGGATTTGTGTTGCTTCTAGAGTTAAAAAGTCTCACGTTCACTTTCCCGCTCTCTCTCACTCTCTCACTAACTCTCCGGCTCTCTCTCTCTCACTCACTCTCCGGCTCTCTCACTCACTCTCCGGCTCTCTCTCTCACTCTCCGGCTCTCTCTCTCACTCTCCGGCTCTCTCTCTCACTCTCCGGCTCTCTCTCTCACTCTCTGGCTCGCTATCGAGTGGCGCATTCCACCACGTCCGGTGCGATTGTCCCCGGAGCGTTTTCTGTTCCGCCAGTCGGAATGCGCCGCATCCTGCGTCGCTCGCGATGGACGACATGCGGGTGAGCGATCATATCCTCGAGTTTGATATTTTCTTTTCGGATTTGGTGTGGGGGGTGACGGCAATGTGTCCTGGCAATGTGGCCGCGTGAAGATTTCTTATTTTTAAAAATGTTTGAGCGGTAGGGAAATCAAGACGACAGTGGTAAACGTCGGGTAGGAGACTCCTATGCTGGAGGAGGCCTTTGCTAGCTGTGAGAGCCGCAGCGTAGGGGATGCCACACGGTGGGGCTGGATGTCGTAGCAGGGAACCAATTTTGACGTAGTTTGTAATGCAATGAGAAAGCGCAACGGGTGGGGCGCTGAGTTACGGGTCCCATGCTGAGAACCCCAAGCCTTTGAGCCTGAATGTCAGACCCACAACGTTATCCTAACATAGTTTTTGCATTCACATTCGTACAAAGTCAAAGGTTCCCCATGTAGCTCCCATAGACTGTAGGGTGAAGAGCTCCCCAGGCCATCATCGTCTCTCAATGCTGTAACGCATCACTCCGTCTCGCTCCTGCACACACGAGTCATTCTATCGCTCCATCTCCGCGGTAGATATCCTCTTGGTCGTCACTTCGTCGTTAGTATCAACCAACGGGCATTGTCCGTTACAGTCACAATGTGTCGTTCATAGACACGTCCCCGTCATAGTAATGTGGAATTCCCACCGCTGAATATGTAGAGATTTAAAGAGGAGATGAATGCCAATGCCTCAATGCTCATTTGGCCAAGATGGTATTTCTGATTAAGTTAAATGAATACCGTGTTAAATCCAAAGTGATAGAAAACATTCCTAAAGCCTATAAAATATCTGATTGGTGTACTCCTGCTTGGCCTGAATTCTCACATGGGGAATTCAGGCCAAGTACTTTGAAGCAAAATTGCCTGAGAGAATTTGGGCTCTGCGCCAAAATGACAGCCAACTGATGATGACGTTGTGCGGGACCCGCCAGATGTCTCGGGCGGAAGAGTGGGCGTCTCAATCGGAAGGTCGCGAGTTCAAATCTTGGTCAGGTGGTATCGACTCTGCTCTGGGCTCAACAAAATTACTACCGTCAATCCACTGCTGGATGAAGCCCTCCCTAGACCGCCGCCATCACCACTCACGGTCCCGCAGAGTGATATTCCTCTGAGCTCTCGTACGTGATCTGATCTCGTCGCTCCGTCTCCGCGACGGACGACTCTCCCTCCACAGATTCGGCAGAGGCACGCGCGCTCCGCTTCTCGCACATCACCCCGGCGAGCGCGCGCGTGCTCTGGAGCGCCGCCCGCGGCGCCGTCACGCAGTACCGTTTATCGTTCCGTGCCGCCAGCGGGCCCGGCAAGGCGGTGGTGCTCAAGGTGCCCGGCGATGCCACGGCCGTCCCGCTGCGCCGCCTGCGGCAGAACACCAACTACGACGTGCTGGTGTACCCTGTGTACCGCTCTGGGGAGGGCCAGCCCATCAAGGGCCGCTTCTCCACCGTGCCCGGTACGTGAACGCGCCTCCGTTGCGTCCACCACTGCCACCGTCGCAATCGCCGTCTTCGTCATTGTCGCGGTGGTTTGATGACGTCTCCGCCCTCCCCCCCCCCTCCTCTTCAAGCGGTAAAGTTCCGACCCCCGCGCGACCTCCGCGTGACGGACGCATGGGCGAGCAGCCTGCGCGCGTCGTGGCGCCCGGCGCCAGGGCCCGTGGTGGCGTACCGCGTGGCCTATGCTGCCGAAGGCGAGGACGCGGCCTTGCCTCGTGAGGTGATCGTCGGGCCGCACGACTCTACGGCCGTTATCGATGACCTCCGGTAAGAGGGGAGAGGGGGTCATAGGTGGAGCAAGGGGGTTTGGAGGGGGTCAGAGGCTGTCCACCGTCGCATGAAGCCGACGGTGGCAGTTTTGGAATGAGTGTTTCTCACCGAGTGTTTTTCCGGCACTATGGTGCAGGCCTGACACGGCGTACGTGCTGAGCGTGCACGCCATCTTTGCCGATGGGGAGAGCCTGGGACTCGAGGGGAAGGCCTCGACTGGCGACATGGAGCCGGAGCCACCGACTATGGAGCCGGAGCCGTCAGGTAAACCCAGGGCCCGGACCGCGGCCTGCACCTCGGGCTGGAATTTATCGCAAGAAGATGCAGCATTGTCAGGGGAATCGTTTGAAAAGGCTGCATAATGTATTGAATAGCTGCACTCTTGCCTTGAGTGAGGCATCGTGTCTAACCCACAGGAGGTTCTCACAGCCAGCTTCACAATCCAAGTCTGCATTAACCACACGTACTTGTGGTAAAACATACAAACGTGCTTTGATAATCTATGCATTGTCCTTGAAGTTGATTGGCTTACACCAGGGACAGATTCCTTATGGGCTTGTCTCACCAGTCTGAGACCAAAGAGCGCCAAAAGACAAACAGCACAAAGATAGGCGCAAATATCAAAGCATTAATGGCTCGTGTTGAGCAGTGTTTATATGACGTTTATTTTCTCATCGAAAGAGATCCCTGACCTTTTTTTAGGCCAGCGTGATCCAGTGGTGTGTCCAGTGATGCCGGCTTGACTCACGCCCCTAGGGAATGGGCATGCAGCGATGAGTTTTTCAAACTCTGTGAAGAAGCCTGCAGTAATTAAAATCTGGCAATGGCGGTGCGAATAAAACGCTGCCTTGAGCTGAGTCGTTTTGTCCTCTGCGCACTTTAACTGCTCGCAGGGATTGCTCTTAAGTAACAGCATGTACTGCATGTGTTGCATTAATTTAACGCGTGTGTGTCTGTCTGTGTCTTTGTTTGGCCTTGATAGGTGCTCCGCTAACCGCACGTTACCCAGCGGTCTGTCGGGCTGCGCGTCTTTGTACCCTAACTGAAGTCGGCACGCTGTGATCTTTACACGCGTGCGCATAACGTGTCGCGACTAGAATAAACGTGCATGCGTGCTTGCGTCGGTGTGTGTGTGAGTGCATGCGTACCACGGGTGAGAGCGTCAGCAACAATAAAAAACCGAGCGAGTGACCCCACGTTGCGCCCCTGTGGACGTCTGACCCTGACGCGTGAAATGACCGCACGCTTGTGCCAATTGTACATTTCTGCCGAGTGTCTGGGGAACAATAAACGTGATGACGCGCGTGTGATTTAATTTCTGTCGCGTGTGTCAGCGGGGGTGTATTTTTTTTTAAACCGCAATTTTCCGTTGTTTCCTCGCGCACGGCCGATCGGTGCTGTCGCCTTGGTTATGCGCACGCCACGGTGGCACTCGTTGTAACCGCATGGCCACCGCCAGACCAGTGAGTACCTCCACTCGGCCCCGCCACCATCACCACCATCGCCATCACCGCCACCACCCCGCTCCCCCATGCATGGCCATCGTTGTCATCAGCACGGAGCGGAATGGCAGTAACAGCAACGGCAGCAGCTCGCTCATGCGGTGACCACAGGCCCACCTCGCACACAGCATCGCACGTTCGTCCGGTACCGCATACACGCACATAACACCGCCACCGCCGCACCCTACAGAGGCACAACATCGCACACTCACAACATCACACATTGCACACGCAACTTTGCACCATTTCCCTATACAAGCAAGACCATCACACGATGCCATCAACATCAATCGCATGACATTCTATCCTTTTGTGCTTATTTTAAATGGTCAAATATTTGTTTGTTGTGTTTGTATACAACTCTTGGTCAAATGAAATCTGTGTGAATTGCATGCCTCATATTGCCTGTCATGTCTGCATGCATTGCATTCAGAGTGCCCCTTTTCTCATGAAATTAATTGAATTCACGAGCCCATGGTTTCCCTAGCGCATTCTCGTGTAGGATAAGGATGCCTGTGTCTCCAGCTCAAAACACACAAGTTGCTTCACTTTTGCGCAGTTGGGAATGCGGTGCAATCTCTCTACTCGGCACAACCCATCTATTATGAGTCTGCTGCATTGAGGTTGCTTCACTTACAATCTGCACCCAGTTCATCCATCGCAGTACCAGTCATCCAGGCATTTGAATATTGTCTAAACCGACCGTTAGGTGCACAGAACATCGCACGGGTAGCTCAACACAACATCTTCAAATACAATAGAATTTGGCCGATTTTAAGTTTCACAATGTATAGTTCTGTACTTCTTTTATGTGACCAGGTGAAAGCTTAAGAGATCAGGTTAGGAGTCTAATTTGCAAGAGCGAATTGGGTCACCAAAATGTCGAAAGCAAAAACATAAAAGTGCAGTCATGAAGCAAATAGAAGACGGCGGCGGTGCAGAAGAATTTGGGCAGACTTTACAGACCGCTCGTTTGCATGCCTGCGTGTGTGTACTCGTGTGCACGTCTTGGTGCGTGTGTACACGTGTGCATCTGTCTTTGTGTGTGATCGCGTGCGCTTGCGTGTGTGTACTCGTGTGTGCTCTGCGCTGGCACAGGCGGGCGCTTTGCGTGCTCGGCGCCGCACGCTGACCTCGTGCTGCTGCTGGACGGCTCGTGGAGCATCGGGCGCCACAACTTCCGCCTCGTGCGCCAGTTCCTCGAGGCGCTCGTGCACGCCTTCGACGTGGGCGCCGGCCGCACGCGCGTCGGTGCGATCCTCCTCCGGCACCACCGCCACCACTGCCACCACCACCACTACGGCCACAGAGTAAAACCTCTGTGGGCTTACGGTGCTTCTTCGCCGCAGCAGGAGGAGGAATCGCAAAACTAAACCAACTCGAACTCCTGGGCCCTTTTGTCATGGCAAGCAAGCCTCCACGTTGGTATCTTGCCTCCGGAGGATGAGTCGCCGTCGTCAGCTGCGCGAGAAGAACAGCAGCCGATTAGTGTTCGATTGATTCGAATCCATCTACCGGCGCAGAAATTGCTCAAATAATTTTTTTTTAATCTTTAATCCACATAGCTATATTATTGCTGTCGATTCATCGACATTTTTTAACCAATTACTCTTACCGCAAACCCATATCCTGCTTCTAGAAGGCGGGAAACCCTTTGCGAGCCACGCAGACCGTGGCACAGCTAATGATGTCGATGGGCTCGCCACGCCCCGTCTACCACACCTCCCATCCAGCGGCACACGTTGGAAGAGGGTTGAGACTTTTTGTTAACCGTTGAGTCCAGAAAACAAACCGATAATCCGTTGAGTGATGTTTATCTATAGCTGTTAAAATCAACTGTGGTGTAATAACTGGCAATTGATTCGGAAAACGGTTGTTGGTTGTGGTTACGGTGTAAGAGCCATAATTGTAATTGTGCTTGCTCTCCCACAGGCCTGGTGCAGTACAGCGGGGACCCACGCACCGAGTGGAACCTCAACTCGTACCCCACCAAGGGGGCCGTGGTGCAGGCCATCAGGAGCCTGCCCTACAAAGGGGGCAACACCCTCACCGGTGGGGGTCACAGCAGCGCGCTTCCATGCTCTTATTCACACGAACACAAATATCTCCCATATAGCCCTCTTAGAAAGCACCTTCAGAGACTGGCATGGCACACCAGTGGGTGGGTGGCCAGCACCACACTCGGCCACCTTTGTCTCCCTAGTGGTACATTACTCATTTGAAGCTGTGCCAACCTAGGGGGGAGGCCCAGGACCATTTCATAAAACGTCACTGGTGTTGGTAGTGAGCGGGCATCGAACTCGGGTGGCCGAGTTTGTAGCACAGTGCGCTAATTGCTACACTACTGCTCCCCACACTACATACAAAGACACACAGGCACGTGCTCACGCGTTCCTATTCCTATTGAGTGCCCTGCTCCATTTGGTCCTTTGCCGAATCCGGCACTGACTCTGTAGTCTCGTGTTTCTGTGGTGGGTTGGGGGGTGATGCGGTGGTGGCGGCGATTGTGGGGCAGGCCTGGCGCTCTCCTACATCCTCCAAAACAGCTTCACGGCGAAGGCGGGAGCACGGCCCGGCATCCCCAAGATCGGGATCCTGGTGACGGACGGCAAGTCCCAGGACGGTGTGAAGGGGCCCGCGCGCAGCCTCAAGGACGCTGGCGTCGAGCTCTTCGCTATTGGTGAGCAGCCACCGTGAGGAGTAATAGTCACAGCCACTGCGCAGGGTCACAGTCGCAGTCACCACGTGGGGTCACGGTCGCAGCCGCCTTGCGAGGTCATGGCCGCAGCCACCTTGCGAGGTCAAGGTCGCAGCCACCTTGTGGGGTCACGGCCGCAGCCACCGCACGAGGTCATGGCCGCAGCCACCTTGCAAGGTTATGGTCGCAGCCACCTGGCGGGGTCACGGCCGCAGCCACCTAGCGAGGTCATGGTCGCAGCCACCTTGCGGGGTCACGGCCGCAGCCACCGCACGAGGTCACGACCGCAGCGCTCTGGGGCGCACATTGTCGCGAGGGATCGTGACACTATGGTTGTGTGTGTAACCGTGCACAAGCATGCATGAGTGCACACGTTTGTATACTTTCTTAGCTTTTCCGCTTTTGAACGTCGACAGCACGGGAAGATGAAGTCAGTACAGTGTAGTTTTAGCGGGCGAGCTCGTGTAAGCAGCTGGTGCAGTAAATTATCTACGGGGGGGGGGGGGGGGGGGGGGGTGGGGTTTGTGCTCCTTCCAGGTACACAGAGCGGTTTTAATGGCTATGCTGTAGAAGAAGACCTTGAGTCAAGTGTTCGGATATCTAGAGATGCCTACTGGCCTCCTGCGCACAAGTGACGTTCCTGAAGCTGGGGAAAGAGAGGTACAGGCTACATTTGCGCAAGTGTGTCACCATTGATGGGAGAAAGTCCCGCACGCCTGGACAAGTCCAGATGCGTGTTCATTACATCTTGAGTGGCACCAGACGAGCGCCTGGGGCCATCCGGGGAGGATTTACCACCGAATTTCACTCTCGTTTGATTCACGAGCTCCGCCCCATGTAGAAACCTAATTTGACGGCTCAGAGCGGAGTATGCGGAGTGGAGTGCATGAAGCAGAGTCAGTGGAGAGTAGTGAGTGGAGTGAGTGGCCATGCATATCGAGCTCCAGGTTTGTTTTTAGGATGCAGCAGCAGCCCAGGCCACAGTGGGGGCTCCCTCCCGCAGAGCAGTGCTCCGGCCGCTCTGCTGTCTGTGGCGAGGATTTATTTGCCTCTCATAGTTTAGCTGCCGGGCGAGGTTTTCTGTCACTGCTGCAACGCTTCTCTCTCACTCTCACCGATAGTACTCCTAGCTGGTAAATACCTGTGATGCCATGCGTTTGGAATGCCAAGCCTAGCAATGATTATTTTAAGCGGGCGTTATTTAACCCTCTTTCATGAGCATCTCTCAAGCCTTTACAATGTCTGCGCTCCTCCGTAAGGGTCAGAGCTCCCACTTGTTAGTTACGCGAAGAGATGGATGGGACTCTCCAAGGCACAGAGGAGGGTCCTGTGTTCTGATAGATTAGGGTCACTTCTGGTCGAGCATCCTGCTTCGAATGTTGCAACTGATCACCCGGAAAGGTTCGAGTCCCTGGGGTTTGTCCTTTGCATGTGCGAGCAGGTTATCCCCCCTCAGCTCCACGGTTCCACAGAAGCCTCATCCCATTCTCCCCACGTTCCTCGCCTCGTTGGATACAACCAGTGTCTCAGATTAAATATTCCAGACGCTGGGTAGCGTTTATAAAAGTCCGGCACAGCCACGCCCCCCCCCCTCCCTCTTCCCTCATGTCTGAGTGATGTCATCAGCTCTGTGTGTGCTTCCCGATGAGCGAGGTAATGCAATTTTGGTTGGGATAGCCCTAATGTGATATCCTGTTATAGGAAGCTATCATCATCTGTAAGATTGTTCTGGGTCTCAAGGGGGGAGGGGTCGATTGCCCCCATTGCCCCACCCCGTGGATCAGGACACTACCGACTCGCTGAGCTTGACAGAGGTTCTCAGCAATGGCAGTCGGTCCGTGGTGTTCATATCGTCATGTGACGAGGACGTTTCATTCAGAACTGTGAGCAGTGTATCATCACCTTGTGACAGAGAACAGCCCTCAAAAGATGACGTTGCAGAGCTGCTTCTGGATTGGTCTCTCAGGGCACAACGTGCATATGCCCTGCAGGGTGTTCATCACGTCATGCCAAAGCGGGCGTAAACTAAATTAAATGAAGACCTAAACTTCATCATGGGACCTCCTTTGCCAGTACCAAAATATGAGAATAGTTTTTTCCCTTTTTTCTGGCAACAAAACAGGTGTTAAGATGTTAAAACACCAAACTGAAACCTTGTACGAGAACTCATGTCTGCATTAACCACAATACTTGTGGTCAGAATGCAAACAAAAAACATGCTCTGATAATATATGCATAAAATTTTGATTTAAAGCTTTCGTGACTGCAGGGATTCATATTCTTGGTTCTTTCGGTAAAGTCACGTAGAAGGGTTTTCAAACCTGATCATGATTGCTTGTGTTGCAGTCGAAACGTCGTGAGAATTTTATTGTTTTATATTTTTATAATGTTATTGTTTCCCTTCTACGTGACTTTACCGAAAGAACCAAGAATATAATTTATGCATTATCTTTGAAACTGATTGGTCCACACCAGAGACAGCTTTCTTTCGAGCCTAGTCTCAAACGGTGTTAGACCAGAGGACGCCAATAGGAGTACAGCACAAAGACAATGCCACTATCAGAGTAATGAGAGGTCGGGATGAGCAGCTTACATCATGGGACGCCTTTTGGCGTCCTCTGGTCTAACACCGTTTTGAGACGAGGCTCGAAAGAAAGCTGTCTCTGGTGTGGACCAATCAGTTTCAAAGACAATGCCACATATTATCAGTGTTTTTGTTTGCATTCTGACCACAAGTATTGTGGTTAATGCAGACATGATTCCTTGTAAAAGGTTTCAGTTTGGTGTTTTAACATCTTAACACAGCTGTTTTATTTCCAGAGAAAAGGGGAAACCAAGACCTAAACTTAATTATGATTATTCGTGTGTTACAATGCTTTAATTGGTCATCAGCCTGAAACCATCAGCCTTAAAAACCTGGTTTGTAATCAAGAGCGTCTGAAACTTGGATTCAAACCCAGTGCTCCAACTAGGGAGCCACCCTGCCGCCTCGTTGTCGAGCACAAAGCTGATGGGCCTCGAACACAAAGCTGATGGGCCTCGAACACAAAGCTGATGGGCCTCGAACACAAAGCTGATGGGCCTCGAACACAAAGCTGATGGGCCTCGAACACAAAGCTGATGGGCCTCGAACACAAAGCTGATGGGCCTCGAACACAAAGTGACCAGCGGCTTAGAGTACGAGCGAGAGTGCAGCAAATACGAACTCAAGGAAATCTGAACGTTTCTTATTGGCCACTCTTATCATTGGTCCAGTCCATCACGAATGCGCTGTGGCTGATCGCACGGAGTCGGGTCTTTGCAACGCCACTGTGTTAAGTCTGTTCCAAAATCGGCTCAGGACCCTGAAAATCAGCCGCCAGTAACTGAGTCCAGGTCTCCTGGCCGGAGACCCCAGTGAAGCTGGGCTGGCCGTATCGCAGCACAAGGTTGGCATGTGTGTCTAGCAGCAGCAGCGGCAGCGCCACCGTGGGGTGCGGATCATAGACGGCGTCGATCGTGGTCCGTGGAGGCCGCCACTGCGCACTGCGCAGCGTGGACAGGCACCCTGGCTGTCAGTGCACGACGGCCGGTGAGCAGTTGCTAGAAGCACCGTCCAGTCAAACCCCTGATGCGAGCGCCAAACGTTGCCTCAACGTCGACAAGGACACCGAGATGCGTTACATCAGCTCGACACTTGGAGGATGTCACAGCTGTTCACGTGAAGGGACCTCAAGATTGTGGTGTGCTGGAGGAGAGAGGGAGGGAAGCATTGCGTACTGCAGTGTGGTGGTTGAACAGATTGTTTGAGGAAACGGTCCGTCTGGTAGAATGGCTGCTTGACGTGGCTGAGGTTTTAGGGTTAACGCAAGGGTCGGCGGAGTGAAAGACGATCGCAGGTCCCGCGCCCCCTCCCATGCCGCCACTCCTGTATTCCCTGGCCGCATTCCGGCGCACGCGTGCGGTTACGTCACGGCTGGCAGCTCCTGGAGGAGCGCTGCCGGCCCAGCAGCTGCCCTCGCGGTGCAACACTTTATCGTTTCCTTAGTCAAACCATGAAGCGAGCCTTTGTGCTTTCCACTGCTGACATTAATGGCTTTTAGCATTGCGCTCCGGCATGTTCCGGTTTCATTGTTATTGCGATTATTTTACCCAGGAAAGCCTCACTGAGTCTCAAGACTCTTTTTCAGGAGGGTGCTGCTGAGTGTTTGCGGCAGGCGGTGACGCGTTTCCCAGTCGAGTCATTTTTCATTGGACCGTGTTGCCGGCACACAATGGCTGAATATTTTAAAGCGGCGTCATGGGGATCTTTAATATCTACCCAGCGACAGAAAGATTGTTACAAATGAAAACCATCGCGGTGAACGCGAACGACCCTGAGACAAATTCCGGCACACCGCATCCAGAATACATGTCACTATGGCTGCGACTGTGCTTGTTAGCCACCTGCCACCTACTCCAGTCTGCACAGTGACCTGGAGAATATTTTTCGCACGCAGCACACCACATCGAGAATACCTGTCGTTGTGGGCGTACGTAGGCGTGAAGGAAGCGGACGAGGCAGAGCTGAAGGAGATCGCGTCAGAGCCGGACGAGATGCACGTGCATAACGTGGCTGACTTCGCGGCCATGAGCTCCATCGTGGGCGGCCTCACCAAGACCGTGTGCGCGCGCATCAGCGAGCAGGAGCGGGAGATCGTCGGTGAGTGCCCTGCCACGGGGAGCTGGGGACAGCGAGGGGGGACACGCGAGGTGAAGGGGCTGTAGCTGAGGGGTAGGGCACAAGGTGAAGGGGCTGTAGCTGAGGGGTAGGGCACAAGGTGAAGGGGCTGTAGCTGGGGGGTAGGACAGAAGGTAGTGAGTTCAACTGTATGTTAGTGTATTTCTATCTTCTCTCGTGTACTTACGTCCGTGTGTCTGTGTGCGTGTGTGCGCGTGTCTTTGGATGCACGTGCCTCCCGCCTCCGTGAGTGTGTGTGTGCGCGTGTGCGCGTGTGCGGCTGCGTGCATGGGTGTGTACGTGTTTGCGTACGTGTGCGTGCATGTACATGCGTGCGTGTGTGTGCGTGTGTGCATGTGTGTGTGTACGTGCGTGCGTTTGTGCGCGCATGTGTGTGTACGTGTGCGTGCATGCGTGTGTGTATGTGCGTGCGTGTACGTGTGTGTGTGTATACACGTGTGCGTGCGTGTGTGCGTACTTGGTGGCTCGCCCTGCACCGTGGGGGTAGCTGCGGCGAGCATTGCCGATGCCGGCCCCCAGGCCCCGCGTGACCTCGTGACCTCGGAGATCACGACCACGAGCTTCCGCGTGTCCTGGACGCGCGCACCGGGCCGCGTGCTCATGTACCGCGTCGTCTTCTACCCCACCAAGGGCGGCCAGCCTGACGAGGTGCGGAAAAGGTTCCCTGCGTAGCCCACGCAGGCTGTCGCGGCAAGTGGTGTCAGCGAGCGCCTATGAAGGGTGACACGGCTCACGAGTGGGCGGGGTGGCCAGCACCATGGCCGGCGGCTGCCTTTGTCTCCCCAGAGCCGATGTTTAAGACTGAGTTGACCTAGGGGAGACCTGGGATCGGTTCAGATATTCGTCGCCGATGCTGGCCATGAGCGAAAATCAAACTCGGGTCGCCGGGTTCGTAGCGCATTGCGCTAACCACTGTGCTACAGCTCCCAACTCGAACACATGTGCGCACACACGTAGATACGCATGCACACACAGATATTCATACATTTACCCTATGTCCAGGAGGACATCCCTAATACACATGCACACGTAGACTGTGCTTGTATTAACTTTTGTATGCAGGTGTCGATGCAAGCACGAGTGTGTGTGTTGGTAAGCGGTAGTGTAGTGTTTAGCATGTTTCACGATGAAACCCATGGCCCAAGTTCAATTCCCGCCCATCTGAATCAGTCCTAGGCCTCCCCTAGGTCAACTTAACCTCAAATTAGTATCTGGTGCATTATTTAAACATCACCACTCTGGGGACAAAGGCGGCCAGGCGTGGTTCTTGCCACCCAACGCCCCGTGTGCCATGCCGGCCTGCACAGGTGCTCGCTAACAGTACCAGCCCCAACAGTATTTTAAGGCTGCACGCGGGATCTCTGTCTGTGTGCTCGTACATCCGTGTTCGTCCCGGCTCGCATACCCGTGGCTCGCTTCCTGCAGGTGGTGGTGGACGGCTCGGCCAACTCGGCCGTCTTGCAGAACCTACTGACGGCCTCCGAGTACCAGGTGGCCGTGTTCGCCGTCTACGCCAGCGCGGCAAGCGAGGCCCTCCGTGGTTCTGAGTCCACCCGTGAGTCCTCCCCCCTTCCACCACGACTCAACCAGTGAGTCCCCCCACCCCCCCACGACTCCACCCGTGAGTCCCCCCACCCCCCCACGACTCCACCCGTGAGTCCCCCCACCCCCCACAACTCCACCCGTGAGTCCCCCCACCCCCCCACGACTCCACCCGTGAGTCCCCCCACCCCCCACAACTCCACCCGTGAGTCCCCCCACCCCCCCCACGACTCCACCCGTGAGTCCCCCCACCCCCCACAACTCCAGCCGTGAGTCTCCCTCCCGTGACTCCTTCCCGTGACATTTTCCTTGCCATGAGTGACGATTAATCCACTGCTGCATGACGAACTTCCTTTACGAGTGTGTGGTTGTACCGTGTGTGTGTGTCCATTGTGTGTACACAACGAGTGTGTGGTTGTACCGTGTGTGTGTGTCCATTGTGTGTACACAGCGATTGTGTGGCTGTATCGTGCGCTTGTATTTTGTGTGTGTACTATGCGTGTGTATGTACAATGTGTGTGTAGGTCTACTGTGTGTATGTATTATGTGTGTGGACTATGTGTGTGTGTACTACGTACTATATTTGTGTGTGTGTCTACAGTGGACCTGCCCCCTATTCGGGACCTGCGGATCTTTGACGTAACGCACAGCAGCATGCGCGTCGCGTGGGAGGCATCCCCAGGTGCTACGGGTTACCTGCTGCTCTACTCAGCCAACGCGGGCGGAGAGGAGGGTGATGCCAAGGAGGTGCACAATCTCACCATCATCATCGTACTCCATGCTCTATTCACTGCTGGACGAAGGACTCCCCAAACCGTCACCATCTCCCATGTCCACGTGATGTAACGGTCCACTGATGTCCTGCGCATCAGCTGATTTCATCGCTCCGTGTTAATGGTGGATGCGTACTCTCTCATTTGGCTGCCGCTCCATCGTTCGTCTCAACCACCGACCTCTAGCGATGCATCATGCTCATGCCCACTAATTTTCACTGAGAGCCAGTGCAACACTGGCGTCGGCTCTCTAATCCACATGTTCCCCTTCCCGTCTCTCAGTGTCATTCCTAGTGTCTACATCTCCTAGCGTACCCTGCCTGCCATTGGGTGTTTAAGCGTGTTTACAACAAGGGTATGCTTCCGCGTGGTTTCGCTGTAGGAAATTGAGCAATGTTAACGGAATGTTGCCTGTGGAATGGCAATGATCTCTTCCCCAGCACTGGGTGTATGGGGACCACTGAGCAACCACAGTGGGGGGGGGGGGGGGGGGTATTTTACCAACAAAAGTTGCCAAGCACAAGATCAAAGGCCCAAGACGCCATGCGCCCAGCAACAAACAGCACCATCAAAGAGTGCAACACGTTTTTTTATTGATAAAGATTATTATATATCGTCCGCACATCTTGCAGAGCCAGGCACCAGCCACTTCATTGGCAGCGTGGAGGGAGGGTGGGGCCGGTGAGGGGCCACCCGTCGACAATGAGCGACAACACGGCCTGGCGCTGAGCACAGCCAGAGTGGGCGGTGGTCACGATGGCCCCGGATGTGTAGGGAGGGTGGCCGTACAAGGACGCCCAGACCCCATTGAGCAGCAGGGCCCGTGACCAGGGAGACGAACAGCAGTGGGGTCGCCAATGAAGAAGGGGTTCTCAATATTTGGATGGGATCAGTCCTCTCGACGCTACCTCGATGCCGGCGCTACCCCACGTGGGCCCACGTGGGGTGGCATCTCGATTGCGTGCAGACGGCTCGTGGAACGGGTCCAGGCGTCGAGGGAGACTCGCTGCGCTCGCACGAATCGTTTCCGCCACATTTGCAGTTTCCTCATCACGGCGACCGCGAGGGGGAGCGATGCTGCTCGGCACCGGCAGCCGAGGCAGTGGGGTGACTCGTAGCATCCTCCATGCAACGGTGCGCACAGTTGAGCACAGATTGCATGTCGCCCAGCGCGGTGTATGATGAGCGACACCAGACCCCGGTGCTTGCGCAACACTTGGCAGTTGAAGAGTGGAAGGCGATAGCAGCAGCAGTGCACCAGCACCCCAGGTTGAGCCGGCGGGTGTTTAAGGCGATTCAGAACCAGAAGTTTATTTTCCAAGTAAAGCCCATTGAGCTATGTTTCAAGGTTTACTCGGCAGGAAGAGCTGGGGAAGAGAGATGATGATGATGATGATGATTCCAAAGTGGATCAATGCAAGGGAAGAAACAGAAAGATAAGTGAGGTGGCCTGCAGTGTGGAGAGTTGATGGGTGAATAAGTGAGCGAGTGAGTGAGAGAGTGTGTTGTTATGACCTGCAATGTGGTAGCGGTAGTGGTGGTTGTGGTTGAATACTACGTGGTGGATGAGACAAGGGAGTCAGTATCTGGCAGTCCGAGTCGCCAACGTGCTCACCGTTCCTGCAGAGCGCCTTGGCATGCGGTCACATTCAGTCATCTCAGTCAGTCTGTACATGATGGCCTCAAAGGGAACTTAACCTAACACAAGCACTGTGGTGCTGTAATCGTCGCTTAGTGTGACGAATGGCATCTTGGAGTCATCGTTGCTACGTTCGTTTAGTCCTTTTGTGAATTGTTTCATCTCTGCTCTCTTCTCCTTGTGATCCCCCCCCCCCACCTCGGTGCCATCGCCCCTTCCCGGGCGGACGCGTTGTTGCTGCCGCCGCCGCCGTCACCACCATCGGCAGGAAAAAGTGGGAGCGGGGTTCACGGAGATCGAGCTGAGCCGACTGACTCCGAGCACGGAGTACACGGTGACGCTGTACGCCATGTACGGCGAGGAGGCGAGCGACCCGCTCACTGGCCAGGAGACCACGCGTAGGTCCCTCTTCCTATCGCCCCCTCCATCCATCCCCCCAACTCCATCCCACCCTCCCTTCATTCCTCCTCTACCTTCAGGTCACACTTGCAGTGAGACTCTACTGGTCTCTATAGAGTTCTCACCTGGTTACACCAAATCAACTTGAGCTTGAACTCTCACCCCTCACTCTCCTGCATTTCCCCTCTCATTTCGCTCCAGACATCTCACTCGCTCCACTACTTCCCTCCCTCCCGTCTCCTCCTCCCTCACCCGTGATGAGTGAGCGAGTGACCGGAGTGAATTGATGAGTGCTGGGACATCAATCACCCTGACTGCTGCTGCACCCTGCATCCTGTCTGGCACAGTAGTGAGGTAGGGACTGGGCGCAGCAGGCCAGACGAAGTAGTAGCAGCAGCAGCAGGAGGCCAGCCGAAGCTGGGTTTGTACTGAGTGCTGTACCTGTAGCAGTGGCAGTTGTAGGGAGATCGAGACGAAGGCAGGGATGGTCTGTCCAATCAGGACATGCGGATGCCCGTGGTATGTGCTCGGTGTGTCCATGGTGCGTGTGCATGGTGTGTGTGCGTTGTGTGTGTGTGGTGTGTATGCGGTGTGTGCAGTGTGTGTGCAGTGTTCGATATTCATTGTTGTCACGCGGATTGTGCATGGTCAGTGCCGATGTTCAGAGCTCAGAACCTGCACTTCTCCACCGTGTCCGAGTTCGACGAAGGCCAAGCGCCGCTCGTCAACGGGACGACGCGTGGATCCCCCCCCCCCTCCTGTTTTCATGCACTCGCAAGTTACAGAGGCCCATGGGCATGCCACTTGAGAAATGCTCTCAAACAATCGGCCTTGCCTTTTGGGTCATGCTGCTCCAAACCCCGCAAGCTCACCGGGGCTGCGGCGCGTGGGCGACAGATTCCAGACTCCCCAGCAATGCGTCGCAGGAGGCGGTGCCGACGCTCGTTATCACCAACTACTGGCACGGAGATGAGCTGAGAAAGAATCCGCATTGGGGGACCATTTGAAATATTATCAAATTTTATTTTTTCATGCACAGAACCGCTTCTCCCATTGGGTGGGGAGTCTGGAGGCAGCCGTGGGGTTGTTGGTTTTGGCTCGCTCAGCTTCCCGTGCCCTGGGGGGGGGGGGGTGGGGGGTGGCGCCAACGATCACGAGCCCGGGAAGCCTCCCAACTATTTTCCAACCCCCAACCACCACTACCACCACCACTCACCATCCCCACCACCACTACCAGCACCACTAACCATCCCCACCACCACTACCAGCACCACTAACCATCCCCACCACCACTAACCATCCCCACCACCACTACCAGCACCACTCACCATCCCCACCACCACTACCAGCACCACTAACCATCCCCACCACCACTAACCATCCCCACCACCACTACCAGCACCACTAACCATCCCCACCACCACTAACCATCCCCACCACCACTACCAGCACCACTAACCATCCCCACCACCACTACCAGCACCACTAACCATCCCCACCACCACTAACCATCCCCACCACCACTACCAGCACCACTAACCATCCCCACCACCACTACCAGCATCACTAACCATCCCCACCACCACTAACCATCCCCACCACCACTACCAGCACCACTAACCATCCCCACCACCACTAACCATCCCCACCACCACTACCAGCACCACTAACCATCCCCACCACCACTACCAGCACCACTAACCATCCCCACCACCACTAACCATCCCCACCACCACTACCAGCACCACTAACCATCCCCACCACCACTACCAGCATCACTAACCATCCCCACCACCACTAACCATCCCCACCACCACTACCAGCACCACTAACCATTCCCACCACCACCATCCCCACCACAACCACCCCTGTACAAGCACTATTGTCGACCTCACACTGGGGAATTGTCAGGGTTCTGGTAACATTGCTGTGCCACCGTCAAAACCACAATGAAGCCTCATGTGCGTGGGTGAGTGGAGCTATGGGTGAGCATTGGGGCTATGGGTGGGCAGCGGGGCTATGGGTGAGCGGGGCTGTGGGTGATAGTAGCTGTGGGTGAGCTGAGGATTTGTCGAGGTTCACATCAAAATGTTATGCTTCCCAAATAGGTATCGCGTATTGAACATTCCACGTTCGTATGGCGTGACGGGTTTTTCCATGGCCCAACCACTGCCATGTGGGGTTGCAACTGAATGAAGAAGCCTCCCTTTCACGAGTGCCAGATGTTCCCTTGCTTTTGTCGAATCACGTGAGGCTGCCTTCTGTCCCACTTTTGGAAAAACGTCTCCACGGCAAGCGGAGTGTGGAGGTGGGGGGCGTGGGCGGCTGTGTGGGGGGCGGGGGATATGGGTTGATCTTTGCAGCTGAGAGAACTTCCCTGCCTAAAGACAGAGTCAACAAGCAGGCGATTCACCTTCATCTTTCACACAATCCATCGGCCGCACGGCCTTCTAGAAATGAATTGTTTAAGCAGCATTGGTTCAACTGAAGCAAAACTCTGCACCGAGTCACACCTTCAGTGGGTCATTGGTAGAGTTAGGCTCGCTTGAACCGATGTCGCTGAACAGAAATGTCCAGAGCAACAAACATAACGTGTTTAGCGTTTACTGAGAACCGACTCGCCGCGTGCTGCCTCCAGTCTAACTAGTGATGTGGAGACTATACCCGCACCTGGCACACCGCATCCAATATACCGCGAGTCATGGCCGTGGCTACTAATCACGTGCCACGTCTCAGTCTACCAGCGAAGTGGAGAATATTTTGTTAGAGATTGATCCCCTGTGACACCACGAGCACAGGAGCAGGTTACGATTGCTCCGTTTCAGGGGCACTCAGAGGTAGGCACGGATGTCTGCACCATCGATTAATAATGATGATTTAGTACATTTGGAATTAATTCCAAAGGCGCAAGGCTATCGTCCTGAAGGCACTGTTGTGTTTCAGATTTTGTAGTAGTTTGACAAGAGGGGGCGATGTTGCTGCTGTGTGCGATTCCATTTGAATTTTTTTTCTAATTTGTCAAATTTGGACCCGACTGTTGCTGCACTCTGAACCCTTTTGGGTGCAGCAGTGAGGCAGGGACTGGAGACTCCACCCCAGATGTGACAGCAGCAGCAGCTGTGATAATTTATCTAAGTTAAAGACATAGGCATTGCCATGGACAAGAAATCCAAGCTTCCTCAATGCCTCCTCAGCCAGATGAGTGACACGGCCAATGTTCCTTAGCCGAGACGGTGACATCCACGATCATCGGCCCAGAGTCACAAAACTCAAGTATAATTTAGCCTCTCGTGCAATTGTGTGCAGGAGGAAGGACACGGTGGTTGGGTAGGGTGGGGGTTCTCGCAGCGCAGAGGCCGATAGGATTCGGCGTTAGGATTCACATTCGGAGATAGGATTCGGCATTATGATTTGGCAATTTGTCGCGGCTTTGCTGGCATTTCCTGACGTTGGCAGCGGTCCGAGGTGCCGGGAGCGGAACGCGTGACGTGTCTCGGCCAAGACAAACGCCCGTCGCTGGCGCCGCAGCCTCAGTGCAAATACGCCGCGCTAATTACTTGCAGGCCACCTGCTTGCGGTGCAGCGCCGGAATGTGACGGGTTTGGAGTCGGCGCACGCATTGAGTAAATATACCGCGTGCGTCCGTGCGTGTTCCCGTGCTTGCGTGGATGCGGGGAAAATAATAAAAAACCTAGCAAAAAACCTCTCAACTGGCAGGTTTTTGCAGAAAATATTAGGATTTTTAATTTAAATTTTCGGATTGGGCCATGTGGTGATCTGGATAAATATGTCGTTAATCCCCTCCACCATCCGATGTCGCCAAATAAATGTAATTGCCTCCTGTGTACACAAGCATGTGAAGCCTGTACATGCGGCACGTTAGTTTGTTTGGCTGTGTCAGGTGGTGGAGGTTCTTATGACATAAATTTGAGTAAACCATTACGTGGCCTAACCCAAAAATCTTTGCGATTCTTATGCTTGTAACCACATTGGTGAGAAAAAAAAAGCCTTACATTGACTTTCAGGCGCCCCGTCCGGAGACTGCGTCAACGTACAATTAAAACTCTTCAAGGGCTTGGCAGTGACGTTGTGGTGATGTCACCAGCATAAAGAGCCGCTTAGCTGTAACTTTCAAATATTTGTTTTGCTAATTAAGGAAGTCTAATAAAACTATGGTTGTAGGAGCCGGGACACGGGCTGCGCGGCACAGCGCTGGTCGCATTGTTGAGTGGCAGCAGTAACCAAGCCTCTTGCACTTTGTCATTGGCAGTTGCGCGAGGAGCCGCTCCAGCCACGCCAAAGATCCCCACAGGCAAGCCCTCCTCGTTCCACCTCGCTAAGTAAAGAATCGACGTTAGCTCATCATCGGGTAGGTCGGTCGCTGGGTTGCTCGGGGGGGAGGTGGAAGGTGGGGTCACAATTCCCGGCTTTAACAGGTGCTCGTTAACAGCACTTACAGTGAGGGAAAAAAGTATTTGATCCCCTGCTGATTTTGTACGTTTGCCCACTGACAAAGAAATGATCAGTCTATAATTTTAATGGAAGGTTTATTTGAACAGTGAGAGACAGAATAGCAACAAAAAAATCCAGAAAAACGCACGTCAAAAATGTTATAAATTGATTTGCATTTTAATGAGGGAAATAAGTATTTAACCCCTCTGCAAAACACGACTTAGTACTTGGTGGCAAAACCCTTGTTGGCAATCACAGAGGTCAGAGGTTTCTTGTAGTTGGCCACCAGGTTTGCACACATCTCAGGAGGGATTTTGTCCCACACCTCTTTGCAGATCTTCTCCAAGTCATTAAGGTTTCGAGGCTGACGTTTGGCAACTCGAACCTTCAGCTCCCTCCACAGATTTTCTATGGATTAAGGTCTGGAGACTGGCTAGGCCACTCCAGGACCTTAATGTGCTTCTTCTTGAGCCACTCCTTTGTTGCCTTGGCCGTGTGTTTTGGGTCATTGTCATGCTGGAATAACCATCCACGACCCATTTCAATGCCCTGGCTGAGGGAAGGAGGTTCTCACCAAAGATTTGACGGTACATGGCCCCGTCCATCGTCCCTTTGATGCGGTGAAGTTGTTCTGTCCCCTTAGCAGAAAAACACTCCCAAAGGATAATGTTTCCACCTCCATGTTTGACGGTGGGGATGGTGTTCTTGGGGTCATAGGCAACATTCCTCCTCCTCCTCTTCCAAACACGGCAAGTTAAGTTGATGCCAAAGAGCTCCATTTTGGTCTCATCTGACCACAACACTTTCACCCAGTTGTCCTCTGAAACATTCAAATGTTCATTGGCAAACTTCAGACGGGCATGTATATGTGCTTTCTTGAGCAGGGGGACCTTGCGGGCGCTGCAGGATTTCAGTCCTTCACGGCGTAGTGTGTTACCAATTGTTTTCTTGGTGACTATGGTCCCAGCTGCCTTGAGATCATTGACAAGATCCTCCCGTGTAGTTCTGGGCTGATTCCTCACCGTTCTTATGATCATTGCAACTCCACGAGGTGAGAAATTGCATGGAGCCCCAGGCCGAGGGAGATTGACAGTTATTTTGTGTTTCTTCCATTTGCGAATAATCGCACCAACTGTTGTCACCTTCTCACCAAGCTGCTTGGCAATGGTCTTGTAGCCCATTACAGCCTTGTGTAGGTCTACAATCTTGTCCCTGACATCCTTGGAGATCTCTTTGGTCTTGGCCATGGTGGAGAGTTTGGAATTTGATTGATTGATTGCTTCTGTGGACAGGTGTCTTTTATACAGGTAACAAGCTGAGATTAGGAGCACTCCCTTTATGAGTGTGCTCCTGATCTCGGCTCGTTACCTGTATAAAACACACCTGGGAGCCAGAAATCTTTCTGATTGAGAGGGGGTCAAATACTTATTACCCTCATTAAAATGCAAATCAATTTTTAACATTTTTGACATGCGTTTTTCTGGATTTTCTTGTTGTTATTTTGTCTCTCACTGTTCAAATAAGCCTACCATTAAAATTATAGGCTGATCATTTCTTTGTCAGTGGGCAAACGTACAAAATCAGCAGGGGATCAAATACTTTTTTCCCTCACTGTACCCCACCAGTCTGTCAAAGGCGACACGGGGGACCTTTGTCTTTGTGTGTTTGCAGGCGGCCTGGCGGCTCCCAGTAACCTGCACGTGTCCGAGGAGTCATACGACCGGTTCCGTCTCTCGTGGGAAGTCCCTGAAGACTCCTCCGTGCTGGGATTCCGCGTCGTGTACCGTCCCTCTGGTACGCAGCACCGCACACGCATGCTGCACTCACTGCAGGGCCCGGCGCCCGTGGAGGGATTGCTTCTGCCATAGGAATGTGGAATTTCTACTAAACTCACAGCAGCACCCATTGCCTGTCGTCATAGGAGTGTGGATTTTCGAACATTGGCTCAGGGTCGCCAAGAGTACAATAGAAAACAGTGCAGACTAATACAGCGGCGTATTAATGCGACGCCTTCTGAAGGCGCTGGGCAGACAGCGTGGGCGTGTTTATTGCACCCAGAGAGAAGTGGTGCAGCCAGTCGCAGGTAGGAGAGACACGTGTGAAACATGCACACGTATGCTCCACACATGTTCCTGTATTGTATGGAATTAGCAGTGCCAATGATAAGCACCAGCCACACAGTGATGCACTCTGCGTGCAAGCGTATGTATGTGTGTATGTATATATGTTGAACTTGAACTTCATTCACACCGTACGGAGCCAACCGTGCTTATCGGAGGTGCAGGGGAAGGACAACAAACTAAACACGAATCGGTTCTAAAGAGATTAGTTTTCAATCTAGTATGTATGTATGTTGAACTTCTTTAGCACTATAGTGGTGTTAGCGAGAATCTACTGTTCAGTCACCACACTGTAGGTCACAACAACACACTCACTCTCTCACTCACCCACTCACTCACACACTCACTCTCTCACTCACTCTCTCACTCACTCACCCACTCACTCACTCTCTCACTGACCCACTCACTCACCCACTCACCCACTCACTCACTCACACACTCACTCACGCACTCATACACTCACTCTCTCACTCACTCACCCACTCACCCACTCACACACTCACTCTCTCACTCACCCACTATCTCACTCACCCACTCACTCACCGCATTGCAGGCCACCTCACTTATCTTCCTACTTCTCCTTGCCACAGCTCCTCTCTTTCTCCAATAACCTTGCTCAAACTGTGTTACACTGTCATCTGTTCCAGTAAAAGTGCTGTTTGTTGCTGGCCGCTTAACGTGGCCCTTTGGGCCTACGCTCAGCAACGGCGTTTAAAGCGTGAACGTGGGACCAGTGTTCCCGGCTACGGCACTTGGCTCGACCGCCCCCCCTCCCTCTCTGTGTCATGATCTCATTCACGACTCGACGCGCTCATTATAATCACCGCTCATAGTTTCCCCCTGACGTCAGCGGAGGTCACTCGGCGGGCGCACCGCTGATATTCTCTTCCCCCCTCCCTCCCCCATAGTCCCCGCGCGGCCGCGAGGCGTGGGACATCCCCCGTGCTGCAGCAGCGCCGCCCTGACCCACTTTCCATCGGCACCATTGTCAGCTCCTGACAGCAGATAGTTCCCAGTGGCGCGGTAGTTGTGGCCCTAATCCAGAGGGTGGCTGGGTTGATTCCATCTCTCAGCACAGTAGTTTAAATATTGGCACAAGCTTCTTAACTCTACCCCCCCCCCCCCCACCGTGAGCTCTGTCCATCGAGCAGAATAAAGGGTTCACGACTTTAAGTCAGTCGGCAGGACACCTACGTTGGGGTCACCGTGGAAGAGTAGACCAAGCACCCTCCGGAAGGGGGTTCTCTATGGGTGCCTCTAGTGCAGGCAGCTCTACCAGCAGTTGAATGAGCGAGCGATTGGAGGGCTGCCCCTTTCTCTTCCCCTCGCGTCTCCTCCGTGAGAATTCATGTTGAGGGGCGGGAATGGGGGGCAGGGAAGCAGGCGCTCTCCCCCCCCACCTCTTGAGCAGCGAGGAGGACTAGATGAGCCGTGACCCCCCGGCCCACTCCGCGCTGGGGTGAGGTTCTTCATCTCGGAGACTGCCGTGCCGGCTCATGACCGATTTTTGCCGCACGATGGGAGTTCCGGTGCGAGTCCAGAACAGGAGTCGGGTTACTCGCAGAGGGCCAGTGCTCCGCATCGCATCTTTTGCACGCATGTGCGAGCGCACGGACACCCACGCATACACATACATACACATGCACACACGTGCAAGTATGCACATACATAGGACCCGCATGCATGCACACACAGTAGAAACAGCACACACGGACGCATGCTCTCCCGCCATACAGACACACACACGTAAAATCCCCGCGCGAGACACACGCGCACACACACAACCCCCACACGTGCACTGTCAGCATCAGTGTAGAACCAGCCTGGAGATTTGCTAATTTCTGAAAAATATTCGCCTCCTTCCCATATATGTTCCTCCACTTAAATATATAAAAGTATTATTTTACACAGCCCACAGCTACACGGACCTATGCAGCATTGGTGAAACACAGGCCAAACTATGGACCAGTTTTGAAATTCAGTGTCTCATCAGTTTAGTCAGGATCTCTTGAAACATTCGCGGCAAGTGACATCTAAACATTCATCAACATCATTGTGAGCCATGGTCTATCCACCGCGGGATGAAGGTCTGCCCACGATATCCCCATCCCTCACAGTCCTGCGATACCACAATCCATATCGCTCCTGTACATGAGCCCACCACATCTCTGCATCTCCACGATGGCCGTCATCTCCATTGTGTCTTCTCCATGAGCTGCCATTCCACGACGTCTCGCTGATGGGCCGTCGTCCCTGCCGGCCACGATGCGTCTCACGCCGGCCCGCTCTGCGTTCTGGGCAATGCGGCCTCTACCGCTCCAGCCCGTTCCTCGGTCCATGTGCCCCTATTTCCATCTCCCGCCTCCACTCGTTTCTCTGCACACACTCTCGAGCTTGGGCACGCGGGCCAGAAACGCGGAGTGAACGATGGGTGAGCCCAGAAGCCTGGGTGGGCGCATCGTCACTAGGCAGTACCGTGAGCGCCGGTTCACCAAGCGCTTAGAGCGAGCACCTGGGAGGAGTGATCACTTTTCATTCTGGCGTCTTTAGGAACGTAACTCAGATCAACTCGGAGGAGCCATTAACAGTTTTCCGGTCGCGGCTCCCCCACTGCTCCCTTCCCCTCCCCGCTGGTCTTGGCCGTCCGCAGGTGCAGGTCACTCCAGCAGAGCGCCCCCTCTAACCCCGTGACCTCATGTGAATCACGCCGAGTGGGTTTGCTCCTTCGCTTGTGCCCTCCCGGTGCTGTGGCAGTCATGACGCTTGTTTCAGAATACTTTTTTTTTAATACAGTTGATGAGCACAGAACCTAGTTACCAAAAACGTCAAGCACCTCGAAACAAACAGCACTGTCACAGTTTAAATATAAATATATGAGTGAATACTTTACTTGAGGTTGGGGAAAAGGGACGATTATTGGAAGAAATTCCGAAATGAATCAGTGCAAGGGAAGAAGCAGAAAGAGAAGTACAGCGTGGTCAGTGGGTGGGTGAGTTAGTCTGTTTTTGTGTCTTGTGGTGGTTGAACACAATGTGGATGAGACGAAGTAGTCAGTGCCTGCTAGAGGAGTGAAGTTCTCGGGAATAGTAACCATGGTGGTAGTAGCGATAGAATAGTGATAAGGAGGAGACTGGCAATCAACACCCTGGGCACCTTTGCAAACGAGATGTTCCATCTCAAGGGATTATCCAGGTGGAATGCGTTCATAAGCAAACAGAAATAATCTCGGCCAGGTTTATAACAGTTGAGCCCCCCTGTGGCCGTGCTCGATGTCGAGGCTCCACCACCGTGGGCTCCACCACCCTGGGCTCCACCACCCTGGGCTCCGCCGTGGTCGTCCTGCGGTGGTCTTGCCGTTGCGTTGGCTCCCTGCCTCGGTGGGATGCCAACGCGTCGTTTGTGTGACGATTAGCAGCAGGAAACATCGTGGAACGCATCCCTACCCTTATTCCCCATACATGTCTGTGTCCCTTACACACACATGCTGACACACGCACACTCACGCACACTCACTTGCACACGTACACACAAACACACGCACACTCGCACACGTACACACTCACATGCACACTCACTTGCACACATACACACAAACACACTCACACGCACACTTTGTACACATACACCCAAACACATGCACACTCGTGCACGTACACACAAACACACGCACACTCACTCGCACAAACACACGCACACACTCGCGCGCGTGCGTGCGCAGCGGGAGGCGAGGAGAAGCCGCTGTTGGTGGGAGCGGGCGTCAGCTCGGTGCTGCTGCAGGGCCTGCGCGCCGGCACGGAGTACAGTGCCCACGTGCACGCCACCTACAGCGCGGGCGAGAGCGTCGGACTCACGGGGCTCGCACGCACACGTAGGGGCACGCACGCACGCACGAGAGCACACACATACGGGCAAGTGCACGTACGCACGAGCCCACATGTACGCACGAGCCCACACGTACGCACGAGCCCACACGTACGCACGAGAACACACGTGGGCTCGTACACGCACGAGCCCACACGTACGCACGAGCCCACACATGCGCACTTCCACCATAAGAGTGAGGAATGTCTGCCACTGGCCACTGCCTCGGGGCTATCAGCAGGAGATGAGTATCGCTCCGTCCATGCTCATTGAGCAGGAAATCGCTTTCGACTTCCTTCATCTGACCACCCAGCCCATGGGGGCCCTGAGTGCTGTTCGCGAATAGCGCCTATGAAGGCCGGCACAGCACATGAAGGGGTCGGTGGCCAGCACCATGCCCGGCCACCTTTTTCTCGTCAGTGATGATGTTTTCACACCACACTTCGGGTACTCATTTAATGCCGAGTCTCCCTGAGTGGGAATTTAACTCGGATTGCGTGGTTCGTAACGCGCCGGGCTGTTTACTCCCGAGGGGAGGTGCGGGACCGATGTTAGGCAATCCGTGGCAGGAGTCGAATCCAGGTTCGTCGTAAGGTGCCACTCCGTTGCTGCGAGTCTCCGCGTTGTGCCTGCCGGGCATCACTGGCGTGCCCCGCGTCTCCGTCCCCGCCTCTTTCTCGCAGGGCACCTGGGCATCAACCACCTCTTCGTGTTCGATGTGAGAGCAACGGGGTTCTGCGTCGAGTGGCAGCCCCAGCGCGACGCCACTGCCTACCGCGTCGTGCTGCAGGAGGTTCTAGGTGACACCTCGCACCCTAAACGAATTACTTGGTGATGCTGCCAACGCTGTCGCCGTGTTGGCAGTGGTGCACGAGCACAACCAACAAAACAACTCGATAACAGCCCTGTGTGCGTGTGGCCCGAATAGCTCTTCTTGAGTCAGAGCACGAGCTTTAAAAAAAGGGCCCTGCATTAATATGAAAATAAAACTTCATATGTATTTGCTCTGGTAAAATATCAATTCAAATTTGTTTGGTCTCAAGGGGTATGGGGGTCGGGGGGAGGCGGCATCACCACATCACGTGGCCGCCGCCCCCCACCTTGGCTCGGCCACTTGAGAAAATATCCTTGGGGGCGGTCTCCGGCCTCTCAGGCCCCTTGGGGCCACGAGCCTCGCATCATTCACCGCTGTCTCCTGCACAGCTCTCTCAGCGGTGGTGCCAGAGATGATTTGTGGGCGCCGTGGTCACAGACATCAGTCGGACGAGCACAGCCAGTGTCAGGATTCGTAATGGATGATTTTGGGCTGGGCCACGTGGTGGTCGTGTAACCCTCCACTACCTGGCACGACCAATCAACTTAAATGGTCACGCTCACGAGAACAATTCTTACCGCCACATGCAGTGATCATGGACAGCTGCAACAATGATAATTAGCACATTAAATAAAAGCCTGCACTAGTGATAATTTAATTGGTTTCGCTGTGTCTGGTATCGCAGAGTTACACAACACAAATTTGGCCAGGTTATTACAGAGCCTAACCCAATAAATGTATTAAGAATCATTGGACAAGCGACACAACTTTATTAAATCACCATCGTCTGCAATCGAACCGAGGTCCTTCTTGCTCTGAGGCACAAGTGTTGCCACTGCACCACCACCACCGTGCCGTCCATTAAACTACTCTAAACCACACTACATAAAATAATTATTTATCTGGGTTAGGTCGCATTTTGATCTGGCCAAATTTGTGTCTCAACCCTCCACCACTCGACACAGCCAGCCAAATCAAACTGTCGCCGGTATGAGCGTCGACGAAATGTGTGCAGCTTTGTAAGGAATTTAACAGCTGTTATCATATAGAGAGGCTTGCCCCCGCCATAGAAATGTGTAATCCATAATATAGGTATTTTGAGTTAGATCGCGTAAAAATATCTATATTATGGATGATATTGGTCGCGAAAGCCAACGTGTTCAACAGAAAAATGTAACGTCCACCATTGCCCCTGCCGGCCCTTCAACGGGGCATGAGCATCAATAATGCTCTTGTGTATGGTGCGGGGTAGAGTGGAGTTGAGATGTGTATTGTGCGAGGTAGAGTGGCGTTGAGTTGTGTAAGTGCGGGGTCGAGTGGACTTGAGTTGTTGGGTGTTGCTGCTGGCCCCAGGCGGTCCCCAGCAGGACGTGACGCTGTCCTCCAGCGTGAACACGCACTGCTACTACGAGCTGCTGCCCGGCACCGAGTACCGCGTCAGCGTCCACGCACAGGTGCGGGAGGCGGAGGGCCCAGCCGTCAACGTCACGCAGCGGACACGTGAGTGGCGTGGCAAGGCTCACATGCGGCGCAGGCACCAGCAACAGTGCCGCACTGCCAACACGAGCACCGCCATCACCACCACCACCACTACTACCACCACTATCACCACCGCTATCACCACTAGCAGCGTCACCACCAGCACCACAGGTAGCACCACCAGGGCTGCGCCAGCTCACGTTAGTGCTACCCACTCGATACAGGCCCATGATGGGCCGCATCACGTGATCCATGATTGCTCCTCACGTTGCCGGGCGCTGGTGGCACACAAGTGGCCTGCGATCCAGCACTGTGGAGGCGGCAGTAAGAGTTGGTGGATCACTGCACAGATGGTTGTGAAACTCTTTTCCTACCGGTGGGCATCGAGGAGATGCTGTACGCTGGCTTGCCAGGAGAAGGTGGCATGGCAAAAATATGGACTCCACCTGTTCTCTCTGCATGGGATAGAGTGTTTCCCCCTTGCATGCATGGGTTTTCTCCGTGTGCTCCGGTTTCCTCCCACATGTAATGGGTCAATAACACCTTCATATATAGAGGACTGTAGAGCTTGGTGGACAATCATTGGCACCGGCTCACCGCGTGGCTGCTTCCTTGCTTGTCTTTTCCTTCACACCTCTGAGTTGTCCTCTCGCTACACGAGTGAGTGAACACTGCGATGGCGGCGGCGCATTGCAAGTTGACAATGTTACGATGATCATGATTGTTGCTATTGCTTTGTGTTTGTGATGTTCCAGGCTCCGTGGTGACCGAGGCTCCCTACACGACGCCCATCGGGGCTCCTCCCACCACCGCCCCGCAGCCTCGCGAAGGTGATCCTGCGTTCGTGCGTACGCGTTCGTGCATGCGTGCATGTGTGTGTGCGTGCCCTCGCGGTGGCGAGCGGTAAAGTGCGTTGCGTTACAAACCCCAAAAACCCAGATTGCAGCTCACTGTTAAAGCATTTATACAGGCTCATTATATGTATATATGCATTCATAAATATTCTCTATGCGCGTGTGTGTGTGTGTGCATTTATATGGGTGGGGAGCGGTAGTGTAGTGGTTAGCGCGCTGTGCTGTAAACCCAGCGACCCGAGTTCGATTCTCTCTCGTGGCCAAGACTAGTGACGATTATCTGAACCAGTCCTGGGCCTCCCCTAGATCGACTCAGCCACAAATTAGTACCTGGTGCGGGGTGTAAACCGTGGCACTGGGGAGACAAAGGTGGTCGGGTGTGGTACAGGCCACCCACCCCCTCGTGTACCGTGTCAGCCTTTATATAGGTGTCAACTCGCACCACTTGCCCCAACAAATTAATTATTAAAGGTAAATGGGGGATCTTTGTATTTCTCTTCATGTGCCCTTGCTTGCCCCTGTCAACTGGGTTCTTTTACATTGTTACTAAGCACAGGCCCAGATGTCCAAAACGACAAGTGGCCAGCAACAAGCAGCACCATCAATGTTGTAATAAATAATTGGGTAACATGTCTCTTGAATTGAGATCGGTTATTTATTGCAAGAGGTTGGTGGAAATAGATAGCAATTGGAGGGAATTCCAAGGTGGAGCAGTGTGAGGGAAGAAGCAGAAAGAGAAGTGTTGTGGCCTGCAGTGTAGTGGCTGCAACACTGTGGACGAGGCAAAGCAGTCGGTGATTAGCAGACTGAGTCCTCAACACAGCAGGAGGAATCGGCGAGTGAAGTTTACGGTCACAAAAACTGAGGCACTAGCAATTGAAGAGCGACAAAGAGGCGACTGGTGACCGGTGAGCGAGCGAGCGAGTGTGCGGAGTGGATTGGTCACGGGGGGATCTCTGTCTCCGTGGGTGCACTCAGAGTGCCGCTCAGCTCGCGCCGACCTCGTGTTCCTGGTGGACGGCTCGTGGAGCATCGGGGATGACAACTTCCACAAGGTGATGAGGTTCCTTGGCAGCCTAGCGGGCGCGCTGGAGAACATCGGCCCGCACGGCACGCAGGTGAGGGCCGCGGCGCTGAGCGGGCGGTGAGCGGCAGCGCACGGCTGGGCTCGGCGCCAATGCTGTGCCGTCGCGGCGTGGTGTGACGTGGTGTGGTGTGACGTGGTGTGGTGTGACGTGGTGTGGTGTGACGTGGTGTGGTGCACCGCCGCGTGGCGTGACGCGGTGTACTGCATGGCAGGTGCGGTATCAGAGACACCAGACAATGATGATTTTGGTCACGACGATGATGACTTAGCATGATTTATCACCGCACTACGTGCTGCGGTGTGCCCATCAGGTGGCCATGGCCCAGTTCAGCGACGATGCGCGCACCGAGTTTAACCTCAACGTTCACCGGAGCCGGGAGTCTCTGCTCGACGGGATCCGGAACGTCCGCTACAAGGGGGGCAACACTAAGACAGGTGCGACCAAACCCCCCTATCCCGCTTACCCACAACCCCCATTACCCCCCAAATGTAATATTGAGTTGGGTTTATTTAGAGCGTCATTTAACCAATTAATGATGGGTGTTTGTTGTCCATGTGGGAGGAAACCGGAGTAGCCGGAGAAAACCGACCACATGAGTCTGTGGGTTCTTTTAAGTGAGTCCATAAGTCTCAATGTGAGTCTATGGCTATTTATGGCAGTCTGTAGTTTACATGTTCATGGATCTCTATGTAGCGCTACAGGTCTCTATGTTAGTCTATGAGTTTCGAAGTTATGACAGTATATGGCTTTTTTAAGTGAGCCAGTGAGTTTCTATGTAAGTTTATGCGTTCTTACGTGAGTTTTTGGGTCTCAATACAAGTCATTTTTAAACTATAGACCGCTTCGTAACAACCCTGCCTGCTATGTGTCTCTGTGTCTATGGGAATGTATAACTCTTACCAATGACAACTTTGACAGTGCTGTTATTTGCTGGCCACTTGGTGCCTTTGGTCTGTGCTCAGCAACCGTGTGAATGAGAGGTGTGGATGGTAGCAGGGGTCAGGGCTTGCAAGGCACCACGGGCGGTACCGCACGTGGGCCGAGTTGGTCCTGGCGCCGTGCTCAGCCAGAGGTTCGTGTGTAGGGACAGGGAACGTCGAGAGTCCCACGACTCGCACCGCTTCCCCATCCCCAAACAAACTCTGTAAACGCTTGAATAACAAAAGCCAGCGCCTTGGCACCATTTCCGCACCATTCCTCTCTGGGAGTTGTTGGAAGATGACTTCGTGGTTGTGGGCTTGGCTGAGCGCCGCCATGGCAGGTAGCGTTCCCGCACATTCTGCCGGGGGGGGAGGGGGGGGCGAGATATGAGAAACTTGCTCCATAGAATTGTTCTGATTTCCGCGCCGGGAGATGGAATCGAATCATTGACCCCGGGGTTGCGAGCCCAGTGCGCCACTCACCATTGCGCCGCCAAGGCAGCGCCAATGCCAATGAAGGTCACGAGTGTGGTGTTTATTTCCGTAAGAGCGGCTGGATGTTAACATGCGATGCGGTAGAGCGTGGTGGGCTGCAGTGCTCCTAAAATTAATTCCCGTTGTGTAAACTCTGCTTGTTGATCTTTGTTCTGCTCGATGGAGATGTTTGGCTTTTACATCCTGATCTTGTTTTCCAGCAAGCAGAGCTCGTATTGATCCAGCTCTTAATCCACTGCTCCCTTCACCAGTAGACGCCACAGTCACATCATCATCAGCAGTAGCAGCGATGATCTACCAATTGTTGGATGAAGCCCTCATGATCAAGCCGTCACCATCTCTCACGGTCACAAGATGCAACAATCCACCTCGCTCCTGCACACGAGCTGATCTCAGTGCTCCAGCTCCTTGGTCGGCATCCTCCCAAGTGTTGAAGTGTCCGCAAAGTTGGCATGTGGAGATTGACGTGTGTGGAGGTTCACGCATGTGAACTGCACATACACGAAGGGGGGCACGCTGATTTGGCAACATAGCGAGTCGAGACGCCATCACCCTGTGTCATGTTGATGAAACCACGCCTCCTTCTCAAGGCCCAAGACTGCAGCAGATGTTCACAATTCTGGCAACTTGCCTAATCATGCTTGCTATATAACTAACAAGACAAACCACATGTCCACTGAATGACCGGTGAGTTGGTCACCCCCCAGGCCGGGCCATGAAGCATGCACGCACGGAGATGTTCGTGTCGGAGTCTGGGATGCGCCGCGGCGTTCCCAAGCTGCTCGTCGTCATCACGGATGGGCGCTCGCAGGACGAGGTGACGCGTGTTGCCAAGGACGTACAGCACGAGGGTACGCACACACACACACACAGGCACACGTGTACACACACGCACACGTGTACACACACGCATGTCTACATGCACGTGCGCACACGTGTCTACACGAACATACGTATTCACGCAAACACATGCGCGCATCACCAGGGATGTACAGCATGGGCTATTCTAAGCAACAAAGACAAGGATCGCCCACATAGCCTTGAAAAAACTGTTGGGTCAAGCGCTGCTAGCGAGCACCTATGATGAAGGCCAGCATGGCACACAAATGGAGTGGATGGCCAACACCACGCCAATCCATCGTTGTCATCTCCCCGCCCAGTGCTGATGTTTTACACTTCCGCACTGGTCCTGAGCCACCTCGAAGTCAATTCAGCTGTAAATTGAGTACGTGGTGCAGTGTGTAAACATCATAATTGGGGAGACAAAGGTGGCCGGGCATGGTCCTGAACACCCACCCGCTCCAGTGCGGTGCCAATTTTTATAAGTGTTCGCAAACGGCACTTACTCCAATAATCTAAGGCTGTATGGAGGATCTTTGTCTTTGGTGGCTTAAGATGAATAAATACATCTTTTGGGCTGCAGTACAACTGCAATTGTTAGAATTGTGGGCGGTTGGAAGCGATTTGTTGTACCGGGGCATGCCGCGGTGTACCGGGGCATGCCGCGGTGTACCGGGGAGCGCTGCCGAGAAGCGCGACCACGTGCCCCGCAACGCAGTCCGGCTCCGATTGCTCCAACTGTGGAATCCCGGTTGCTGTTCTGGCTATAGTGTTCCAGTTATAGTGTACTGGCTGTGGTGTGCCAGCTGTACTGTTTCAACTGTACTATTATGGATGTCGTGTAGTCAGTTCTGAAACAGAGCAGACAGGGGGAGGAGGGGTGAGGAAGGGGGAGGAGGCATAATGACCAGGCCAAGATGTCGGGGATGAAGGGTGATGATGAGAGGGGAGGGAAGAGCGGCAGAGAAGGAAGGAGCGAGCAGCTGTGAGCTGTATGGAAGAGCGGAGTCTGTTTTCACAGCGGGCGGTGGTTCGGAGAGGGGAGGGGTTCAGAGTGAGCGTCACCACAAGGAAGCCGCGTGGTTTACGGGGGGAGGCTCGAGCCGCTTTCTGCAGCTGGAGAGATGAGGGGGACACGGATTTCTCTGTGTGGTGGTGGCGGCGATCGTGGGTGCAGGCTACAGCGTCTTCTCTATCGGCATTGCGGACGCCGACGTGGCAGAGCTGACGAACATCGCGAGCCGGCCCAGCGAGCGGCACCGCTTCTTCGTCGACAGCTTCGACGATTTCAGGAAAATCGAGAACGAGCTCATCGGCTTCATGTGTGAGGCGGCCTCTGCAAGTAGGTGCACCCCCCGTATAAATGCACATGAAGGAAATGAATATAATATTTTACACACGCAGTTTTTTGTTCGCTCGCAGAAAGAGAGAGCGATTCAGAGGTGCGCGGAAAACCACAGAGAAGGGGGAAAGCGGCCAGCACCGGCTGTGGCCTTAAGAAGATACACAAAAGATGGAAATTAACCCGCTTGCTGTACTGCCATCATACTGTGGCGCTAAGATAGGAGAGGGCCACCTCGATACTCACGGGTGGGGCGGGAGTTTCACGTTCCAAGGGGCACGCAGCGGGGCCACCGGTGCCCGGCCGCAAACGACCGCGGCGACGCAGCAGCATGCGTCGCGCGTGCCGCCCATATGTGGGCCGTGGGGGGCGCGTCTTGTGATGCCTGCGCGTGTTCCCTGCCTTGTGACGCTTGCGCGTGTATGTCCATGTTCCCTGTCTTCTCCGCAGCCTGCCCTCCAGTCTACCTCAACGGATACTCCGTGGCAGGTGCTGCGCCCCGCCCCCCTCACGCTTCACAATGGATTTTTTCAATAATTAGTGGCTGACCACAGGCCCAACAGCGGCCAGCAACAAACAGCACCGTTGCGAAAGCTGCGGTAGATAAGAGTGTAACGCATGTCTGGAATTGAGCAAGATTATTGTTGGGGAAAAGAGACGATGACGACAATGATGCATTCCAAAAGAGAAAAGATAAATGGGGTGACCTACAGTGTGGTGAGTGAGTGGATGAGTGGATTAATGAGTGGGTGGGTTAGTCAGTCGGTAAATGAGAGAGTGGATGAGTGGGTTTTGTTGTGACCTGCAGTGTGTAAGACTTATTATAATCACCCAGGAATGTCCTTAACGCTCGTGACGTCATTCCATGTCGACCAGCCCCCCTCATTAATATTCATTAGCAGGTGCCGCCCTGAAAATGGACACCCCCCCACCCCTCCTCATTAATAATCATGAACAGCTGACGTCACTTCATATTGGGTACCCTCCCCCGCGTCATTACGTCACTCCATATTTTTCTGCTGCTTTGCGGCCATTGACTCCAATCACAATTGTTTGCAACTCTGGCGAGTTGAACCGAAACATAACTATGTCTTAGAGCACCTCACCTAATGTCTTTGAGTGTCCGTTTAATACAGTAGCACAGCGGCATTGCGTCAGCTGTTTTATCACATTGTTGCGTGCAACAATCACTGCCATCACTGCGGTGATTGTTGCGTGCAACAATCACTGCCATCACTGCAGTGATTGTTGCGTGCAACAATCACTGCCATCACTGCAGTGATTGTTGCGTGCAACAATCACTGCCATCACTGCAGTGATTGTTGCGTGCAACAATCACTGCCATCACTGCAGTGATTGTTGCGTGCAACAGTCACTGCCATCACTGCAGTGCTGCAGTCTCATGCAGTACGGTGTTTTATGATATTTTTTGCCAATATTCCCCGCCATTACATTCAGCTAATTAATCATCGTTAACGACTGAAGTCACTCCGCAAGGAGAAACGTGGAGCGGAAATGAAAATTTGTTTAGGCACAAATGGCATTTTTTAACGTCCATTGTCCCCACTTTACCTAGAGCTAACCGGACAATTAATTCCACGCCACATCCCACTGCATTTTCTACCTCCATTTATTTATTTGCCACGTCAAACAATAGCAAGGTCAACTTTATGCTTGCAAATTATGCTAAAATAAACATTTATCTGCTGTTTTGCCACCATTGCCTCCAATTCAAATTGTTTGCTACTCTGGCGAGCTCCAGCATACCATAAGTAAGTCTCAGAGCACTGCATCTCAAGCTATTGCATTTGTTTAGGCGCAAACGACATTTTATAACGCAAATTGCCCCTTCTATATGGAGACATTTCTCGGTGATTTTCCCGATATTGTATCGATTTCCAATTTATTTCAAACATAGCAACCGAAAGCAAAAGAGAATAAAGTGTTTGAGCAGTGAATTTGAATAAATTGAAGGTCAGTTATATGCAGTGCTGCAGTGACATGAAGTGAGGTGTTTTATGACATAGTTTCGTGCAAGATTCACTGCGATAAAATTTACACAAGATACAATTATACCCTGCTAAATTTTTGCGTAAATATTACAGCTTCTGTCCTAGGACGGGCAAGGATGCTAGTGTATGTATGTTTGTCAAACTTCTTTCGTACCGTATGTGTCCAACCGTGCTAATCGGAGGTGACCGTAGTGTGGATGTGATGAAACGGTGAGTGTCTGCTAGAGACCGAGTCGTCAACATTGCTGGAGGAATCAGTTAGTGAAGTTCACAAGAACAGTAACCACAGTTTGTCATTTGTGATAATTGCCCCACGTGGAGATGCCACATGTCCCGTAATCGTCTTGGCTGGCAAGGCCAGTGCTGTTCACGCCAGTTGTACCGCTGGTGCCTGTAAACGTGGCCTGCACTGCTGACTTCTCCCATTCTCACCTCCGTGCCTCTGTGTGTCCCTCCGGGCTGCTTGCTGCAGGCTTCAAGATGATGGAGGCGTTTGGTCTGGTGGACAAGCTGTACTCGTCCCTGAGCGGCGTGTCCATGGAGCCCGGCTCCTTCAATGCCTTCCCGGCGTTCCGCCTGCACAAGGACGCCATGCTCTCTCAGGCCACCAGGTGCTCGCTGCCATTCCTGCATTGGACATTCGGCATTCCTATGACGCAGGGATGCACAGAGAGCCCATCGAGGTTCGCTGTGCATCCCCGCGTCTCTCCGCACATCCCCGTGTCTCTTTGTGCATCCCCGTGTATTTATGTGTACCTCTGCGTGTGCTGCAGGGAGCTGCACCCCGAGGGGCTTCCGCAGGAGTACACGGTCTCGTTCATGCTGCGCATACTGCCCGACACGTCGACGGAGCCGTTCAGCGTGTGGCAGGTGCTCGACAAGGACAGCTCCTCGCAGGCCGGCGTGCAGCTCGACGGTACGGTCCGCACCACTCGCCGCGCCACCGTCACCCGCCCGGGCCGGGTTCGATTTCACCGTAAGGGGTCACGGAGATGTTGACGGGGAACACTCGCGTATCGCGTCTCCCGTTAAGGACATGCTGCTCCGGTGCATCGTAACGGTCAGAGCACTGGACTCGCAAGCTGTTCAATCTCCCGGTTTGTGCATGCGCATGCAGTCGGCGGCCGCACCCTCACCTACTTCACGGTGGATGAGGAGGGGAAGCCCCAGTTCATCTCGTTCGATGGCCCCGACGTGCAGAGGATCTTCTTTGGCTCCTTCCACAAGGTATGGACATGCAGTCTCGCAGGATCAAAGTGGCCGTGTCCAGGGCACTGAGCCGCCATCGCCCAGCACCTGGTTTCTAATCCGAGGTTTTAGCCGCCCACGGGTAATCCATTGCTTTGGAGCGGGGTGAGTTGATAGGCCTCGGGCTGCTGGCCTATGGCCACATAACCCTGACCGTGCTCGACCTCATCAGATAGCGGAAGCTAAGCGGTTAGTTATTGGGTGAGTTGCAAGGTGGGCTGCCAGATGTTGCAGGCATGATGTGGTGTGGCCAGGAGGTATACAGCACTGAGGTGCTGGGTTTTTTCCGTGACAATCCGGCCATTTATCAATGGCAAAGGGCACAATTGTGACTGTTGGATTGGTCCTCGCCTCATCCCTTGCCAGGCCACGTGACGTTTCACCCCACTGCGTGTGCTTTTTTATTTACGAATCTGAGCAGTTGTATGTATGTATGTTGAACTGTACATAGCCAACCGTGCTAACGTTACAGTCAGGAAAAGTTCTGGTGTTATGTGAAGAAAAACAATCCTCGTGTCTGCAAGAGCATCGCAGAAGTCAGGGTGAGAACCACCACTCTTGAAAAAGAGTCTTATAATGTGGGCACATGGGGGTTATGCGTGGCGTTGCGAAGCGACACTGGGGCTGGATGGGGAGGCGGGAGGAGTCGGGGTGTGCGCGGGGGTGGGGGGGTGATGGGGGGGCTCGCGCAATCTCTCGTGGTCCGACGAGAACGAGGGGCCTCGTGCAGCAGGGCGGGCGGTGGATGCGCGTGCGACGGCTCCCCTGCTGCAGGTGCACGTGGCGGTGGCCAAGCAAAGTGTGCGCCTCTTCGTTGACTGCACGCTCATCGCGGAGAAGCAGAGCCGTGTGCCGGGGAATGTGTCGCTTGACGGCAGTGAAGTGCTGGGCCGGCTTGCGCGCTCCACACCCAGCGCACCCAAGTCCGCCACGGTACGCGCATGCGAGCGCACGAGCACGCACGGGGACGTGCGCACAGACACATGGACAAGATGCACACGAGCACACAGACACGCACAAACAGAGATGCACGCAAGCATGCCTGCGCGCACCTCTGCACACGAGCACGCACACACACGAATGTGCTCGCACGCTCTCTGAGAGCTGCTGAGGAAATGGCGGCATCCGGCCTCGTGCGCCCACGTCCCCTCCGCCCGTTCCCCCTACAGTTCCAGCTGCAGATGTTCGAGATCGTGTGCGGCACCACCTGGCCCGCCAAGGACAAGTGCTGCGAGCTGCCGGCGCTGGTGAGTCCCGTTTGGTGAGGGTGTCACCTCGACGCTTTGAGACACAGGGGGGGGAGCACCGACCAGCCAGCGGTGGTGCCTTTGACCGCTTGTTGCAGATGTTTCGCTCTTCGCTCCTGGAAGGCCGCCCTGGTTGATATCACGGTGTTTAACCATAAACTACTCCGCCTGTTGCTTTGCAGCGGGCGTTAAAGGTCCCGTGATGTCATTCTAAAATGAGGAGGCCATCGTGTCCAGAAGTCACGGTTCAAACTTGCAAGGTTTAAAAAAAATAGCACTGCAAGTTACTCAATTGGTATTACACGCTGAGCAACGTCGCTGCCTCCTGGCAGATGTTCTCTTTGTCATAGCCCTGTGCTATAATTTGCCATTTGTTAGAAATTCTACATTTTAATTGGGGGGGAGGGGGGGTCCTATCCATTTGACAGCTGCTGTTGACATCTGCACAAAATTATACTCATTTTATAGATCCTGTAGGGATGATTGTCTGAGTGAAACCCCCCCACTGACTAGGAGTTGAACTCGCAACCATGCGATTGCGAGGCACTCACTCTACCACTAAGCCGCCATTAGTGTAACAAGCGATGACGTTGTTGTTCTCTGTGTTGTTGTTGTTTAACGCAGAGAGCAGTCCTGGACAGTGTGGATGTAGGGGGTGTAAGGGGTGTAGGGAATATAGGAGTAATAGGGGAAGTAGGGGATGCAAGGGAAGTAAGGGGTGTAGGGGGTGTCGGAGTTCCGTTATGAAATCCGTTCGTCCTGCAGCAGGCCACGTTCACCGCCGTGTCTTCTCTGCGGAACACCGTGGAGTGGGGATAGGAATTGTGGGCATTGCCGGTATTTGCACGTGTGGTGTTGTGAGAAGTGCCGGTGTGCCATTTACTGCCGTACACCACGGATCCCGATGTAACGCATTCACTTTCGGCTCTGCAACACGTGGGAACTCTGTTTTAGAAATAGCATTTGATGTGTTGTCACAAGCATCACGAGCTCCGATTGGCTGGTTGGGGTCATGTGGTTTTCCTGCTTGTTGCTGGACCTGCACTCGGCAGCTTCGTTTAAAGCAAAGGAAGGTGCCATGGAGTGTGCATCGAGCTGTGGCCAAGAGCCCCCCTCACGTCCGCTTTGCACTTGCAGAGAGACGAGGCGACATGCCCCACGTTGCCGCTCGCTTGCTCCTGCGCCCAGGACAGCAAGGGGCCCCCCGGACCTCCAGGGCCCCCCGTAAGTGCCCCATGAACCTGTTACCGCTTGACACACTATCTGTATCTCGGTCTGCTCTCTCGCTTTCTCTGCGTCTGTCTCCGTGTCTGCTTTCGTGGGAGAATGAGAGCCACGTAGACAGACAATTAGCCATACAAACCCAGAGACGTATAGACACATAAACACACGGACACAGGGATGCACGGACACAGACATAGAGACGACACAGACGCATGGACACAGTAACAGAAAGACACATAAAAACAGGGACACAGAGACGCAATCTCCATACAATATTTCCTATGTCCACCCATGCGTGGTGTTTTCGCTACGGTGCCGATTGTGCCGGAGGTTTTTCTGCTTTGGACGAGGTTGCAACGATCGGACCGCTGGGTGGTCAGGAACAGACCCGTCAACCCGTTCCTCGCCCACTCCTCGGAGTCTTTGCCCCTTCGTCTTCTTTGCCGTCTGTACAGGAAGTGGCCTCCCCCTCCCCCGCGAGAGAGATGGATGAGTCGCAGCAGAAACGTATTTAATGATCATAACGTCGATAAGAAACACGAGCTGCCCGCAAATCCTGCGCAGTCGCCTCCGTGGGTCCCGCTGGGCCCCGGAATCTGTATCTCATGGTGATGGCGGTGGGATTCTTGACGTGCGGTTGGGATTGGACTCGCGTGCCAAAAGCTAGTCCGACAGATCGGTATTAATGATCATGAATTGTGTTTCGATTTAAAGCTTTCGTGACTGCAAGGATTCATCTTCTTTGGTTCTTTCGGTAAAGTCACGTAGAATGAGAATAAAAGAATAAAATAAAGTAAGACAATAAAATTCTCACGACGTTTCGGCCACAACACAAGTAGCCTTCATCAGGTGAAAGAGCAGAACTGTCGGGAGCACTGTCGGGACGACAGTTTTCCATTGGAGCACTGTCGTCCCGACAGTTCTGTTCTTTCACCTGATGAAGGCTACTTGTGTTGTGGCCGAAACATCGTGAGAATTTTATTGTCTTATTTTATTTTATTATTTTATTCTCATTCTACGTGACTTTACCGAAAGAACCAAAGAAGATGAATTGTGTTGTTGGTACTGCCGCCCTCCTTTATGCCGCGCGGTCCCAGATAATTCTTTACACAAAGGGACTCGGCACCCGGCCTGCAGGAGGCCATCAGTCTGCCAGTAGGGGAGGGGGAGCGATAATTGCCAATGATTTGTGTCATCCCAGTTGATTAATTTGTTTTGTAAATTTTCGAATTTGGTAAATTTGGACGTTGACGTCGGCACTCATTTTCCACAAAGTCCAATGTGAAACAAACGGCAGGTTTGTTTTTTGGTTAAAGCACCCACAGTAATAACTAGGGTGCCCTGCTGGATGCGAATCACGAAGTTCTGCAACAAACGCAGGGTCGTGACGCCCGATACGCCCTCCCTGGGTGCCAGGGCGAGCGAGATGCCCCCAGGTGCTGAGTGAACGCTGCAAATAAATCAGACAACCCCCCCCCCCCCCACCGCGTGAATCAACAATTCGCGTCCACGCGCCTTACAAACGAGGCTGGTCTGTAGATTAATGCGGTCCAGATGGGCTCGTGTGTGCGGGAAGAGGGGTAATCACGGAAGTCTTCTTGTGAGCTGCTCAGCCTCGAGCACCTCCTCAACCTCCTGGCCAAATAAGCAAACGGCAGAGCCAGCGAGTGCAACTGATTTTGGTCAGATACCAGGCACCTGGTCTATGGAGTTCAGTGCAGAGTGACGAGGGCTGCCGCAGGAAGGGGTTGGGCTGCGCCCTATCCTTCTCCCTCGCCACGTGCGTTCTCGTGTCTGTGTGCCTGAGGCCGTCTGCAAACCTCGTCTGCCTCCGTGCGTGTGCGCGAGTGTGTGTTCTACGTATGCGTATGTGGGGGACGGTGGCGCAGTGGTGAGTGCTCTGCACTATGAACCCGGTTACTGGAGTTTGATTCCCTCTCATGGCCAACATTGGTGACGAATATATATCTGTTCACAGCCTACCTTAGGTTGACTCAGTCTTAAATTAGTCCCTAGTGCAGTGTGTAAACATCAGCACTGAGAAGACAAATGTGGCCGAGCATGGTGCTGGACACCCACCCCCTCAGTGCCATGCCAGCCTTCATAAGTGCGTGCTAACAGCACTTGCTTCATAATATACGAAGGCTTATATGGGGATTTTTTTTTATCACAGTTAAAATCTTTTGTTTGGATGACTGGAACATCCATGAAAAAAAAACAATGGTAAAAACCGGTGAATACCGGTCTCGTCACCAAAATAACAATTCTAACCTTTCTAACTGAGAAGTAAAGAGAGCTGTCACAGTGGTAACGATTTCATCTTCCGGCGCAGTTTCAATCAGCGCATTCGTGACCAGGATTCCGCAGGAATCGGTTGCCAGTTGCCAACCTGCGGTGATCGAATTTGAACTCAGTGCCGGTTTCCCGGTCACTAGTGCCGTGCGCAGGCAGCCATGCAGGGGGGGGGGGGGGGGGGGGGCGGCCGTGGGGTGGGAGTTAGGTGAGCTGTGAGTGGGGATCATATGCGGTGCTATTCAAGCACCACCCGGCAGACATGCTGACGTTGTCCCAACGTCGGCATGTGGTTGGAAGCATTTGATCGACGTCGGCCCAATGTTGAAGGGGAGTCTGCGGACGCCACAGAATGCCCCACCCGTGTTGGTCATCTGGTTTGTGGGCTTTTTTCAGTGGTTATTTTTGTTACAACTGTGGCTCATTGGTTATTTATTTGCGCAGATGCGTCTGCTTGTTGATTTTTTAAAAATATTTTTTCTAAATGTAGTTCAGTGCCAATTGTGCCATCTCAGGGAGCTTGAGCAAACGCCGGTGGTTTTCTGTTGTCATTGCACTGGTTCTCGTGATGCACAAGCTGTTAGAAAGGTGTCCTCAGGATCACGGATGTGTAACTTCACTTGGCAGTCGAACTGTGTCTCTGATTATTTAAGGAATCGATTATTTACGTAAAAAACTAAACGCATAACATTTGAAAACCTGACTTAATCACAAAGCAGTATGTGTGAGTCTGTGGGTCTTTATATGAGTCTATGGGTCTCATTGTGAGTCACTCGTGACCGGACTGAGACTATCGCCTCACGACTGGAGACCCCAGTATAACCACTGTCAGCGGCAGAAACCTGGATTAGAACCCAGATTCCCAGTATTGTTGGCTCGGTGCATTGACCTCTGACCCACCCGGCCGCCCCCACCCTCGCTCTTCTCAATTGGCGTCTCCTGACCTGGAGTGGGGTGTCTTTGACACGGGCGTGACGCGGGCTCGCGGGGTCAGTTGTCCGCGACACGATTGCTCGATCGGTTTTGGATAAAATTGCCAGATGCTCGGAGCCAGCGCTCGCAGTCACGGCACATCGTGCGCACTCCCACGTGCAGCTCGTTAAATCCGTCCATCCGGGCCGTTAACAAGTCGGCGGTGGGAGCCGCGGCATTCCCGCGCCGGGCGAGAACCGCGTTGCTGCCGATCGTCATGCTTCCATGAGTCAAGTCACAGCGGAGCATTGAGGCATTGGTGCTCATCTCCCGTTCACATCCCAGAGCCAGCGGTGGAAATTCCCACCGACCTCACGACCTTCCCTTTGACCCGGCGCGTCTCATCTCACCGCCATCGATCTTGATAGTGCCGCGTGGAGCGTGTGACCGAGCGGGCGGGTGAATTTAAGTGTTGGTTCCAGACCGAGCAAAATCTCTTTGAGATGACGTCACTTTGAGTGATTGGCCGATGATAAGTTCAAGGTAATAAATAATAATACGAAACAACAGTCACAATGAACACCCTCAACGTTTATATAAGAACTCACTTCTTTGCCTGTCCTACGACGGAAGCTGTAAAATTTACGAAAAAATAGCAGAGTATAATTGTATCTTGTGTAAATTTAATGGCAGTGAATCTTGCACGAAACTGTCATCAAACACTTCACTGCAGTCACTGTAGCACTGTATTAATGGCAGTGATTCTTGCACGAAACTATGTCATAGAACACCTCACTTCATGTGACTGTAGCACTGTATATAATTGACCTTCAATTTGTTCAAATTCACTGCTCTGATACTTTATTTTCTTCTGCTTTCGGTCTCTGGGGTTGAAATCAATTGTAAATCGATACAATATCTGGAAAATCACCGAGAAATGTCTATTTTACCATAATGTAGATGCATGAATTAGACTTACCTTTTGTCTCAAGTGCTGAAGAAATAAATAAAGACACCAAATCCACTGTTGCTGCGTAGAATTAACAATTAGATTAACTTTCGATAAAGAAACGTCAAACTTAAAGCGAATTTTCGAAAAAAATATTTCTGCTCGACCTTCTTCTGCGTGAGTGTAAAAATCCACCCGCTAATGAATATTAATGACGGGGGGGGGACATGTGGAGTGACGTCATGCACGGGACACAAACAGACATTCTTGGCTCATTATAGTAGTAATAGTAATATTTAATATACCGTAATTCTGGTGGAGCAGTGACACAGCGGTTAGCACCTACCATGCTCTGAAGCCACGGCTAACATAGTGGGGAGCAGTAACTGAACTGGTCGTGTGCGTCTCCCACCCGCTCCTCCCACTTGATCAGTTCGCATTGGCCAACATGGGGAAGCATCGTCAAACAACCCCATGATCGTTGATTAGCAAAGGTACATCATTTATGTATGACTGGAATGTTAACTATTTCAACTCAAACAATTACCCACACTGCCAATTTATGTTGTGAAAAAACTCGCCGTGAAATGTTACAAAAATATATTTAAACACACCACTCCAGTGAAAGGACGTCACACACATGCGACAGTGCAGCTCGTTCAGTACAATTCCCATTGCTGGTTGCAGCCCTCTGTCATCCCACTGCTGGCTGACAGCTTCCCCACATCTCGATTGTCATGGGGGGGTTCGATTTAAAGCTTTCGTGACTGCAAGGATTCATCTTCTTTGGTTCTTTTGGTAAAGTCACGTAGAATGAGAATAAAATAATAAAATAAAACAATAACATTTTCATTTTATTCTCATTCTACGTGACTTTACCGAAAGAACCAAAGAAGATGAATCCTTGCAGTCACGAAAGCTTTAAATCGAAATTTAACCGCCTCTACGGGGAGGGATTTCATACAACCTTAGGATCTTTCAAGAGGACGGCTACTTGTGTTGTGGCCGAAACATCGTGAGAATTTCATTGTTTTATTTTATTATTTTATTCTCATTCTACGTGACTTTACCGAAAGAACCAAAGAAGATGTCATGGGAGTTCTTTGCCCATGCTTAACCGGGCTGGTGCGTGCGTGCGTGTGTCATGGTGCGCAGGGAGGGACTGGCCCCAAGGGTCCGAGGGGAGAGAACGGCGGCATCGGGCCCCAGGTGAGCGCCCAGCGTCCACTTACTCAATCCTGGTGAAGCGCGTGCCTGTGCGTGCATGTTCGTGCACGTTTGTGCTGGTACATGCTTGCGTGTGTGTGCTCGAGCGTGGGGAGTGTTGTCTCTGTGCGTGGGGCATGGTGGCACAGTGGTTAGCACACTGCACTACGGACTCGTGACCTGAATCAGATTACCGGTCACAACTAACATCAGTGGCGAGTGCTGTCCGAACCGATCATGGACCTCGTCTGGATTGGTTCGGCTTTAACAGACTGCATGGGGAGACAAACACAACCCAGCCTAATGTTCGCTTTTAAAGCACTCTCTCGTGTGCAATGCCAGCCTTAATAGGGACTCCCTAACAGCACTTGCACTTGCCCCAGCTGTCTGTTAAACGCTACATGGGGGATCTTTTTCTTTGTTGTCATGAGCACAGGGGGCAACGGGTCCACGGGGGGAGCAAGGACCCCCTGGCTCTCAGGGACAGCCTGGACCTCAAGGCCCCAATGGAATATCAATGGAAGGAGAGCCGGTGAGTGGGGGTGCTATCCACTGCTGGATGAAGGCCTCCCTAATTTGTCGCTATCTCTGATGGTATTGCGATGCAATGGACCATTCATCTCCAGCTGATTTTCATCTCTTCATCTCTGCGCTTGATGTCTCTCGAGGTCGAGTTCCCTCCTTTGGTTGCCACACCATTGTCAGTTTCAACCACCGGCCATCATCTTTTCTTAAGTCAAATTTACACCGTCGTTTATGTGTGTTCACTAATCTTGAGCAAATTCTGGACTGATTTTTTACATTCATTGTCTCATGAGCATAGTCAGGCTTGTTTGAAGTGCACAATTGGCATAATTTGATAAGACACTGAATGTCAAAACTGGTCCAGAGTTTTCTCGTGTTGACCCAATGCCGATGAAATTATGCACTCGCATAATGCCATGTGATTGATGCAATGCGTAAAAAATACTTAGTTTATTTTTTATTTGCCAGGGCTGATATGTGAAGGAGGCAAATTGTCTGCATATTAATTTTGTTACCGATATTCTCTGACACAATACTAACGATCGTTTCCTCATCATTGGTGTCTGATGGCAGGGCCGACCGGGTGAGAAGGGAGACCAGGGCCCGGCCGGACACGCAGGGCCCATGGTAACACCAGCGCCGTACTTTCAACTTGGCAGCCTCGCTCCCTCACCTCGTCTCGCACTCCGGCTTGTGTTCCTTCTGCCATGCACACCAAAAATGTGGCGATATGTTTAGATTTCAGAAATTGCCACACTTTCCATTTCAATCAAAGCATACGTCCGCACCCGACTCGTTACCGTGCAGTTTAGCTGTTTGCATCTCCCTCCCTCCCTCCCTCCCTCCCTCCCTCCCTCCCTCCCTCCCTCCCTCCCTCCCTCCCTCCCTCCCTCCCTCCCTCCCTCCCTCCCTCCCTCCCTCCCTCCCTCCCTCCCTCCCTCCCTCTGATTATTTGTTTTATTTTCCCTCTCTCTTCGCCATCTCTGAACGTTATGTCTGCAGGGTCCCTCTGGCCCTCCCGGGCAGCAGGGCAGGGAGGGCTTGCAGGGCCCACGGGTGAGTGGCTCCACGACATTAGTACTAAATTTTGATTTAAAGCTTTTGTGACTGCAGGGATTCATATTCTTGGTTCTTTCGGTAAAGTCACGTAGAATGGAAACAATAAAATAATTAAAATATAAAAGAATAAAGTTCTCACGACGTTTCGACTGCAACACAAACAATCATCATCAGGAGTGAAAACCACAGCAAGAAAATTTGAAAAAAGTGGCGTTTTTTAACGTTAGCACCACGGAGAGCGATTTGGTAGTTATTCAGGTGGACGAGTCCATCTATGTTCGGAAAAGAGGAGGGGGGTGACGAAAATAATGGATGCGGACTGAAAGTCACCATAAGCGTGAACAATCAATTAAGACCCGAAATGGTTTATCAAATCCTTCCAATGATTGCTAAGCCAGAATCCATCTTCTCGGTTGAAATTGTCTCTGTGTTTGTATATGTGGATAGCCTCATGAACGAATCTCTCATGGTAGCCAGATGGCTTGCAATGAACCTCTGTCTTGGAGAAGTCAATGTCATGTGAGCTTACTGAATTATAACAGTGATCTGCCATGGCCGAGGTGTTGGTCCTACCGTGTTTTAGGTCTGCTTTGTGTTCACGAATGCGGTCCGAGACATGTCGTTTGGTTTCTCCAATGTAACTACTAACACAGAGGCAACTTAGTTTGTAGACGCCAGGGTACTGTATGTCCGGAATCACATCTTTTACAGATGGAACCAGATCACGGATTTTATGTAATGTGTTGAATCGGATCTGGATCTTGTGTTTATTCAAAATTTTGGAGATCTTGTTTGTGATCCCCGGTTTCAGGTAAGCATCCGTATGGGTAGCCACTCTGTCTACAGGAATGCTACCCATACGGATGCTTACATGAAACCGGATTCCCACCACCATCCATCCCAGAACAATTCCCTCATCAAGACTCTGCACCATAGAGCCCAATGCATATCCGACCAGCAACACATAGCCAGTGAACTCAAGCACGTACACCAAGCTTTTAAGGCTAATGGTTACTCCGACCACACAATCCGCAAAGCTATCACTCCAACCATGAAGAAGGACCCTCTTGAGGAGCCTATCAAAACCATCACTTTACCCTACATTGCGGGGATCACAAAAAATATCTCCAAAATCTTGAATAAACACAACATCCAGGTCCGATTCAACACATTACATAAAATCCGTGATCTGGTTCCGTCTGTAAAATATGTGATTCCGGACATACAGTACCCTGGCATCTACAAACTAAGTAGTCTCTGTGGTAGTAGTTACATTGGAGAAAGCAAACGACATGTCTCGGACCGCATTCGTGAACACAAAGCAGACCTAAAACACGGTAGGACCAACACCTCGGCCGTGGCAGATCACTGTTATAATTCAGTAGGCTCACATGACATTGACTTCTCCAAGACAGAGGTTCATTGGAAGCCATCTGGCTACCATGAGAGATTCGTTCATGAGGCTATCCACATATACAAACACAGAGACAATTTCAACCGAGAAGATGGATTCTGGCTTAGCAATCATTGGAAGGATTTGATAAACCATTTTGGGTCTTAATTGATTGTTCACGCTTACGGTGGCTTTTAGACCGCATCCATTATTTTCGTCTCCCCCCTCCTCTTTTCCAAACATAGATGGACTCGTCCATCTGAATGACATTAGTACTGTTCAAGTCAGTGTTTAATTTTATCTTAGGAGACTTTTAACTCGAGATTTGTGTCTTCTGTGTGCACGCACGAGTGTGTGTGAACAACAAGCAAACCCAATAATCTTCACTTTATAACTTAGAAATTATTTTGTAAAGGAATGTGACGTATAGATTCTACTTGTGTTCCGTGAACATATAAACCCGAACCGGTGGCCACCCTGACCTCGGCTCCCTGACCGCTCGCCACTCACGCTGCATCAACCGCACCCCTTGCTGTGCCCTCACGCGGATCACGGTGTGTTTTCCTGTGCAGGGCCCTCCGGGGAAAGAAGGTGGACCTGGATTGCCGGGTCAAGCGGGGCCCATGGTGAGTGGCGAGACCCCTGGGTGGTCGTGCATCACGTGGCGTGTGTTGAGCCGGGAAGATTCGTCAAATTGGCCAACGAATTCACTGACGCGGCCACCCCCACATCCCGCCTCCCATAGGCAGGAAACCCCCGTCACTCTGCACCCAGCATAGCGCCATTGATGATGTTAATGAAGTCGCCAAGCCCCACCCATCAGCACCCATCCAACAGCACAAATGGGAACAGAGGCGAAATTTCTTATTTTTCCCAATTGTCTTTGTCTTCTCTGATCGAGTAATGAACTAATCATTGGTAGAGTAATTGATCGCTTAAACCATCAATTCGCCAAGCTTGAGCTGGCTGCGTGCGGTGTGCCTGTGCAGAGGTGCAGTGTGTCTAAGAGGGGCACAGCGATAGAGACTGCGTTGCCCTTGCTCGACCCGTTGTTGTGTTGTCCACCAGGGCACATCAGGAAACCCTGGACCCCCGGGGCCGAGCGGCAAACCTGGCTTCAACGGCGAGGGTGGACTTCAGGTGAGCGGCCCGACAGCATGGACATTACCAACCTGGGCAGCGGCCTGAATGGGCCACACTCCGGGCCATCTGGTTCTTGTGCACGGATTCCCGACATGCTGGTGGCTGTCGCTGTCTCGATGTTCCGCCCGTCTGCTCCAGCAACTGAGAGCTCACTTCATTAACTCTCCCAATCATTCACGCTTTGTATGTCATTCTCCTTATTGCTCTCATATCACTATGGCCATGAGTACTGTGTCTGTAAGCTTTGCTCGTTGTTTCCTCCACCCATATTGGGGAATCGGGCTACCAGACACTGACTGTTTCGTCTCACCCACACTGTGTTCAACTACCACTGCGCTGCAGGTCACAAGAACACACTGCCGGCATATTAACTATAAACACATGGCGTCTGCTTCACAGTGAACGTGAAAGATCCCGTGCCGTCGTTCAGTATAAGTAGGCCTTTGTCTGCCGGGGCCACGGTCCAAATGAGAAAAATTACCTACAAATCACTAAATTTGGATTTCATGTAGAAGAAATTATCGCCCCCAACTCGTGGACTCGTGCCTGCTTGCAGGCCACGTGATGAGAACTTTGTGCCGCACAGGAACAGCTGCCACTGGTGGTGTCCTTATCAATGGTTGAGATGAGTTATGATGTCAGCTAGTTTTGAATGCTGAGGTATTTAAGCAAGCGCCATATTAGTACAAAGATGATAATGATGATGATTATTAAACGGCAAACTCTCAGAGCATACGGTGGTGGGTCGCAAGATCTGAAACCTGATCTAGAAGCATGATGTATAAGCGTGGTTTTGTGTGTCAGCTGTCTTTAAAACTGCAGCTGCACAAATACAGGCACACTCACACACACACACACGCGTACACGTCCACAGAAGCACAGATCATCCTTCCCATCAACGATGGCTCATTGCAGTGCAGATGCTGATGACTATTTTAGATGAGCTGGCACAACATCGTATTATTTTATTATGATAATTTTTTATTATGCTTGACCGTTGGTGTTTGTGTATGCTCCTGGGCCCTGGCGGCAGTGGAGGCGGTGCTGGCACGGAATGTGGAGAGCACCGGGGGTGGAATTTTCTCCACGTTTTAGGGATGTCCGATGATGGCCCAGAAGGGGCAAGAGAAAGCTTGGGATGGCTCGTGAGGTTTAGAGATGGGTTCAAATGGCCCAGCAAAGGGCAGGGAAAGCTTGTAATGTGCCATGAGGGTTCGGGAATGCTTACAATGACGCATGGGGTGGTGGGTAGGGAGAGACTGACTCCAAAGTTGCAACCAAAGGAGGGAGCACAGCTGAGGCCGAGAGGACGCCCACGGCAGAGATGGAGCGACGAAATAAGCTCTCGTGCAAGAGCCAGACGAGTGGCCTTCCTCCAGCAGTGGGTAGATCAAGGCTTAAGATGATGAACGCGGCGCGTTTGATAGTCGGGGTGACCCTCCACGGGGTGTGGGGTTGGGGTCGTGTTTTGCCTGAAACGGAGTTCAGCGGTTCACTGCAGTCCGCTCACCGCCTGCATGCCCATCGCCAGACCTGCCATATCAAGACTACGGCAGCAAGTGTCGCTCGCTCATGCTGCCCCGGTGTTTTGTGCCAGTCTGAACACCTCCTCCACACGTGTGTTTTTGGCAGCACCAGCAGCTGTGAAAAATGCCTTTTATATCCGATCCAGGAGCGTGGTCCATAAACCAAATTCTAAAACGTAGTCAATATTTATGTTAATAAAATCATCATCAGCAGCAGCCATGATCAATATATTGCTGGATGCAGACCACCCCAAGCCATGGTGTGTGTCTGTCTGTCTTACTACAGTTGTGCTGCTGATGTCGTGGCATGAACTCTGAACTTTGCCAGAGTCGTGTGTAGTGAGCGGTCTGTAGAAGGAGACATCGCAGAACTACTTCTGTTACTGTTTTCAGTGATCACTTATACACACAGTGCCGGGGTGCCACACTGTGCCATATTTGCTGCTACGAAGAAGCGTTCATCATATGGCAATCAAACAATCTTGCATTCTCACAGACGTCAATTTTTCTAAATTAGGTATTAATCCCAATTTAACATCGCCTTATTTAGTTTAACACGTAGGCTTTCGCGACCAATATTATTCATAAAAGGTTTTTGGGTTAGATCGCGTTATTTATAAATGTGTCGTAACCCTCCACCACCCGACATGGCCAATCAGCAAAAAAAGTGTCACGTTGACAAAAGACAAATAGTTCACTACTTTAGCCCACCGGTGTGTTGAAGAGTGAATCCACAACATTTACAGTTTGAGGACGACGTTTCGCTGGTAATTACATCCAGCATCATCAGGCAATTCGCCAGAATGGCCAAGTCCTCGCTTGCTCCCGGTCTTAAATAGAGCAGCAGGGTGACATCATCATTTAACTCATTTCAGGTGCAGTGATTTGAGGCGGGGGGGGGGGGGGGGAATTGTAATTATATAATCGATTGGTAATCCGTCAATGGTTATGATTAGTAATGCGTTGTAGATTAGTAATTAGTTGTAATGTGTGTTATTGTGTTTATATGCTACGTTAGTAATCCGTTAATTAGTATGTGTTTCCCCTATAAGGAATTGTAATATGTATTATTTAATAATACGCTTCCAAGCCGCACTAAGCCTGTAGCTGTCAGAGCGATTAAAGTTATTTCTATTCCTCTCAATTTCAATGGATTCTCTGATTAGTCTTTGCCAGTAATAATTAGTTTTACACAACACTTCAACGTTATCAAAATCAATTGAGTGTCCTTGCTGACAAGCATATTCTGCCACTGCCGACAGTTGTGTTTGAGATAATTTAATATTTCTTTGATGTTTTTTTAGTATTATGCTGATGTTACGTCCCATCTGCCACATAATTAATCCGATATACACCTTCTGTTGATAATTTAGGTAATGCGTCTTTAGTGTAAGATACTAGTTTTGAATTTTGTGCACTGGACCAAATCTTACTGTAATGTTTTTCTTTTGCAAAACACGGGCTAATTTGTCAGTTACTGCTGAGATATATGGAATTTTAATTGTTTGAACAATCTGATCGCTTTCAGCAGTATTGCGTTGCGATCGTGATTTGGCATTCAGTGCTCTGTTAAATTTGAGCATTATTGTAGCCATTCTGTCGTAGTGCTTCTTTAACGTGTTTGATCTCACTAGACTTTCACCATCTGACACTGTTTTAGCCCAATGTATGAGAGTCTTGAAAAGAGAGGATTTCTGAGCTGGATGATGATGCGAATCTGCATTCAGATAGGCATCAGTGTGCATTTGCTTTGTGTAAAAACTGTGTGTTATTTTACCGTTTAGGCCATGTCCAAGCAAAATATCTAGGAACGGGAGTGTGTTATTCAACTCCATTTCCATGGTGACCTGGATGGCCGGGTTTTGTGCATTGAGATGATTTAGAAAAATCAATAAGTGTATCTTTACCATGTGCCCAGACAACCAAAGTGTCATCCACATATCTAAACCAAAAAGATGGTTTTAATGTGCTCGAATTTGATAACGTTGAAGTGTTGTGTAAAATACTAATTATCACTGGCAAAGACTAATCAGAGAATCCATTGAAATTGAGAGGAATAGAAATAACTTTAATCGCTCTGACAGCTACAGGCTTAGTGCGGCTTGGAAGCGTATTATTAAATAATACATATTACAATTCCTTATAGGGAAAACACATACTAATTAACGGATTACTAACGTAGCATATAAACACAATAACACATATTACAACTAATTACTAATCTACAACGCATTACTAATCATAACCATTGACGGATTACCAATCGATTATATAATTACAATACCCCCCCTCCACCTCAAATCACTGCACCTGAAATGAGTTAAATGATGACGTCACCCTGCTGCTCTATTTAAGACCGGGAGCAAGTGAGGGCTTTACCATTCTGGCGAATTGCCCGATGAGGCTGGACGTAATCACCAGCGGAACCCGTTCTTCCTGAGGTGCCACTGCGGCATACGTCGGCGTCCCGTGGACTCTCCAGCCACCCCGGGGTTTGCGAGGGCCCCAGACCAGGCGGTCTGGGGTGGCCTTGCTGCCGGAGGGTGGGGGAGCCACACACGCTGCGGGAGGGGGGATCCCACTGCAACGAGCGCATGGAGACGGCGGGGAAGGAGACGGAGACGCGGTGTGCACCACGGACTATGGAGGGTGCCCGGGGAGCTGAGAGCGACTGGAGGGACGGCGCGGGCCCGTCTGGAGCGGGGGAGGCGATGGGTTAGGTGCAACGTGGGAAGGGTGTGGAGAGGGTGGATGAGCTGGAGGGAACGGGGAGGGAGGAGCGAAGAGAACGAGGAGAAGCACCAGGAGGATGGGGAGGGAGTGCCCCCGAGCAGAGTAGGGAGGAAGGAGCAGGAGGGGTGCCAGCAACCCAGGGGCCGTGGGAGAGGCAGTGGAGGGAGAGGACTGCAAACGCTGGCCCGGTGGGAGGGGGGAGATCCAGCGGAGGAGCGGGGAGGTGGCGCAGTGGAGCCGGGGCGAGCCTGATGCCAACGCATGCCAGGAGGCACAACTGCGTAAGGGTAGAATTCAAGGACAACGTGGAAGAGGAGGTGACTCTTGATAGAAGAACTTTCGTGAGGACGGTGATGCTCGGGATGCTGTGGGTGGAGGTGGCGGATCTCTACTGCCTGATTGCTCTGCTGGGGGGGAGAGCGTTTGACGTGAGTTTTAATTCAAATCTTCTTCTGCAGAATTTCCTCACCCGTTTTGAGGAGAGGGCAGGGGAGAAGCCCCTGACTTCCATGAGGACGCGGCTGCTGTCAGGCCTGGAAACGAAGGTTGTAACCGTCTTCCTGTACAACGAAGCGCTACACGCCCAGGATGTGGAGGTGTGGCTGAGGCAGCACTGCGTGTTGTTGTCTGGCTGCAAGAGGGTGCAGGACGTGGCGGGGATATGGATGGGGGCCAGGCAGTGGAGGGTGCGCCTGAAGACGGAGGGGGGGCGGCTCTGAGGCACATCCCAAGCGCTTTGAACATTGGGGGGAACAAGGGCTACGTCGTATACGCGGGCCAACCCAAATTGTGTAGGAGGTGTGGGGGAAGGGGGCACTTGGCGGCAGCGTGCGAGGCACGGATTAGTTGTAGGTGCAAGGCGCCGGACCACAAGGTGGAGGAATGCGGGGAGCCGGCCCGTTGCAACCTCTGCGGTAGCAGAGGGCACCTGTATAGATCCTGCCCAGATTCTTATGCCAACAGGGTGCGGGCATACCGGAATGGACAAGCAGGGGAGGTGGCGGAGGAGGCGGCCGGATGGGAATCGGGCCGGGAGCTTGGTGGGGAAGAGGAAGGAGAGGCGGAGGAACCACGACCTCCCGGGGAGGGTGAGGGGGGGGGACCTGTGGGGAGGGAAGCAATACCACCACTGGAGGGGGAGGGGGGGAGGAGGGGAGGGGAGACGGGGAAGAAGACCCGGGAACTCCAGTGGGGGACTGGGCGAAGGTAATGGGCGAGGAGGAGGGCGAGGAGGAGCAGTGGGTGGAGGAAGGAGCGGACGGAGCATGGGAGGAAACGGTTGGGCGGAAGAGGAAACTGAACAGAGCCCTGAAATGGGCTGGCCCCCAGCACGACACGGGCCCTTCAGGCGCCTCGCCGGACACGGAGGAGTGGCATCTGTAAACGTGAGAGGGATGAAGGGGAAGGGAAGGAGAGGGGCAATCATGCACTTGTTGGAGACCACCAGAAGAGATGTGATCTTCCTCCAAGAATGCCACCTACCATATACCCTGGGTTCGGAGGCCCTGCTGAAAGATTGGAACGGCCACTACGTTTGGTCGGGTAGCAATGGGAACCGATGTACCGGCGTGGTTACCCTCCTAGGCAGGAGGGAAATGAGGGTGGAAGGGACCCAGGAAGTGATACCAGGCCGGCTCCTCTGTGTGGATGTATCCTACCAAGGCGTGGAGTTTCGACTGGTAAACGTGTACGCCCCGGTGCGGTGCATGGAAAGGACAGAGGTGTGGGAGAGCTTGGCGGCCCTATTGACCACCAGGAGACAAGTCATCGTGAGGGGTGATTTCAACTGCCCAATATACTTGGCGGACCTGGTGTCGGTAAAGGGGAGGAGGAAATTAGACTCTTCCTCCAGAAAACTGAAAGAGTTGATGGAGGACCTTGGTATGGTAGATGCATTCAGGAAGGTGCATGGTGCACGGCCCGGGTATACGTGGTCAGATAAGAGCGGGGGAACGCAGTCACGGATTGACTTTATTTTCGTCTCTGCCAAAGTGGAAGTGGGAAGTGCGGGGGTGGAGCCATTTCCCCTCTCTGACCACAAAATGGTAGTGGCGGGGCTCGCGATCCCAGGTGGGGCGAGGAGGGGGAAGGGAGTATGGAAAATGAATGTGGGCCTGTTGGAGGACCAGAAAGTGGTGGGGGACTTCGTACAAAAATACAAAAGCTGGAGGACATTGCAAGATTGTTTCCCCACGAGGGTGGAATGGTGGGGCCAGATAAAGGACAGGATGAAAACGTTCTTCCAGCATCATAGTAGGAGGAAGGGAGTGGGTAGGGAATTGAGGCAGTGGAATGCTAGGCTAGAGAAAATGTACAGGCTGCTAGAGCTAGGGTTCCCGATGGGGGAAAGGATAGGGGAGTTGAAATGGAGAGTAGCTTCAGTTTTGTAAAGAAGGGCTAGGCAATTAGTGTACAGGGCGAGGGTTAGGGCAACAGAGGAAGGGGAAAGGTGCACAAGGTTTTTCTTTAAAGCAGGTAGGGAGGGAGATAATGCAATGAGGGAATTGGTAAGTCCTACCAGGGGTAGACAGACGACGATGGTAGGGATGATGAGTGTAGTGGAGGATTTCTATAGGGAGTTGTATGAGAGAAAAGGGATAGATGGGGGGAAGCGGGAGGAACTGCTGGGGGCATTGGGGAAGAGGGTTGGGAACCCGGAGACGCTAGAGGGAAAGATTCGGACTTGGGAAGCTGGCGGCCGATAACTCTCCTAAACGCGGATTATAAGATCCTGGCAAGGATAGTCGCGGTACGATTAGGGAAGGTGGTGGGGGAGGTGGTAGGGCCGGACCAGACGTGCGCAGTCCTGGGGAGGAGGATCGCAGATTCCTTGGTGGTACTGAGGGAGGCAATAGAAGGGGAAAGGGAAAGGGGGTGCCCGCTAGGGATACTGAGCTTGGATCTGGACAAGGCTTTCGACCGACTTTCACATGAATATATGCTGGCGGTGATGGCGAGGATGGGAATGAGTGGGCCCCTGGTGGAGTGGGTGGCACGACTATATGGTGGGCTTAGAGCTAGAATCTTGATAAACGGGGAACGTTCGGGGGTCACCCAAGTAGGGTCTGGGGTACGGCAGGGATGCCCGATGTCCCCGGTCCTATTCATCATGAGTATGGAGCCCCGAGCGCAGGTAATAAGAGACGACCAAAGGATTAGGGGGGTGACAATACCGGGGAACAAAGAGCAAGGGAAGGTAACCTTGTATATGGATGATGTGGCCGTGATGTGCAGGGACGTTGCGTCGGTATGGAGAGCACTGGAGGGGACAGGAAGGTTCTGTGCGGCCTCCGGCCTGAAGGTCAACGCGATAAAGAGCGAGTTAATGGCTTTTGGGGACTCGAGGCTGTTCGAGGGTCGGCCGCCGGAACTGAGCTTACAGACAGAATAGATAACGGTACTAGGGGTGACCTTTTGAAGGGATAGGTCGGGGGAACATAACTGGGAGAAGAGGGTAAGGAAGACAAAGGGTCATCTGGGTAAGTGGGTAGGGAGGCGACTCACGATGGCCGGCAGGATTATGGTGGTAAATATGGAGATAATGCCAACCTTAAGCTACCTGGCGCAGGTTTTCCCGCCTGGTAAGAGGGAGGTCAAGGTTTTGACCTTGGCGCTTTTCGGGTTTATTTGGGGGGGGAGAGATGGAAGTGGCCGCTGCCCAGGGTGGGTTAGGGCGGCCGGGGGGTGGGGGGGGGACCTTTTCTGGCACCTGGGGGGGAGGGTGTGTGAGGTGGGAGGGGGGGGGCAGCCCCTGCATGCACAGATGTGGCAAGTGCTGTGTCGGGAGCCATTCCGGTCCTGCAGACGTGTCGGTGGCCGAGCGGGGCCTTCGCAGTGTAAGAGAGGGGGCGGCCCCTCCTTATTTGCTTTGTTTTGTATCTCCGCCGTAACACTGAATACATTTTTAAAAACTGTAATTACCAGCGAAACGTCGTACTCAAACTGTAAATGTTGTGGATTCACTCTTCAACACACCGGTGGGCTAAAGTAGTGAACTATTTGTCTTTTGTCAACGTGACACTTTTTTTGCTGATTGGCCGTGTCGGGTGGTGGAGGGTTATGACACATTTATAAATAACGCGATCTAACCCCAAAACCTTTACGAATCGCCCTATTTATTTAATTATTTGTTGTTTGAACAATCAGTGGTGACCTCAGTTGAGATCAACTTGTGTTGAGCCAAAGCCTGGGTTTTATCTATTCCGTGCCGACTCGGCCTCCCCTGGCTGCCGAGCCACCCGGTCTCTGCTACGTTATCGTTTAGAACCGGGCCGCAGGCTTCTCTGCCGAGTGGATTGAGAAACCTCCCACTGGAGGGGTGATGGGCGGGAGGGCGGGCAGGGGGTGGGGGGCATGCTCTTAAAATCCCAAACCCTATAAACAAGGCTCTATATTAATATATAAATACAATTTTTATTTTTTGCTTCTCAAGGGGGATGGGGGGAGGTGGGGAGCCCCTGCTTTAGAAGCGATGGGGGTAGATTTTGTGCATTGTGTTCGCTCGCTCACTCACTAGCTCGCACAGAGTGCGAGTGAGTGGCTGCTATTTGCGCCGCCGGATCCTGCTCCGGGAATTGCCGCTCGCGGCTCTGGGCTCCCGGCTTCGGGGAGTGGAGCCAGTGCGGTTCCACGCTCGGCCTCCCTGCCTGGAGCCCGGCGATCTGCGCGCACGCGACGCGTGTAACTCCCGCTTGGCACTGACTCACAACGCGTGTGTTATTCTCTGTCCGTCTGTTCTCCCCACCACGTCAGGGCCCAGCAGGAACGAAGGGAGAAAAGGGAGAGAGGGTGAGTGTGTGCTCAACGTGAGCGCCGCTGGTGTTCCGGGGATCGGGGGTCAGAGAATTGGGGTTTGGGATGTTCACTTCTCGGCTTCAGGATTACGCAGTCCAAGGTTTAATGTCTTCCACATAACTTCCACATGCATGGTCGACGAGAGCAGCCACGTGACTGGTAGCCACAGCCAAGGCGAGGGGTTTATTTTGTTGTGGTGTGCCGGGTGCTGATATATTTTTCGGGCCCAGCTGAAACTAAAATCTCCCCACATGCCCTCACCTGCTGCAGTCACAGCAGGTGAGGGAACGTGGTAGGGCAGACTGAGCGCATGGACCGAACTTAGTGCATGATGGGCACCCCACCCACACCACCACGTGCCGTAAGGTCACAAACTCGTGAGTGTGGCGCTCCATTCCGTTCCCTCCATCACCCCGTCTCCCACAGCCTCGAGCCATCGCTTCAATTCCCGACGGCTCAAATCGAGTGCTACAGCTGAGCACGCGATTTCTCCTCGTGGCCCTCACTCGCTCCCCCCGCGTGAGCCGGCAGAATGGCGCTCCGGTCATCATCGCGTTGCGCGGTAATCTGGCCCGATACGAGCGCACGTTACCAATTGCCCTTTGGCCGGAGCACTCGTGGGAACAGCAATCTCGCCGTCAGGACTCGTAAATATGTAATCATGACCGCTGGCAGGGCCTCTGCAGATGTAACGCACTCGACCGTACGGCCAGGTGGTGTCCACCCTGCAGAGGAGCCGTGGTGGGCACTGGCGGGATGAACGCTAGTGATGGTTAATTGCGCTGCAGCCAATCGGTAGCTGATCTCCATCGCGAACCTTAGCCTGAACCGTAACCCTCATCCAATCCCTAAATAGAACCCGAACCCAACTTTAACCTTTAAATCTTTAATTCCAACCGTATCCACATTCCAAACTCTAGCCCCGACCCTAACCCCAACCCAACCCTGATACCTGCCTCTAACCCTAACTTAAAACCTGTCCTCAACCCTATATCTAACCATATCTGTAACCCAAACCCGAACCTAACCTCAAACCTAATATAAACTTTATACCAAACCCTTACCCTGTATCCCTAACCCTTGTTCCCACACAAGGTTATGTGGTGCCCATTCACTCCTCATTTTCCTGCACGGCGCTATGCCGGAGACTCATTTTGCTTCACCCCCCCCCCCCCCCCCCCCCCCCATATATTCCATTGACTCCCCCACCCCATGCCCCACAGGGCGATGCTCAGGGACAGAATGTGGTGCGGATGCTCGCGCGGCAGGTCTGCGAGCAGATGATCAACAGTGAGTTCCTGCTGCTGCACATTAGCAGAGTCGCGCCAGAAAATAACAACACCAGTGGCATTCGTAGAGCTAGGACCGACTCCCCACATATCATGCAGGACATCATTGTGGGTTTCAGTGTGAGCCTATGGGTCTCTGTGTCAGCCTGTGGGTCTCTGTGTGAGCCTGTGGGTCTCTGTTTCAGCCTGTGGGTCTCTGTGTGAGCCTGTGGGACTCTCTGTGAGTCTGTGGGTTTCTATCTAAGCCATTGGTGACTAGGCTGAAAACATCAACGCGCCACCGCTGAAACCCAGATTCGAACTCCGGCTCTCAGGGGTGCCGGCTCAGCGCTCCACTTTCCGAGCCACTTGACCACCTGGAAAGTTACTCAACACTGGGGTAGTGGCAGTGACCAGGCGCTTTTGAAAAATAAGTTATTACCTCAGTGAGCTTTGTCTGGTAGGATGGGGATGGTTTAGTGTTGTATTTGTTTGTGTTTGGGTGATTGTTGACATTTCTTGTACTTTGCACTCCTATCATGTTTTTGTATTGTTAGTTGTAACGTTCTTACCCGCCCCAACTGGACATCTGTGATTATAGTATAATTAAATATTCTGATTCCGATTAAACGACCGCCATCAGCGCTGCGGGGCTGCAGCTGCTGTCGCTCTTTGGCTCAAATCCATGCCCGGGAGACGTCTGTGGAAAGAATGACTTCATATTTTAGCACGAGTCATTCTTTGTTGTTGTTGTTGTGTAATTTCCAGCGTGTCTGTGAAATTTGCTGTAAACGCACGCAATAATTTGGGGAGCGCGCAATGCGGAGAGTTTGCGTGCTGACGTGTTCACGTCCCCGAGGCTCCGTGCCGGACCCGGCTCGTAAATTAAATGCCGTGATACACGTCGGCACGTTTTACTTTTTTTTTTGTTAAATAACATTGCCGGTGTGCCACCTGCAGTTGGAATTGTGGAGCCATCGCACGTGGTGTAATTTCTAAAACATCGCTACCTGCGTTTCCATAAAACCCCGCGAGACAGTGGCTTCTGAAAGATGCAGCGATTAAACAGAACGTGCCACATATAAACCACGTGTAAATCTCTCGGTTAATGTGCGGTTGCCATTGCTTTATAGACTTGGCACGAGAAAGAGGCCCCTGCACGAGTGGTTTCTGATACAAAGGGTATTAAGAAACGCGTTTTGCAAAGGCGCAAGCTCTCAGGATCGTTTTGGAGAGGCTTGTCATGATGCTCTCCCGGTGAGCAATTGTGAATCCGAGCTGCGTCACTGCTCACACTCGCTCAACCTACAGCGGCTGCAGGTGATTCCAGAGAAATGTTCCACAAGGTTTGGCAGTAAATAACGCACGCTTGTCGAGTCTAGCGGCCCAGAGCATGGACTCTGTCAGAATGGTGAACATTCCGAAATGAACCAAACTTTGCATAAAATTTGGGTTACAATTAAATTGGCTTCCGTTCAATCATCTCTGCAGAAACCTATCTCTTAATCCTCTCTGCCTCTTAACCTCCAGTATCGCTGATCTGATTGCCTGAACGATACTATATGTTAACGTGGCCATTTGGAGCTAAGAGCGAGTTATACATACATTACCCAGAATCCTCCAATTATTACAGGCATCATGATAAGTGTCACAAGCATTAGATCTATTTTAATCGATAAATCGACGTGTCGTTACAGTGATGAAACGAGTAACTTCTCAAGGTGGGGGTGGTCGCAAAATGTCAAATTTTACAAACAGCCTGCCCCAAAGTTAATAAAAACGTGACATGTTCCAAGAAAATTATTTTTACTGATGTAATTTCTTGTTTTTTTGTCATCGAAAATTTTCGGTTGTTACAAACTAGTCTTGGCACAAAGAAACGTCAATAAAACACCAATATTCGGGGTCTCAAGGAGGGGCCATCATTGCTCCCCCCCCCCCCCCCCCCCCCATTGTATAGCCCGGCAGTGGCACAGGCACGGTGCCTGTGACGTTGCGTGTCCTCTGTTCTCACCACTGTGTCCGTATTCCAACTTCAGGCCACATCAGCCGATTCAACAGCATCATAAACCAGATCCCCAGCAACAACCACCACCATGTACGGGCCCTGCCGGGGCCCAAAGGGGAGGCGGGACGCCCAGGGCCCCCCGGGCCGCCTGGGGAGCCGGGGCCCCTGGGTCGCCCGGGTTTCCCAGGGTCCCCTGGTATGCCTGGTCGCGGCGGGGAGAGAGGTGAGGCGGCTCCACTCTCGAGATTGTCTGACTCCACGTGCTCCATGGAGCACCCTCCCTCCCCATCCCTCCCTCTCTCTCATCCCTCCCTCCTCGTCCACCTCTTCCTCCTCCCCCTATGCCCTCTCATTCCTCCACCTCTTCATTTTTATCCAAACAGTCCACTCCCTTCTCTTCTCTGCCTCTTGCTCATGTCCCGCTGATTGCGGCCCTCTGAGCAGCGGTACTCTCCCTGCCGCACGGCACATCCCACGTGTGGGCCTGCCGGGCATCTAAGATATGGCTCTGCTAAATTATAGAATGCGTTGACAAAAGTTTGCGCTTCAAAGTGCACGATATATGATGGCAGCTGTCACTCCTTAGTTTTGTTTTGCTGGGGTTGTTGGTTATTTATTCATTGAATGTCTCGTGCCATGCATCACGCCGCTTGGCAGCGCCGATCCAAATGGTGAGCGGTGGTGGGCGGGAGCGATTAACTCATCCTGGGGTGGAGCGGTGGTGCAGTGGTTAGCGTGCTGTGCGACGAACCCAGCGATTCGAGTTTGATTTCCGCTCATAGCTAACATCAGTGACAATTACCTGAATCGGTCCTGGGCCTCCTCTAGGTCGACTCAGCCTCTAATGAGTACCTGGTGTGGTGTGTAAACATGACCACTGGGGAGACAAAGGTGGCCGGGCGTGCTGTTGACCACCCACCCTCTTGTGTGCTGTGCGGGCCTTCATAGGTGCTCGCTAACAGCACTCGTCCCAAAAGTCCGTTAAGGCTATACAGGGGATCTTTGTCTTTGGGGGACGTGGGGTGACCGTGGCGTGGACTGTGTGCGTCCCTCAGGCCTGACTGGAGAGAAGGGCGAGCGGGGATCCACGGGCATTGGAAGTTCAGGACTGCCCGGCCCTCAAGGTTCTCCAGGTAAATGCCCCCCACCCTCCTCCCCTATCTATAGTCGCACCCTGCTTCTCTGTTTGCGCGCACCGCACAGACGCGCAGCCTGCGTGTCTCTCTCCTGGTCTCACTGCACCTCCCATTCCTCCCCGTGCGTCTGCGCATGTTTGTGCGTGTCTGTGCCTGTCCCAGTCACCGCATCAGTTTCTCTGCCTCTACCTTTCGTGTCAACGCGGCTTTTCTTTTGTTCCTTTGCTCACCTCCCGCACTTCCTCTCTCACCTCCGTGACTGTGTCTGCACTGGCGTCGTCTCCGATCCGTTGCCCTGCCCCTACCCATCTCTCCCAACACCTCCTGCGTCTCTGTTGCTCGCTCCTCTCTCCGGCTCTCCACCCCCCTCCCTGCCGTCTCTTCCCCGAGCCCCCCTTTCTCCGCGCCCCACGGCTCCTGCCCCGACAGTCTCCCCCACCCAGCCCGCAGAGGCCTGTCTCGGCTGGCCGGCCGAGCGTGAGTATTTTCCAGTGACGCTCGCTGCCCCTGACCCCCATTCCGATTGTGCTTCTCCGCTGCGCCCTCCACTCTAGCACCGGAGCACGCACTTGGACTCGTGCCCAGAGGGAGAAAATATAGAACACATGCCTTCCTCCACGGCGGGCTTCTTGAGTTCCTTCAGAGCTGCCAACTATTTTCCACACAGTAGAGAAGAAAAACACGCAACCCTTGCCGCTTGATTTTTTTTCCATTTTTTCATTTTCCATATTCGTACATTTTTATGCTAATGGGTATTCTGTGCAGCCACTGATTCGAATGCAAATGCTTCTCTGCCATTTTGCTGATGAATTGGAAGCGAATGGTCGTGTTTTAAAACGAATATTTATAATTTGTCGTGTCCAGTGAGTCACGGGAAATGAAAGTGTGGTCTGTCCGCACAGCTAAAAACAAAGGTCCTCTTACAGCCGTGCAGACATTGGGCAAGTGCTTTTAGAGAGCACCTATTAAGGCCGGAACAGTGCATGAGAGGGCAGTGTCACCAGCACCACGCCAGCCAGCTCTGGGTTGCCGGAGCCAGGTGATTGCTGTAACGCAAGACTGGGAGGAAATGCGATTGTCATCATCCAGCAGTGGATAGGTCCTGGCTGTGGAGAGATATTGCCCATAGCGTAAAGCAATCGTGCAGTGTCAAAAACACTCCTTGGTCGATTTGAATGCGAGGTGGAAAGGAGACAGAAGTGGATTCTTAAGTCTATCTGTGCGGAGGTTTGAGTGTTTTCCCCTCGTGTGTGTGGTGGGTTTTTCCGGTTACTCCAGTTTTCTCCAACAAGCAATTGGCCAGACATCCCAATGTAGTGGGACCCTCCTCCTGAAGAATAGTCTCGAGACTTGGCGAGACTCTCTCGGATAAAGAGAGACGCACGACGTTATTTTTGACACCTATTGTTTGTTTCATGAGTCATACTCTGCTGATGAGACTCAGAGAAAGTGAAACTGGTCCATATTGCTTAAACAAATGCTCCTGGGAAATGTGAGCACAGCGCTCGTGGCTCTGGAGACTGTGAAACGTTACTTTACGTGAGCAACAAAACAGACCCGGCCCTGTGAGTTACTCCCCCAGATGTCGATTGCTACTGCTGTGGTATTAATGTAGTGACAGACAAGCAGCTTTTACACAATAAAGCATTTCAACCTGGTCGTAAAGACAACATTCTTGAGCGAGTGCCTCATTGTGCGGGTACTGGCAGCAAAGGGTCATTGGGTTTGCGGTCCCACATGGGGCTCACACGACAAAGAGATCCCCCTCGTGCATGATACCGTCCGCTGAACCACACCTCTCGGTTAAATTATAAAAACATATTTACAACTCGTTTCCAATCCACTGCTGGATGAAGGTCTTCCTATGCCATGCCGGTCGTGGAGGTTGTTTGACCATACTTCACCTCGTTGGCCAGTGCGGATTACCAAAGGGATGGCGAGGGATGGGTGGAGCCCATGACCAGTTCAGATGTCACTCGCCACTCACGTTAGCCACGGCAGTGAATCAGACTTCGTGTTGCCTGGTATATAACGCAGTTCACTAATCGCTGCACCACCGCTCCACCCTCGCACATGCGGTTGTGTGGAAGGCAGCCGAGTGGGGAGTTTGGGAGAGGAGCAAACAGAGCGCTTGCCAAGGCCCCGCTTGTGTCGACACCTCTCCCACATTTGACCTGGAGAGTCCGCCAAACCGGCATCTGTCTTCCGGTGCCCGGAATCTATTTTCACCGAGATCTGGCACCGGCGTGGTGCTGTGCTCTGTTGCAGGACGCTGCACAGGTTTGGTGAGAGACCAGTTCTAGAAACGCAGACAAGTTAGGGGTTGCCATTTAGCAACGCAAAATTTGTCCGAAATGATCATTATCGCGACCGATCTCCTCTGTCTACAGGCTCCCCCGGAGAGGGTCGGCAGGGTTCTCCGGGCCCTGAGGGAATGCGAGGGCCCCCGGGGCCTCCAGGCTCCTTCGGTTCGCCTGGGTTACGGGGCTCGCCGGGCCCCAATGGTTACTGCGACGCGTCTATGTGCGGCGGCTACAACATCGGAGGTAACTACTGACGCGGGCACGCGTCACCGCCTCCGGCAGTACCGGCGCTACCGTTCTCGGCCCGCCGTTTAAACACAGACCCTCTCCTCGTCCTCCTCCGTTTGATTCCGAGGTTTAGTTTGTGCGGCCAGTCATTTGATACTCTCACATTTTACATTGTTTAATGTTTTTATTTACTCGCCCGTCACGATATCGAATACTCGTCTCCTCTCCCATTCGACCGTTGCCCCTCTTCTTCGCCCCCTCTTCTTCGCTCGTTGGCTTTCCCGTTTGACTGATGCCCCTGGCAGTCGCTCGCTGACCCTTCCATCTGTCCATTGCACCTCTTCATAATAGTTGCCCCTCTTCATAATACTTGCTCCTCTTCATAATAGTTGCCCACCCCGTTCGTCCGTTGCATCTTTTTGAGAAAAAACATCCTCTCGTGATATATTAATACAGCTGCACACGCAGCCTCTCGTCCCGCATTGCGGAGGCAGCAGCCAGGGTTGGTGGGTGTCCAGGAGGTGCCATACCCCGGTTCACTTCCTGGCTGTACAGCTAAGTGTACACTGAAGTCTATCTATTCCATCTGTAAAGGATAGAGTGTTGCCTCCTCGCACACGTGGGTTTTCTCCAGGTGCTCCGGATTCTTCCCACGTGTAAACACTCATTAAATGGCTGATAACACCATCAATATATAGACGGCCGCAGAGCTTGGTGGGAATTTGGTGCTGGATTACTCCCTGGCTGCCTCCCCACTCGTCTGCGGCTCCTCTTCACGCCTCTGAGTCGTCATCCATCTTCTCTGAGAGCAGGCAACTACTGTGCACATTATAAGTTGACATTTTTTAATACGATTGATATTTTGGTCAAGCCATCTAATGGTCTGGCCATATTTATGTCGTTAAGACACTCCACCACATGACACAGCCAAATAAATAAATGTGTCACTTGCTGAATTTTTATTCTGACTGCCTGGACCTGGATTCTGTTTCAAAGGAAACGTTATTTATCTTAACGCCATATTTGGCTGTGAAAATTTATCTTCAACTCATCGGAGAGTGAGCTGAAACAATCATAATTGGCACGTTAAATGCGTATGTGCGTGAAAATGACTTGTGTGGTCATGTTGGGTGGTAGAGGGGTCTTAACGACACAGATTTGACCAAATAATTTCGTAGCCTGACATAAATCAATTACGGATCTTACTGTTGGCTGTGAAAACCCACTACGTGTTCTATTATTCCTGACACACTCTTGTAAACAATGGACTCAGGATAATGTTTTTATCGCCAAAGGCGTTTTTATGCGACCAACATTAACGATGGTTAAATGACGCCACCGATGCCATACTCAGAATGAGCCACAGTCAGTGAGCCACACACGGAATGAGCCACAGTCAGAACCTGGTTCACTTGTATCGGTGAAGGACGGTTATTGACGTTCCACTGGTCAGTGACGCCCTGCGTGACCTTGAGGATTCTGCAGCAACATGATCCCTTCAACCGATCTCGGTCTTTATTCGCATTCTGGTGTCAGTCACCCAGAGCGATACGAACTTGTGATCCCATGTCTGATCCCGAGCAGAGCATTGCTGAGAGGAGGGGGAACCGCGTCTCTGCAAACCCCAGTGACACCGCGACGGTGTTGTTAGTGTCGCGTTGGACCAGCGCGGTGATGCATGCTCGTTTCCAGCTTGCGCACAGAGTGGGGGGGCACTCAAATGTTGGTCCCCCCTTTCCCCCTAAGGCTTAACGAGGCAACCCATAATCCGCATGCTGCACTCTCTTCCTCTCGCACGCCTGCTGCCTCTGGGCGTCGGCACGGTAGCCTTGGGTGTGCCACGAGTTCTCACCGGTTAGCCGAGGGACACATCGATGGCTGTGCACGGCAGATTTCTTCCATTCCCACCTCATCGTTATCATCGTTATCTGCAGCTATTATCTATCCACTGTTGGACGAAGGCCTCTCAGAGCCATCGCTGATTCTGTCATTCCACCCTACCTTCGGTTAAAACCCCCCATGCGCCTGCAGCTTGAGAGGAGAATGGTGACGGTATGGGCACCTGTGTGCACAGGTGACCATATGTAGCGAAGATAGCCGCGAGCTTCGTGTGGCTTCAGCGCTGTCGTCGCTGTTCTCACTCTGAGGAGCTTCCGCGTGCGCAGTCTTTCTGTGTGCGGCATTTGGCATGACAGTAATAATGATAGAATGATCATACTCACATTGATATAACTACTCTAAGGCACCTTGCAATAAGCGTACACATCGTACACCATAATAATCGTCACACTGCTCTAAAATATTTATCATAGAAATTCAAACATATGCCATCTCAGAAATGCTGCCAATTTGTTAGAAAAAAAAAAACATTGTTAGAGGCCTGACATAAAACAAAGACGGGCACAGGCAAAGTTGGAAAGGAAGACATTTTCACAATTCCAGAGATTATTTGATACAAGCATTAGTCAGACAAGGTTGTTGGGACACCAAGAGATGGGAGCCGGCTGATGGTAAAGCCAGAGAGGAGCCGTGCTGGGTAATGCGTTCCATGCGGTAGGCTGGTGGAGATGGTCTTCAATGTTGGTGTCAGGGATTTGATATCGACAAGTTTCTTCACGAGGGGAACGCCTCGGTCACGCTGCAACTCCAGCGATCGAGCCTACGACAGAGGGGGTAGACGATGACTGGGCTGGCTGTGACACTGCAAGACTGCGACACGGCTATCTGGATCAAACACTTGCCAATATTGCAACATCAACATAAACAAATAACGAAAATTCCCCAAACCCATCGATAAATCAAAGTCTTCGTTCACCTACGATCTGGAATTTGATTTTCTATTCCGAAAGCTATGATTGTAGATATTTGAAAGCAAACTTAATATATTGAATAATTTAAATTTGACTGCACTGCACCTGGCGGTCGTGCACAACCACAGGCAACAGACTTGCCATCCGTCACCGTTTTCACTGCAGTGCTGCAATTGGAGCACATGTGGTCGGTCGCCTATTGGCAATGCCCAACTTTACGATGAAATCTTAGCCATCCAGTGGCAGTTCCATAGATTTGGACGTACATTTCAGACACTCTGAAGTTATTCCTATGTGGTGAAGGATGTAAAGCAATGAGGAATTATTTAATGCAGATTTGAATCATTTGTCTGCCTTCCTTAGCGAGGGAGAAGCGCTCGTAAAATACTGCGGTGGTGTCGGGCGTACCCGGAATGAACTCGAGACGAACTCAGAACAAACTCGGGACGTACTCAGCTTTCCCATCCATGTGGGGAGGGTGGCGATGGTGCTTTCCATTTCATTCGTTAGACCTTTAACTTATTCCTTCTAAAGTACAGACGATTACCTGCAAAACGACATCTCATGTGTGGTGTTAGGATCAGGACTCGGGTTCACCCGGGTCTGTCTGGGTCAATTACCATGAAAATGTTCACGCAGCTCTCGCTATGGCCGTGACCTCTGATCACGTGCCTGCCTACTGCAGTGTAGCAGCGACCCAGAATGGACCGATTGAGAAATGGAGCCCTGGGTTAGGACGACGATGTTAAAATCGGGACGGTGACGTTGGCCAATCTGCGGCACATGCGAATCGCTGCCCGGCCAAGTTTACCGCGTAGCGGTCATGTCACGTAAACGCCTGCTCGCATTGTCAATGGTCCCGGTTTTACTCGGGCGTGAACCCAGGTGAGCTCGAATCTCGCGATTCCTGGGTGGCTTTGCATGCGCTATCGCGGCACAGCGACGCACTAACCTGGCGCCGCACACGCCCCTAACGCCCCGTGTATCCCGAGCTGTCCGATGAGCGACTACAATTAATACCGACACACCAATAACAATTACACTTCTGTGGAGAGCCGTGTGTTGAAGGTGCATTGTGCAGGCCTACCTCCTTGTGCCTCGTGTGTGTTAAATGCATTAAACCTGCCTGTGAAATTAAACGATGGATCTCACTGACAGCGTGAATCCTTGTCTCGCCATCACCGCCGCGCTCCTCTTTCGCATGCGACCGTTCGCGGCGCCTCGAGGCGTTTAAATCCACGGAACGTCTTGGCAAGGTAACCTGAGGTTTCCTCCACGTGTGTGCGTGTGCGCTATTAACTCCGTTATCTGTAGGCGGACTCTCCGCTTTCCGGATTATCCATGCTCTGTCGCGCCTTTTATTCGCTCTACGTTTGGCTGCTCCTCACTTGTCGAGGGTTGCCGACTTGGCACCCACATGACCGCGGATGCGTCGCCTTTTACATCTGCACCCCGATTGTACCGACAATAATTATAATTGATAGTCTCATTCACTCAATACTCACAATTGAGTTTTGGATTTTGCCATGTAATAATCTTGCAAAATGTGTTTCATAAGACCCTCCACCACCTAACACAGCCAAACAATCAAAGTGTCGCGTGTACAAGCGTTGAATTACGTGCCAATTCTCATTGTTTCAGCTCACTCACCAGTGAGTTGAGAGCAATTCTCATCGCTCAAATTTTGGCTGTGTGAATTTATTTTCAACTAACTGGTCAGCTGAAACAACATATTGATTGGCACTTTGAATGCTTGCACACCACGTGACAAATTCGATTTACTTGGCTCTGTTGGGTGGAGGAGGGCTTTACAGCATATATTTGGCCTCACCCTAAATTAACCTATCATCATATTGGCTGCGAAAACCTCCTCTGAGTTGAGCTAAGTATACTCTTGACACGACTTATTTCTTTCTGGCCATACCCCCCACCAGTCCCCCCACCCTCCCCCACCCTCCCCCACCCAATATCCTGGTGAATTGGGAGTCTGCTCTGTGCGTTTGTGGGTCCGTTTGTGACGTCAAGTTCTTCTTTCAGCGAACTTGTACACAAACTAAGGTTACAGAAAAATAACAAAATATTAATCGTATAGTAATAGGTTTACCCTTTTAACTGGCACAAAAACTGACACCTTTATTCAAGGCATCATGTTTGCAATAACCACAGCACAAGCAGTCAAATTGCAAATAAAAGAGACAACTCTGATAATGATATACACTGTCCTTGAATTTGATTGGTCAGTGCATATTATTATCAGAGTTGTCTCTTGTTTGCATTTTGACTGCTTGTGCTGTGGTTATTGCAAACATGATGCCTTGAATAAAGGTGTCAGTTTTTATACTCTTTGGTTCTATTCGGTAAAGTCACGTAGGTAAAAAATAAAACAGCAAAAATCACGACGTTTCGGCCACAACACAAGTAGCCTTCTTCAGGTGAAGGATCAGAACTGTCGGGACGACAGAGCTTCAATGAAGCTGTGTGTTGTGGCCGAAACGTCGTGATTTTTGTTGTTTTATTTTTTACCTACGTGACTTTACCGAATAGAAACAAAGAGTATGGATCCTTGCAGTCACGAAAGCTTCAAATCTAGAAGTGTCAGTTTTTGTGCCAGTTAAAAGGGTAAAACCTATTACTATATCTTGTTACTGGCAAAAGGAGGTCTCATAATGTGAAAGATTAATCTTTACGGTCACCGAGAGGAAAGGACCAATCATCCACGCTCCGGATGGCTGCTATTTTTAAGGATACTTAATAAACCTCAGTTTGCTTGTCTTGAAGCAACGTTGCTGAAATGACACACTCCCAGAAGGCCATATTTTTACGTGAAGGAGACGTTTTGTCTGCTAATTTATTTTGTTATTTTATTGTTTCCGTTCCACGTAAGATCAGTTAGGATAATAGGGTCAGTAAATTAAAAGTTAACCCATTGACTGTAACGTTCAATCATATAATTGTTCTGCACTAAAACCCTCAGTTCCCATCCCACCTTGGTGGGACATGCAGTGGATCCTTTGCCGGGACTCTGTGGCAATAAAGCAACGCGTTGTTATTTAAAGTTAACCGACAATTTTGTGCATACACATGGATGCGTATGCAAATGTTAGCAACGTGTGCGTTTGTGTTTCTGCTTGTACTGTGTTCACGTCTTTTTTAGGAACAAGGGCCAGTAAAAGTGTTTTGAGGATAGGCGTCTAACGCTTCACACCCAGTGTAGTGGGCGTCTAGCGATCAGTTGGTGACAGTCAACACTAGTGTGCTCATGGGGACCGATTCGAGGGTCAAGAATAACGGAGTGGCAGCCGAGGAATGGAACGATGAGATCCATTCATACGCAAGTGCTGCGTGGATCGTTGCGTCGCACGTTCGTCACAGGTGGCGGCTTGCAGAGGCCTTCATCCAGCAGTGGAATGATTAGGGCAGATGTTGCGCCTAGTATAGGTGCATAATACAAAAAAAAAACCTTGGTTTGTCCACTGCTGGATGAAGGCTTCCCCAAGCCTTTGCGGTCCATCGCGGTTCCCCCATGAAACAAGCCACCTTGCCGCTGCCACACGCGAGTTGATCCGACCTCTCGGTCTCCTCGTCGACGTCTCCTTTGGCGACCGCTCACTCTGCCGTGCGTTCAGGGCGTGCGTGCACCTCGGGAGTTAATACCCCAAAGGTGCACTTCACAGAGTGAGCATATCACACACTTAAAAGACTCCATTCTCAAAGCATTTCTACAGGCTCATTATATATGTATATATGCATTCACAAATATTTTCTTTGTGTGTGTGTGTGCATATACACGGGCGGGGAGTGATAGTGTCGTGGTCAGCCCGCTGTGCTACAAACCCGGCGACCCGAATTCGATTCCCCATTGCGGCCAACATCAGTGACGATTATATGAACCGGTCCTGGGCCTCACCTAGGTCGACTCAGCCTCAAATAAGTACCTGCGCGGTGTGTAAACCATCGCCACTAGGGAGACAAAGGCTGTCGGGAATGGTGTTGGCCACCCACCCCCCTCATGTTTCGTATCGGCCTTAATAGGTTCTACTCACTAACAGCACTTGCCCCTACAATCTGCTAAAGGCTAATTGGGGGATCTTTGACAGTGATTCAAATCACTGCTCTCTATATGACATGGGACATGTTTACCAATCATCAGGCTCAGGCAGTGTGTAACAACCTGGTTTGTATTGAAACTGAGAAATTCGGTGAGCGCGGAGAGGTGGGCCGTGGCGAGTGCCAGGGTGTGGAGTGCCGCCTCCTCCACGTCGCGGTGGTGACGATGACGATGTGTGTCTCTGCCCTTGTGTGTGTCTCTCATTCTCTGTCTCTGTCTTTTCTCTTCACGTGTGGCCGACTCAACGCGTAGTCCACACTGAGGTGGAGAGGCTTGGGGAGGCGGAGGAGGGGGATTATGATGGTGGGGATCGGCACTATGATGGATGACGCGCCTGCCATCCCACCCGAAGCACCAACGCACACGCGCACGCATGCACACGTCCAGGGGTCATACCCACCGCGACAGATACATTCTACACCACAGAGAACGGAGGGTCAGCGTGGGGCTCAGCTGTTGTGGTGCCTCAGGCACAGAGCTGCCGCCAGTTGGCGACTGCGGCCGTCGCGGCGGCGTCGACTGACACCGCGCGGTGCGGAGAGCGGTGAGCAGCGTCTCTGCGCTCACCCTCCTCACCATCGCATCACCTGGCTGCTCCTCCCACTTGATGCGGGAGTGCGGGGCGGTCTTGGAATTTAAAGTTTTTCATCGGGCTCGCTACATTAATGAAATAAAAACATTCTATGCGGTTTCTACAGTAAATATCAAATAGAATACCGATATTCCAGATCTCAAAGGGCGGGGCGATTGTCCCCCAACTTGGACCACCACTGCCGCGCACTCGACCTCTCACTTCTCTTTCATCCACTCGTCTTACGCTAGAAATATGCCTTGTTTAGAAACGTTGCATTCACATGCACACCGACACACACAAAGATCACCCGATAGCCGTAACAGACTGTAGGAGCAAGTGCTGCTAGCGAGCAGAACCTTTGAAGGCCGGCACGGCACACGGGGGGGTGGTTGGCCAGCAGCACGCCCTAATAGCGATGTTTACACACCTCAGACGCACGCACACGGGGTAGTGTAGACACAGCTGGGCCGCTGTCAGTGGCGTGCCACGCTCCACTCGGGTGTTTACCCTTTACTGATTAGCCTTCGTCATCGCCACCGCCACCATCGTTGTGAGGGAGCAGCCTGCCACATACCGTTACCTGGCTCCCTGGAACATCGAACGCACACCACACGTGACGCTGAAGATGTCACTCGCCGCATGTCAGAACATTGACAGGACAACCCACACACCGCCTCAACAGCACCTGTGGAACAGGTGTTGCAATCACCGTGGCCTTATTTGGTTCTGTGGTGAATGATTTTTGATACGTTTTGTTTTCTGATTGTACATAAAGTGTGATATTAAAACAGACTTCTGACAGGTCTAACACGCGTTCTCCTATGCTGGTGGTGGGGGAACGGCCGATGCATTGCATCGTTGTTTGCGAAACAACAAACAACTACAAAACGCACACACGAACATAAACACACAAATATAAACACACACGCAACAACCACCACGACCACAACAACAAGGTGACCACAACTCAGAGGGAGGAGGAGCCCGCCAGCAGCCCGCGGCGCCGCCGCCGAGACCGGGCGGCTCGCCCGGCGAGGAGGGAGGAGACGAGGGCGGCGAGGAGGACACGGAGGAGGAGGGGCAGTACGGAGACTACGCGGGGCCCTACGGCCACCACGAGGGCGCCTACGGGGACGCAGCGGACGGAGCAGCGGGGTTGGATGAGGAGGAGCAGGTGCCGTCTCCCGGGATGACTCGGTGGATGGCTCGGTTCCGGCGCTCGCCACGATAGCGCCCCGCGCGGGCTGCGTTTGTGGGCGCTCCCGCGATCGCGTGATCGCGGTTATGGCAGACACGGGAGTTCATTAGCTGCACTGTGATGAGTCGTCTTGCACCGCACAGGGCCAGCTGCCACCGGGGGTACCCTTGGGATGTTTGAGATGGCGCGTGATGCAAGGCGCTTTGAGTTGCTGAGAGTTGCTCCTACCTCTCCCCTTCAATCCCCCCTACACTTCCACTTGTACCCTCTAATCTCACTCTACTCCCTCTACACTTCCACTTGTACCCTCTAATCTCCCTCTACTCCCCCTACACTTCCACTTGTACCCTCTAATCTCCCTCTACTCCCCCTATACTTCCACTTGCACCCTCTAATCTCACTCTACTCCCTCTACACTTCCACTTGCACCCTCGAATCTCACTCTACTCCCCCTACACTTCCACTTGCACCCTCTAATCTCCCTCTACTCCCTCTACACTTCCACTTGCACCCTCTAATCTCCCTCTACTCCCCCTACACTTCCACTTGTACCCTCTAATCTCCCTCTACTCCCCCTACACTTCCACTTGTACTCTCTAATCTCACTCTACACGAACTCTCTCCGCTCCAGCCATCACGGTTGTCTTGTCTTAATTCGCCCATTGGCAGGTCGCTCATTCTCCTCTGCTGTCCACAAGGCCTTGAGTTGTCTTCCCCCAGCCATCCGTGCTGTCAACTCCACCAAAGTCCGGATCGAATTCCCTCTTCTCCGTTCCTTGACCCCTGTCCAAATGGGTGCGCCCACCGCTTGTGCAGAGCGCCTGATATACGGCTGCCTGCAGGCGCCGTGCAGTCAACCTCGGTGAAACCCCACTCGCTCTCCCTGTGCTGTTCGGAATCACCCTCGGTGAGATTCAACTCGCTGTCCTGCCGTAGCCGACGTGACGAGTCTGCGGAATCGCCCTCAGTTTAAAGTTTTACTTTTCCGGGTGTTTTTAGTCTGAAGAGGAAACTTCAGCTTTGCCTCCGCCTGAGAGCGGCTGTGATGTTTTTCCGGACTGTGTCGTGGTGTCACCTCATGTTGTTTATGTTCACAAGGGCACGCGTAGTTCTTCATTCGAGTGACGTAACGCGCTTCAAAATTGGGACTAATTAATCTCCAAACACGAGATACAGAGGACGCCACCACCCTCCCGTTCACCAATTACAATAGATTTGCTTACAATGCAAATGTAAGCCATTATTTCCAATGCTTGCAAATAATAACTAGTCTAATCACATATTCTTAGCTCTTTCGGTAAAGTCACGTTGAAGGGAAACAATAAAATAATAAAATATATATAAAACAATACAAATTCTCACGACGTTTCGACCATAACACAAACGGTCGTCATCAGGTGTGTCGGTTTGCATTAAGTTATTTATTTTTAAACGGTGTATTTATTTATTTATAAAAACGTCAGCGCCACGCGCAGCGATTTGGCAGTTTATTTAGAAGGACTAGTCCATCTATGTTCTGAAAAGAGGAGGGGGGAGACGAAAAATTAATGTATGCTGTCTGAAAGCCACTGTGAGCGTGAACAATCAATTAAGACCTGAAATGAGCTCAAGCACGTACACCAAGCTCTTAAGGCTAATGGTTACTCCGACTATACAATCCGCAAAGCTATCACTCAAACCATGAAGAAGGACCCTCTTGAGGAGCTTTTCAAAACCATCACTTTACCCTACATTGCGGGGATCACAAAAAAGATCTCCAAAATCTTGAATAAACACAAGATCCAGGTCCGTTTCAACACATTACATAAAATCCGTGATCTGGTTCCGTCTGTAAAATATGTGATTCCGGACATACAGTACCCTGGTGTCTACAAACTAAGTTGCCTCTGTGGTAGTAGTTACGTTGGAGAAATCAAACGCCATGTCTCAGACCGCATTCGTGAACACAAAGCAGACCTTAAACACGGTAGGACCAACACCTCGGCCGTGGCAGATCATTGTTATAATTCAGTAGGCTCACATGACATTGACTTTTCCAAGACAGAGGTTCTTTGTAAACCATCTGGCTACCATGAGGGATTCGTTCATGAGGCTATCCACATATACAAGCACAGAGACAATTTCAACCGAGAAGATGGATTCTGGCTTAACAATCATTGGAAAGATTTGATTAACCATTTCAGGTCTTAATTGATTGTTCACGCTTACAGTGTGCTTTCAGACAGCATACATTATTTTTTTCGTCTCCCCCCTCCTCTTTTCAGAACATAGATGGACTAGTCCTTCTAAATAAACTGCCAAATCGCTGCGCGTGGCGCTGACGTTTTTATAAATAAATACATCGTTTAAAAATAAATTAATTAATGTTAACCGACACACCTGATGACGACCGTTTGTGTTATGGTCGAAACGTCGTGAGAATTTTAATTGTTTTATATATATTTTATTATTTTATTGTTTCCCTTCAACGTGACTTTACCGAAAGAGCTAAGAATATTAATTACTGCAGTCACGAAAGCTTTAAATCAAAAATAAGTCTAATCACGTGGCATTTGTAACGAGCACAGTTCTCGTTTACCCCCCCCACACCCGCCTGAGAGATTCAGAGGCCCAGGAAACCGCAGACAGCACCGCAAGGCAGCCAGAATCTGCACCGAGCATTGCGCCAACTTGTGTAGTCCTCTATGTTTCAGGTTTGGCCAACTCCAGAAATTGTTATACGATATGCTCACGTCACACTAAGGCTAAGAGAGTGAACAACATTCTTATAATGGTGCTAACTAATAATGGTGTCAAAACACAGTGGGGAACAGGTAACTAAAATTCCGTTATTGTTTTAACAATTAACTCAATGTAATATGAGATTAACTGTCTCTGAGATGAGCTCGTTTCATGCGTTCTTTAAAACACGGAGATCTCCAAAATCGTTTAGGTCGAACCTGTAGCAAAGTGATTGATTGTAGCAAAGTGATTGTAGCAAAGTGATTGTAGCAAAGTGATTGCGCAGCGTCCTCTCCGTGTCTCTCCAACCCAAGGGATTCAGCGGTACGCAAGCACAGACAGCAAAAACTCAACACATTCACCAATAACACTCGCCTTGAATGGAAATTAATATACATAGGCGACATTTTTGGCAATGGCACTAATGCATTGCATATAAAGAAGTGCTTTTGCCTTAAACGTTGCCTATTCTATACATATATTATCCTGGTAAGGTGATAAATGTGTTTAGCTTTTACGTCCACGGCTAAAGAATAATGTGGGGAAATTAATATTATCGTGACGATGAAGTCACGGTGTAAGCTGCGAGTGGCTTGGGGAGCGAGAGTTCTCCCAGGCAGGGCCATTGGGCACCCACGGTGATGGTGGTAACGATGGCCGCGTGTACGGCCCTGGAGAGCGACCCCTGCAGCAGGACCACGGCTGCGTGAACCCACTCGCTGTTCTCTGTGTGGGACCACGTACCTCTTTCTATCAGCCCTGCCACTCCCATGTTACCTGCATTCTGAGCCAGTTTCAAGAAACGCATCGCCCATCCTTAGCGATGGAGAAATCCGCATCGGCACGTTGTAGCCAAAGTCGGACGACTCGGAAGGTTGTCCAACACTTGACCTGTGTTCTAAGTCTACCTCTTACACTTGAGCTGACTCGAGACATTTCATCACAAAGTTCACAACTTGCCATTGCGAGTGGTGGACGTTCTGAGATCATGTTCCCTTGGACCCGTGTGCACGTGTCCACAAGAAGACGGTTTCTCAGTGGCGTGCGTTATTAGATGTGCTCATTTTGTTAGACTAGCCCTGATAATTACTAGTCCGAGTACTGGCCGATAGCGATTAGCATCCCATATCCAATGTGATCGCGTGCATTCAGGGTGATTCGGTGCTAAGCTGGGCCACTGCCTGCCCAGTTCAAGGGGGTTTCATACCCGGTGCTTCTAAACGTGAGCAGAGAGACCTTGAGTGTAGTTGGTTGTTACTGAGCCACCTGTAATAGTCTAGCAATTAGTCTTAAGTTATTTCCTGCTCATATTAACGTTCGGATGGTGCTCATCTCCCGTTTATAGCCCGAAACCAGGGGTGAAATTCCAAATTTCTATGGCGGGGGCGAGTTTATTCCTATACAAATCACTATCCAACTCGGGGGGGATGGTCGTTTGAATCGACTCTCAATCAGGATGTGAACTCACAACCTTCCTATTACAAGCCGCTCGCTCTACCTCTGCGCCACCTGGCCGGTTAATTCATTCTAAAGCCAAGGTTAACGTCTCTACAGCATCAATTGAGCAATGGGACGACACAATATAGTATTCGCCGGGATAGTGCTGGAAATGCCACATTGTCATGACGAGGGTCAATTCATCCTCGGAATGACCCTTGCATACGTCACACTCAACTGATAATGACGTTAATGACCGCCCCATCACGAAATTGAACGGGCTGTATGATTACGGTACAGGTGTTCTCACTAGAGCAGCGGTTCTTAACTTTCACTGCAGCCTTTGGTTCTCAATCGTAAAAAAAGTATAATGTTAATAAATACATACGTAGTTTTTTATACAACAAAGGAAGTTGTTACTTTACATGCCCGTGTTTAATTTATGTTTCGATGATTTACCTTCTAAACAATTCTGGCATGTCTCGCACCCACCGAAAGGGCATTCCACACCCCCAGGGGTGCGTGCACTCCAGGTAAGAACCACGAGAGACAGGCAGGTGCACGTTGTGAACGTTCCGACAGGCGCAAGCATGTCTCCTCGTGATATGCATTCCCATTCTCCGCAAGGCTTATCGCGTTCCTGGCGTGGAGAGGAAAACAATGCCTCTCTCCTGCTGGACCAGATTTCCACGAACGTAGAGGGACATTCCCAATCAGCAGTTGATTAGCAAAGTCCATGCATTTAATCGGTCTAATTAAATGCACTCTAACATTGGTAATCGTGACAACAACCGGTGTGACACCAGCCCGTCCATCACCGTGTGAGATGTTGACCGTAACAAGGAGATTGTAGTCATCATTGGATTGACATTTTCCCACCGTCACTCTCGGCTTAGGAAGACACAAAACCCATCGAGAGAAGTGAGGGGAAACGACTCTGCTGATGAGACCCTGAAGTTTTAAATCCTGTTGGTTGAATGACTAATTGAAGTGTCCATTCCGACCCAGAGACCCATTGCAGATACTCGACTTTTCTTTTTAAGCACAAGTACTCAGCGAATACCCAAAACGTCAAGTAGCCAGCAACAAACAACTCTCTTATCAGTCGTCATTGATAAGAGTGTGGCACGTTTGAGCAAGGTTATTATTGTAAAGGCTTGGTAATTGAGACGATGGCAGAGAATTCCAGAGTGAAGCAGTGCGAGGGGAGAAGCTGAAAAGAAAAGTGAGGCAACCTGCAGTGTGGTGAGTGAGTAAGTGGGTGTTGCGTTCGATCGCGATGCTGGCTACCCACCCCCTCGTGTGCCATTCGGGCCTCCATAGGTGCTCGCAAACAGCACTTGCCCCAACAGTCTGTTGAGGCTGTCCGTGAGATATTCGTCTTCGTGTTGACCTGCAGTGTCGTGGTTGAACACAGTATGAATGAACCGAAGCAGTCCGGTTAGAGCGACTGGCCGTACTGCCGGTACGCACGCGAATTCGCATTCACAGAGCTGCGATGGAGGGGGAGGGTGACCGAGGACGGTGACCCGGGATATGGACCGAGTTTGTTCATCGCGTGCAGTGTGGCTGTGGGCCACGTGATCTATGCTGCACGCTCGCAATTGCCCTTAACGTCACACTAAAGTACCCGAAACCCCGAGTTGATATCAAGGGTTATTCCACATATGCGGGTTCAGTCCCACATTTACAATCTCCAGGGAGGTCAAGGGTTCTAAAGAAAATGTGTAGTTCGCCATTATTGTCTGACGTGTTCTGAGGGCCGAATTGTAATGGCTGTGGATTTTAGACTTTCAAATCTCATATTCACGTAGATTATCTACGTGACTTTACCGAAAGAACCAAGAATATGAATTCTTGCAGTCACGAAAGTTTCAAGTCAAATTTTCAAATCTCAATTTACGTTTTATTATTCGAGCACCATTTAGATATCAGATAGTGTGTAGGCCTAAGTTAACTAGTAACGTTTGTATTACGATTAATTTAAAAAAAAAAACATGATTTATAATAATTGTACAGTATCGCGAATTTCAGCTTCCCCGCGATCGGTTCTGTGCCCACGTTTTCTTTCCGATGGCCAATGCAGAGCAACTCATCGATATTCCGTTGTGAGTGAGTTAGCCATTCTATTGCTTTGAGAGATGGTGGATTACAGACACTGCCACCCACTCACCTCCTCGCCTAACGCCTGCACGTGTACATTTGAGGCAGTGAGGAGTTACATGGTGTATGGTTTGGTGGT